AAGTCCTGGCCTCGGGGGATCATAAACTTGCTATATCCTCATACCCATACTTTAACTGTTAACTATTACCTTGCCAAAAGTTAGTCAGTGTAAGTATTTTTAAGCAGTTTTAGTTTGCAAAAATGCCTTCATGAAAAAAAAAAGTGTTGGCAAGTATGCTCTAAATAATAAACTTTCTATACATAGCAAAACAAAAAATAACTTAGAGGTATGAAACCACATGTGCATTGTACCTACGGTAATATCTCTCTCGAAAAGCAAAGGTTCCCAAATACGTAAGTGTTAACTGTTATGAACCATAATTTGGACTGTATAAAGTATTGTTGTGGAATTCGTAAAAACAGGTTACTAGTCAAGTTTAACAAAACAGCCTGGGTGGGGGTTGCATCATTGAGACATTTCATTGGTGTGGTAGACTATCCATGAAAGGGCTCAATGTGCAAGGTGGCGTTTTCTTGTCCCCTCACCTACTATAGTCATTAGGAGAATGGCATTGCATTTGATTATGAAATGCAGTCTATGGAACACCTTCTCAGGAGGGTGTTCAATACATGTATTGTAACATGTATTTTATGTTATGTCGTACATGTATTTTTATGTTATGTCGTTTTAATAAAAACGGCCATTTTCAATCATTATGTCTTTCTGGTTTTTATTGACTATCGTACTATTACATAGCTTGCTGCTTGACTGATAGGTGCGAACCATTCAACATAAATATATTTATCAATGATTTTGAGATATCAATTTTTGCTCTACGTCTACCATTCCCATAGACACAATGTTAAAATTTGCCGTAAAAATGTTTTTACCATTCAAAGAACCGGACAGTTATATAAATATCAGCAACAGAAGGGCTGGATAAATTTATAGTTCCGTGTCGAATTTTATCAAAATAGGACGAAAATGAATTGGAAAAATATATTGATATAGAACCTAATGGGAAAACAACGTAACGTAAGGTACGTAAGTGAAGATAGATGTACAGAAAGCTGTAGTTTGAGTTGATCAAATAGGATGATGTATCTCCCCTTTTCGACATGTAGATGTAAATGTATAAACCGCTTGTATGAGAATTCGAAAGTTCCTGATTGAATTCATCAGGTTCCACTGTACTTACTGTACACAGAAAAAAAAAAAAAAAAAAAAAAAAAAAAACAACAAGTGCGTAATAAATACAATACAATCTTCTGTTGGAATGTAATAGTATGTACAATGTTCTTGATACTGTAAACAGCAGCTTAAATCAAGCATCATCACGTTGAGGACTTTCGTAAAGGTCACTCCGCATAGCAGAATGTGTGAGATTATAGGCATGAATTTTAAGGTACACAACTAATAACATTTGTTCAGGAAAGACAGATTTCAAAAGGGAGCAAAAAAAAAGTGAATTTTAAAATGTATTTTACAATAAATGTCAAAAGAACAATTAAATATCAAAATTCATTTTCAATATTCACTAGCTGAAATTTAACAAATCCAAATGATTTCGAATTGTCACATTAGTGTTACTAACTAATGTACAATTTATGAAAAGTATTTTGTTATAAAATGCCCATACATCTGCGGATGGAAAATGACAGATCAAGCAATGATAAATATTTTTCACAAGGATACAACAAGTGATTAAGCAAACGCTTCTGCAAATGCTCACGTTTTGTATAAAGTAAATTAATGCGAAAATATTCACGCACGAATGTATAGGTTACGAAGATTACACATATATATGTGTAGGTCTCAAACCATTGCCAACGTGGTTATTTCCACACCACATCAGTTTAAAAGGTCAGAGGGCTTACAGTTATACAGGCCATAATCTCTCCTTTTCAGTATTCTACCTCCTGGACCTCAAGTAACACAAATATGTTGTCCTCATGTTACTGAAATTTTCGAGTGAAAATTCAATTACCAATTATAATAGGATTCTAATGAAAAAGTAATTTTAGTTCAATTTTATAAACTAATCAATAAATACGAAGATTTCGTCAAACATAATGATTTATTACAAATAATGTATTTCTGCAAAGTTGAGGTTTTTGTTGAATCTGTAAATTGCTGTGTTATATACACAGTACAAATATAGGACTGTTTCAGATCTAGCTTTGATATTTTAATATAAGCTGTATTTTGTTTTTAATAACACAGTAATTGATTGTCTCAGTATTCTGAACAGCTCATTATGCATTGTATAACTGGATTCAGTGTTTTCCTTATTATGGAGCAAGAATGGCGAGTTTAAGAGATTCCTTATATTTTCAATTATAATTCACATATTTATCATCTGGGACTAAAACTAGATTAAACCAATCATCAAGTTACTTTATATAAATTACACAGAAATAATTTGCTTTCACAAATTATTTTTTCACAAAAAAAGCCACATACTACAGAAAAGAAATTTGAGATATATTCCAATTTCCACCTTTCTGAAGGTAACCGAGGTTACAAACCTGGTGAAATCTCTCCAGGGCATTGGACAAATTAGCGAGAATTTGGGCTGTAAAAATAACCTTGGTGGGATCATATATCACAAAAGAATGGCACATAGATAAATATTTCAGCAGCACAGTAAACTACAGGTGATGAAAATCATCTCTCATCCCCACAGAGTGAGACGATGCTTATGCATACACAAATACACAAAGGAGCCTTGTTATTCTGGATCTACTAGTCCCGGAAAACGAGTCCCGGAAAACCGGTGTTCAGGAACTAATTTACTTTGAATTACATTTACTCATAATCCAAGAGAAAAACTACTCAATGCTTTTCCCCAGAGATAACATTTTTTTTTGCTTGCAAGGATTTGTTCAGCTCCTTAACCATCCTAATAGTGGTTCTTTTTTAAGCTTAATATTTTATTTGTTTATTTTTTAGATGTGAACAAGTTCAATGAGAGACAAAAAGATCAACTCTATCAAGATACAAAATCCTACTGGTACCTACTGGCTTTCTATGAGTAGTGCTTTACCTACTCAATATCTACACTCAAAGTGGTAGTCACGGAAACAGTTATCAAAGGAGTCATACAATATGACCAGCATTAAGATGATACATATTACATAACTCTTGATTTTGATAGTCGTAAATTGATTTTTTGGCCATAATATTTCACAGTAATTATCATAGAAAATAACAGTAAATATATGATAAAAAAATGAAATATTGACTTTCACACACGTCTTGCTAATACATGAAAATTTGGTGGCATATATATCATATAATAATAAAGCGTTGTTTTGCAAAGATCAGAAATCAACATTCGATAAAGGGAAGTAATCCGGAAGGTTCCCAAAAAATAACCCTGAAAAGATTATTGTTTTAAAGACAAGTAACATCTTCAAACAATTCAAAAAAAAGTTTAAGTTATATTTAGAAATTCTCAAATGTATACACTCCAGTTTTGGGTGGGAACTATTATTTAATTACATCCATTCACAATGAGAATGTTAAGGGCTCGATAAAAAAGAGTGATCTTACAATCTTACAATCTTACAAAGAGATAATTCTTAAAAGTTCCAAAATGTAATCGTACAAAAAAAGCACATTAACTAAAAATTGTATGTAAATATATATATTATACAAAACAAATGTAACAAACTGACTAACTAAATTGATAACAAACAGATTCAGTTGTTTAGGGCATGATCAGCTTAAGGATCTATACAACCTTACAAACATAATCAAAATAGTTCAACATTAAGAAACCTACAGATTTTCATATGTCAATAGTGATTTTGACTTGATTAAACCATACACCCCTGAAGACACATTTGAATTCTTCCAAATCAAAGGTTGGAATAGTTCATTCTGAAATTTCAGGGGTGAATGAGTTAATGACCTGATTTTGACTATGGCCCATATTTAATTTCTAAGGGAGATCATAATACAAATAACAGAAATAATATAAAAGGTAACATATGCCCTTAATGACAATTGTTAAAAAGATTTACTTGGATTGTTATTTATTTTCAATTACTTTATTACATGTTTTGAATTTGTTACAAGAACTACAAATTAAATTAAAGGTGTAGAGGAACTAAAATGTATATTTAAGTTAAAAACTGGAAATAATTTGTATTTTTCAGATGTGGAGGAATAACACAATACCAGAATTTTCTGTATGTGAATCATAAGCAGACCAGGCTCAAAACAACTGGACCAATAACGTTGCACAACAAACAGATGGCAGCAATAAAGCTCTAACAGACTACGATTATCAGGCCATTAGTGATTTAAGGAGGGGATTAGCATCACAATTCAGTGTCACTAAACAGGTGGTAACGTTGGGGTAATCATACTGCTTGGTAGACCGGCTACCAGCCCCTAGGTTTTTATGTAGAATTTGCCTGCTGCTTTTTACTACTAGCTTATCTCCCCCGAGTTTAAGAACTTAGAATCAGACATCCAAGTCATAACAATAGAGTGTTGTTTTTTTCTAAATAATTCAATATTCTAGAGACGGGGGCCAGTCTAACTAGTTGGGTTCCTGGTGGTTTAGCAAAATTGTGAGAACTTCACCTTTACAAGTAAATGTATAGGTGGTATTAGGCAACAGAGAATTATACTGTGCTAATTTGTATGTCTGGGTAGCATGGAGCAATTTGGGTAAAATGCAACATTACACAGCCATATGGAATTCAACTCCTGTCAAATGATGGTATTCTAATGTAGAGATATACTTGAAGGACCTGGGAAAGCAAAGGGTATTTCTAGGGAGATCATGTCAAATTAATTAGAAGTTGGATTTTAGGGTAAACAGGTTGACTACTCAAATTGATTGGAGTTGAGGGTATGTACTGGTCTTGGCTGATAAGAACACAATATACACTATAAGTAATGGTGATTACACAATCAATATACATGTATGTGGAACTTTGATTGGATATAATTTGTGTAAAATTATGATAAAATAACATCAATACATACAAAGCAAAGAATATGTATTTAAACTTTGATTTGTTAAGAAATTTTATTGAAAACACTTTATTTTTTATTTTTCCAAATGAATTTTAAAAAAGTGTGAACAATATATATATATATACTTTAGTCATTTAATCAAATTTATTAACATCAAAGTCTAAAGACATCTTCTTTATGCATCAAAAATATTGGCTATCACATTTCCTGGACAAATACACAACACTAGTTAACTTAAATATATTTTAGCTAAAAACCTTTCAGCTGAAACCTTCCAATTTTGATACGAGGCCCAAGACAAACAGAAGTTATCTCCCTCTAATACATATTCTTCAACGTTGTGGAGGCTTAAATTGATGAATTAAATGAGAGTAGAACAGTACAAAAACAGTTATCTAACTAATTAATAGTTTGAGTGGTAAAAACAGTCTTGTCTGTCAATGGGAAATATCAATTGTACTAATAGTTTAGAAAATAAAATGAATATACCAGTCTCTCAAAATTAATATCAGTAGAAAATTCTTGCAGAGGCATATTTAACATAAATTTAAATCTCTCTTTCTAGTAACTGAGGCACCATGAAAAACAGGAGATCAACAAACTTTCTTTGGCAAGATGCTTAATTTCCAGCCATGGAAGACTTACCACCAAGGTTGTTGTCTCTACACATAACAGCACCTCTTGATGTGTCGGATGAAAAGTCGAGAGGATCATACCCTGTCTTTCACACAGTGTAGTATCACACCCTGATTTTGCCCCCAACTGTGTACTTTAACGTTCTGGCAAGCTTTAAAATGAAAATGTAAGAGGAGCAAATGTTCTTTAAGGAAAGGAAATCTGCAGGATATCTTTGATATTCTATAAAACCATATTTGTTTTATTTTGCTGTACCTCTATAAAGTTTAAAGCTAACCAGACTGAATAAGAACCAGTCAATCAGGCATCATATAGATTATATATATGTAAATTCGAAAAAGCACTGTCATCATATATTCCTATATATTTCAGTGTGCCAGATATGAGTGGTGTTCACGGTTCATTGTACCAGACCTCTTCTTTTGAAGTGGATTTTCTGCATCAGGTTTCTTCATTGCATGAAATTTCCAGGCGTTATTAAAACATTCAACCTGGCAAAGATAAAAAAAATGAAATAAAGACATTACACAAAAAGAGTAATGTCAAAATCATGTCAAATTGTGTGTGTGCAGTCACACTTTAGATTTTAATTTTACTGTGAAAAAAACTTCATAGAAAAATTGGTAAACTTCAGTGCTATATTCTTCCTATTTGAAATAAATATTTCTCTGAAAAGCATTTTTTACAAAATAGATTAAGAAGTGTGCATAAAAACAATGGTGTTTAATATTAATACAATTCTTCATATATATGATCTCGGATAAAGACAATATAGTAATAAATTTTGCATGTACATACATGGGATCCCTTCAAAAAAACATTTTCATATTTTTTTCATGTATTTTTATTATTCTAATAAACAATAAGATAAACAAAATATTTCATGTCATTCTTGTTATGTCTTACAAATTGAATATCTTAATAATAACAAAGTGGAATCCATTGTAATTTCTCCTTTTGTCTACTCACAGGTACGAGGTTGTCTTTCTTGTTGTCTTTCTCCATTTCCTCAATCTCCGATGACGCCAACAGAGCCAATCTTACTTTGGAGACCACTTTACGTGCCACGTCACTTACAGACTTGTTTAATACGACCTGTGTATTACGATAAACCAATCAAATAATGTCACTCATAACCAATGGCAACATTAATGAATAATTTCAAAACAAACAATATTGATGTCTTACTTCTAGAAAATGCATGTTTCTATAAGCACCCTTTCCCTAGTCTACCGGTAATTTGCTGATATAAATATTTCAGGCATTTGTTTTAATAAAACATAAAGCCAACATATCCATGACATTGTTTGATATATTATAAATAAGATTTACAGCTGATATGACATGGCTGGGAGATACAGATCATGTTTACAGCTGATATGACATGGCTGGGAGATACATATTATGTTTACAGCTGCTATGACATGGCTGGGTGATACATATTATGTTTACAGGTGATATGACAAGGCTGGGTGATACTGGTCATGCTTACAGCTGATATGACATGGCTGGGCGATATTGGTCATGTTCACAGCTGATATGACATGGCTGGGTGATACAGGTTATGTTTACAGCTGATATGACATGGTTGGGTGATACTGGTCATGTTTACAACTGCTATGACATGGCTGGCTGATACAGATCATGTTTACAGCTAATATTACAAGGCTGGGCGATACAGATTATGTTTACAGCTGATATGACAAGGCTGGGTGATACAGATTATGTTTACAGCTGATATGACATGGCTGGGTGATACAGATCATGTTTACAGCTGATATGACATGGCTGGGTGATAAAGATAATGCTTACAGCTGATATACCATGGCTGGGTGATACAGATAATGTTTACAGGTGATATGACATGGCTGGGTGATACTGGTCATGTTTACAGCTGATATGACATGGCTGGGTGATACAGATAATGCTTACAGCTGATATGACATGGCTGGGTGATACAGATAATGTTTACAGGTGATATGACATGGCTGGGTGATACTGGTCATGCTCACAGCTGATATGACATGGCTGGGTGATATAGATCATGTTTACAGCTGATATGACATTGCTGGGTGATACAGATTATGTTTACAGGTGATATGACATGGCTGGGTGATACTGGTCATGCTCACAGCTGATATGACATGGCTGGGTGATATATATCATGTTTACAGCTGATATGACATTGCTGGGTGATACAGATTATGTTTACAGCTGATATGGCATGGCTGGGTGGTACTGGTCATGCTCACAGCTGATATGACGTTGCTGGATGATACAGATAATGCTTACAGCTGATATGACATGGCTGGGTTATACAGATCATGTTTACAACTGCTATGACATGGCTGGCAAATACAGATCATGATTACAGCTGATATGACATGGTTGAATTGTAAAAATAAGACTATAACAGCTGACGTGTTTGGGTGATATGACATTGTTGGTTGATATGACATGTTTTGATGATATGACACGTTAGGTGATATGACATGTTTTGATGACATGACATAGTTGTTTGATATGACATGGTTGATAGTTAAGGGATATAGAGAAGACTCACAGTTAAGACTTACAGATGATACAGGATGATCAGGTGAAAGAAGTGAGACTTATGCTTTGACACTGAAATATGATAGAGATAAGACTTACAGCATTTACAGTGACCCAGTCCTTTACAAAGTTGAAGATATCCATCTCATCCAGCTGTAGACCATCACTCATTAAAAGTTCCATCAAGGCGTCCTCAGATAGCTCCTGGAAACCTTTGGACTTGAACACATTCTACAACAGAAACCAGTCAGAAATGAAGGCAAGTATCAGTTTTGTAGGAACTTACCTGTCACCCTCGAAACATATCTGTTATGTTCTCATTCATATTTATCTTACCAAATGAATATGCCCCCATTGTTATGATAAATGGATTGTATTGACACACTTAGATCTCTTTTTTATACATTTATGGAGGTCCACTGGAAATAGGTCCAATATGTGATCTTTTATGCTCTTATGGGATTTTGGTTTGATTTTAATTGGTTTAGGGTCCTCTTAAAAGGTCATTTAAGAACATGCCTCCATGTGTGTAATGTTTGCGTGTAATGCGTGCTGGAAGATGGTCTGTTTGTGTATTTGCCTCCTTGCAAATAACATGGATCTGATGCCGACTTGAGAGTGCTACCTCTCTGAAATACCATGCCAAAGGTACCCAGCACATTTATTACACCTCGTCACAATATACTGACAACAGGTTAACAAGTTGTTACTACTGCCCTAAATGCTGAACGTTTTAGCAGGCAATACAACATTTTACTACCATTTTTTAAGGACTTTCATTACCCATGTTTTGTTTCAATATTTTCTGTAGTGTTAATGTAGCTCTTCCTTACTTTATGTGGCATGTGACCCATGTTACATCCCCCTGACCTCTATAGTGTCGCCTTTGACACTTAATCCTTAGCCTACAATGTGACCCCTGACACCTGTGTGTTTGGCTATGAAGAGAATAGTGTGGTCAAATAACTTCTGACTATATGTGACCCACAACCACTCTCATGTGACCCCTGACCTATGTAATGTGACCCCTGACCTCTGTAATATGACCTTGACCCTTACCTCTGTGTGTTCATCTATGAAGACTATGGTGTGATCCCGAAGCTCCTCTTGGCTGTACGTGACTGCGGCTTGAAGACATTCTGGGGCATTTTGCACACTCAAGTTCTCCACCAAGAACTCTGAGGATAGCTGGGGATGGAGTGACATAGAATGACTTTCATACCTGTATAAACAATCTTATCGATTCTTTTAAAGTGCAGAATTTGACAGAAAGTGTTCAATTTGAATCAATTGGTATTATGAAGAGAACACAGGAGATAAAACCTTGATTGCAGAGAAACAAGAAAGCATCATTAAGACCAGAAAAGACTGATTTGAAAAAACTTTGAAAACACCTTACAAAAACATTTATCTTAATCCTTTCATACTTGGATGTATATACATGTTCTGTACTAAGAAGATAAAAACAAGGTAGCAGATTTTATTCACTCATCAAAATCTGCCTTCTGGCCAGAGTATTATACTCACTCTTCTGAGCTCATCCAATCCATATTCCAATGAGGTTGCCAATATATCAATTGCCTGAAAGGTAAGAAAATAATTTTTAATTGTAAATTTTTCAAAATCTTATAAAAAGACTTCAGCAGATAAACATTTAAGACTATAATAACTGGCTATTTCTTCAAAGATCTTACCAACCAAAGTTACTAAGCATAATTAAACAGTACCTTACTACCGTCAATCACATATTTTCCCTTTAATTTACAAATTAACCGTAATACCCTGGTAAAATCAGAGACCCTTTTTTTCAAAGAAGTCAGTAATTAAGTTTGTTGAAGGCATGGGATGGTTGGATAAGGATGGAGGTCAAATACAGTAGTGAAAGGGTGAATAAATGTATGTCCATTCATGAAATGTATGTGATACACACTTATATTCAATAATGATAGATTAAGAATACATAAATAACATCAGGTACACATCAGAGTTAAGGGTAACAGGTACTAAACAAAATTGGTGACTAAAGAACACAGACATAATGTACCATTTAAGTAAATTAATACTTCAGTAAAACTGACGACTAAATTTACTGCTCAAAAAAATCTTTTAGAATTACAGGCAATGTGTACATTCAATATTTTACTAGTAAAATTTGTATAACAATTACACTGTAAAAATATTTTATGTGGATCTAAATTATTTTCCTTTATTTATATGATTAGAATTGAACACTACATATGATATTCAAAACTTGAATGTTGAATTCCAAAATCTCATCCTCATATAAAAACATGGCTAAGCTTGACAGTTTTATAACTGCATGAGCTCTGTAATAATTTTTGTACCTGAAAATCATTCTTTCATTCAAATATTTTATTTTCAATATTTCCCAAAATATTTCCCAATAATATCTTAAAATACCAAACCAATTAAGGCTCTCCCAGAAGCAAAGCAGAGTTATCACAGTTTTATAAAACATTACCAACCCAGTAACACTGTTTTAGTAGTAACCTCCAGTTAATTTCAATCCATGTCTCCATCAGCAAATTAAGTTAAATGCCCACCGCTGGCACCAAATTTCTATACACATATACCATTTGGTTACCATTACACACTGATTTTTATCATTCGAAGCATGTTTGTTCTGTAATCCCTGTTAAACCAGGACACCATCAAAGATCTTAATTGCAAACCCAAATTTGAACCATATACAACTTCTTGTAAGTCTGTGAATCCATACAAAATTAAAGCTCCAGAACTGGTTACATTGACTTGGAACCTAAACCCTTGATCTCACCAAAACCTCCTCCCTGATTAGCAGGTATTTGTATCCCAAACTCACAGCAAACCTCCCACAGATAAGTTTTCAGAACTACTGAAACCTTGACTACGGGGCCAGCTAGACCATTCTCTAGACTTGGAGCTTTCCACAAACCAGGAGGGGTGAGCGTACCCACATCTGTAAATGACCCACCATGGAAACTCAAGTTATGCTGTGGAAACAAGCACATGATCATTTGGTCTCTTCTATATTGAAAAGGTAAATCATTATTTAACAATTATACTACTCCTTTACTGAAAAATTCTTGACTGTGACTAACAATTATCACACCTACCATTGACAACAACAGCAATTATACCAATGACAGTGACAATGATGATGATGATGATGATGTGAAAATGATGCTTTAAGGGGATTCCTGAAAGTGGAATTCCAGATGTTTGAAAGAAAAGGGCCCAAATAAGGGGTCTTAAGTAAACGTTCAAGGTTCTAGAAAAATCATTCAACATGAAATACAATCAACAGGTTGGTGTAATTAAGACAGGTCTGGGCCACTGGGATTCCATAATAGTTTGGCTACTGCTTTCCATCTCCACACTGATCAGTGGTGAGATCTGTCAAATCATTACTTATTACTTACTATTTTAGGTGTCAGTGTAACACAGTTTGTGTATAGGAATTCCAGCATGGCAAGGAATACATCAGGTGACATGTCAGACAGGACGAATGGCACTTCGCGATCGCCACTGGCGCCACGCTGGGACTGGTCAGCGAACATTGCCTTAAACACTGCACACCTGGCCGACAAGATTGCCCGGTGGGCATATATTGGCTTTCTGTTTGGTCCAATCAAAAATTTAATATCGCTGGAAAAAAATAAAGCATTTTATTTTGGTATTATGAATTTATGTTATAAAAAGTGCAGCCAATCAGATAATACTTGTAATACCTAAAATGTCCAAATTTTACCACATTAACTTCTCTTCTGGACAAACGTTAATGTTAACAAGCACTTTCAGCACCCATGATCCGTCAATGAAGCTAACACACAATTATACTCATTCTCTGGATCATCCAGCACAGTTCTGGGGACACATGTCAGATATCTGTTTCACATTAGCCAATCAGTGCATTTGTTATCCCGGATGAGTTAAAAAGAGGTAGAGTCTTATTACCATTTGTTATAATGCTGATCTGGGACAAAAGATACCAAACTTATTTCTTAATAAATGTACCTAGCAGATCAACACACATATATATCCAACATAGGACAGAAATTATTAATTTGTCCATATAAAACATGTATATGTTTTAGAGGTCAATATTTTCCAACGCCTCTGCTATGGGATTGAACCCAGGGACCACTGATTTACTTTAAATGAGATAATAAGTGTTGAGATGGAAAGAAGTTTTACTATTTCTCCTCTGGAAAACTTGTCAAGGTTTTTTTAACCAGTTCCAATAATATTAAGCTCATGAATTATTGAAGTATTGATTGATTTCAGTAAGTGTTGGGAATCGGTTGAGATTTCAACATCGATGATTGGATATAATCGGTTAGTGTCAACCGATCAATTTTCGGATTATTAATCGGTTAGCCTACCGTTACATAATCCTTAAAAAAATATTACTTTTTTTTTAACAATAGCATGGCTTTTCCTTTTATTAATACTACTAATGAAATTTCAACTTTGAAGCAAACCCTTACACTTTTCTTTTGCAATTAATTATGTTTTAATAGCATGATTCACGGGTAAGATGTTATAGTTAAGAGTAAAATGACATAGAACTCCCGTTCTCTCTTAGTGAAAATGAAAGAAGAACTTGCACTTCCAGTTTTGAAAACAATCATCGATGTTGGCATCTCATAATCGATTGTCGGGAATTGGTTGCCTTTCCGATTAGATATCGATTATAATCGATCATCAGTACAACACTAATTTCAGTATTGTAGTTACATGCAGACTGTCCAAACCTAAAATTAAATTGGCCTGGTAGAATCAAAGATGCTAAAAGAGCAATAGCAGTTAGGGAGAGAACTGTCATATATATGAAATTTGAAAAAGTATAAATGATTTATATTAAGGCAAACTCTTGACATTAGACATAAGTTTAAACACAGGTAGGTTTCATTTTGGCTATTTTTGCATAACAAGGGTAAATACTATGTTGAAATTATAATTTTATATTTACAAGTTAACAGATCAAACTGTTCAATTGTCAATATACTCAATATATAGTAATTTATCCAACAGTATAATTGTATAATTACCATATTTCAGCATTTTCATTTCATATCTTCATCTGTTATATCGTTTATAATCCTAATTATCACAGGAGTCTGACGTTTTATCAATATATAAGTACAACAATCTGTATTTAAAAATATACCCTGTATACCATAAAAAAACATTATTTTTTTTATAGTATACAGGGTATTTTTTATATATACAGATTGTTATACTTATATTGATTAAACGTCAGACTCCTGTGCTTATTATATTTGATGTATACTACATGTATTACATCTTAAAATGGAAATTTGGAATCAAAATTAACTAAATTACCTAGGTAATTAAAATTATTTAAGATATACCAATCTTAAACACAATATTGTGTGGGCAAATTGAGAATGTACTGTTTAAACCCATTATAATAAAGGTCCATGAGGTCATTTTCCTTACAGACAAAACAATGGACCCATTGTTTAACTACTATGAGAATATAATAGTATATTGTAGAAAACATGAGGTCAAATAAAGAAACAAAAGTCTACATAAATTAGAAGAAAAATATTTATATAATATTTGGGAACCAATATTGTATATATTCTGATACAGGGAATAGTGATAGTATTTTAAATCCGTCTAATAAAGTATAAGTATTTTCAGTTATTTCCCCGTGGTACAGGTTAGTACCGTATGATACACCTGTGTGACAGGTAAACCCGAGACAGGTGTCATGTACGGTAACTTTGCCATATATAACATTTTTACATACCTGTGTTCTTTGTTATTTACAAGTTTCTTCATCTGGACCGCAAAGTCCAAGATTTGTCCCTTCATAACCTTTTCACCTGCCATCTTTACAAGTTGCAGACACCGAACAGTCAGTGATGGAGGTTCGTTTTCGTTTGTTGTCAAGCACCTGCTACACAGTTTACTCAAACAGGTAGGTAAAGGTGCGTCAACCGAACCACTAAGTAATAGCGGAAGTAGCCAATTATTTTGACACCGGAAAGTTATCAAAAAACATGATTGAAAAGTGAATTATAAAAACGATACACAAAGCAAATCATGTTCTCTTTCATGTAAATAATAATAATAATGATATATCTAGCATTGAATTGTTAAGTTGGAACACACAAAAATCTCATCATAACTCGAGTTATCGCTCTTGGACTAGTAAAATATTTCGGTAATGAAAATATTAGTCACATGGTTCAGCTATGGACCGAGAAAAAACATTCAAGTTTTAAAGAAAGAAATATATATTTGATTGGAAAGATGCTCTGGCACAATTTTTCTTTTCTTTCTGTTCTATTTTCACTTTGTACGCTGTTTTTGACACGTGATATCATGGACTCCTGCAAGCATGTGAACAAATCATCAGGTTTTAGTATTTCATGAATACATGTATTAACAACATTTTTTTTCAAAACTATGAAATAACTACTTGTTAGCCTAACCACCCTATGAAAAGAGGTCGCACAAAGGGTTGCCTTTCAAAACGTGTTTTTTTTTTGTACTCGGACTTTTTTTATTCTCTAATTATCGCTCAAATAATATAGATTGCACATATATAGTTATAGTAACACTAAACAGATAAGCGATTAAATTCAGATGAAAGCATAAAACATACGAGCGACATAAGAAAATGGCAATATCGATTGCGCCCTAAACTACTTAAATGATTCTTCATCACAGCATGCATGAATGTGAAATAAACATAATTTACCATTATTGAGTATTTCACAGAATCCGTCTCCCAAATGTTCTATATGCTCACAGTAACGGGGTTTTATCTGGTATTTCACAATTCAGTTGAACATTGGCATTTACCTGAAAACCCAATTTAATAACTAACTGAACGTCGAACATTCGTGAAAGTTCAATAAATATTAAACCAGATTGTGACGAACGAGCTAGCATTTTTTATCTCATTCAGAACTTTTTGGTCTAATATTTATTTTGGACATGACTACATGAACACCATTATCAATATCAAATCATCATTCAACTTCGCAATTTCCAAAAGATTGCTTTTTTCGGGAGGTCATTCAAAATTAAGTGAGATAATTGTAATTATAATATACAGAAATTGTATAGCGTCCTATATCATTCTTAGAACAATCTAAAGCGCTTTGATATATCTACAATTACAACATTTGTTAAAGTGAAAGTAGGGCAGTAAATAAATACAAAGTAAAACAGTAGTTAGTGAATTATCTATAAACAATTCATCAAGGAATATTGCGCGAGTATCAAACCGGTTTTAAAGAGATTGTTTTTTCAAAAACTTCTAAAAAAATCCAGAGCAAGAAGTATCGAACAACATGCCCATTATGAGGTTGAATGACTGTTTCACATAACTCTGCTGCGGATTCGTTAAGAGAGGATATGCTGCGGACTCGTTAAGAGAGGATATGCTGTGGATTCGTTAAGAGAGGATATGCTGCGGACTCGTTAAGAGAGGAAATGCTGCGGACTCGTTAAGAGAGGATATGCTGCGGACTGGTTAAGAGAGGATATGCTGCGGATTCGTTAAGAGAGGATATGCTGTGGATTCGTTAAGAGAGGATATGCTTCGGACTCGTTAAGAGAGGAAATGCTGCGGACTCGTTAAGAGAGGATATGCTGCAGACTCGTTAAGAGAGGATATGCTGCGGACTCTTTAAGAGGGGATATGCTGCGGATTCGTTAAGAGAGGATATGCTGTGGATTCGTTAAGAGAGGATATACTGCGGACTCGTTAAGAGAGGAAATGCTGCGGACTCGTTAAGAGATGATATGCTGCGGACTGGTTAAGAGAGGATATGCTGCGGATTCGTTAAGAGCGGATATGCTGCGGACTCGTTAAGAGAGGATATGCGGCGGACTCGTTAAGAGAAGATATGCTGCGGATTAGTTAAGAGAGGTTATGCTGCAGATTCGTTAAGAGAGGATATGCTGCGGACTCCTTAAGAGAAGATATGCTGCGGACTCGTTAAGAGAAGATATGCTGCCGACTCGTTAAGAGAGGATATGCTGCAGACTCGTTAAGAGAGGATATGCTGCGGACTCGCTAAGAGAGGATATGCTGCCGATTCGTGAAGAGAGGATATGCTGCGGACTCTTTAAGAGAGGATATGCTGCCGATTCGTGAAGAGAGGATATGCTGCGGACTCTTTAAGAGGGGATATGCTGCGGATTCGTTAAGAGAGGATATGCTGAGGATTCGTTAAGAGAGGATATGCTGCGGACTCCTTAAGAGAAGATATGCTGCGGACTCGTTAAGAGAAGATATGCTGCGAACTCGTTAAGAGAGGATATGCTGCGGACTCGCTAAGAGAGGATATGCTGCCGATTCGTGAAGAGAGGATATGCTGCGGACTCGTTAATAGAAGATATGCTGCGGACTCGTTAAGAGAGGATATGCTGTGGACTCGTTAAGAGAGGATATGCTGCGGACTGGTTAAGAAAGGATATGCTGCGGATTCGTTAAGAGAGGATATACTGCGGATTCGTCAAGAGAGGATATGCTGCGGACTCGTTAAGAGACGATATGCTGTGGATTCGTTAAGAGAGGATATGCTTCGGACTCGTTAAGAGAGGAAATGCTGCGGACTCGTTAAGAGATGATATGCTGCCGATTCGTGAAGAGAGGATATGCTGCGGACTCGTTAAGATAGGATATGCTGCGGATTCGTTAAGTGAGGATATGCTGCGGACTCGTTAAGAGAAGATATGCTATGGATTTGTTAAGAGAGGATATGCTGTGGATTCGTTAAGAGAGGATATGCTGCGGATTCGTTCAGAGAGGATATGCTGCGGATTCGTTAAGAGAAGATATGCTGCAGACCCGTTAAGAGAGGATATGCTGCGGACTCGTTAAGAGGGGATATGCTGCGGATTCGTTAAGAGAGGATATGCTGTGGATTCGTTAAGAGAGGATATACTGCGGACTCGTTAAGAGAGGAAATGCTGCGGACTCGTTAAGAGAGGATATGCTGTGGACTCGTTAAGAGAGGATATGCTGCGGACTGGTTAAGAAAGGATATGCTGCGGATTCGTTAAGAGAGGATATGCTGTGGATTCGTTAAGAGAGGATATGCTGCGGATTCGTTAAGCGAGGATATGCTGCGGACTCGTTAAGAGAAGATATTCTGCGGATTCGTTAAGAGAAGATATGCTGCAGACCCGTTAAGAGAGGATATGCTGCGGACTCGTTAAGGGAGGGAATGCTGGGGACTCGTTAAGAGAGGATATGCTGCGGACTCGTTTAGAGAAGATATGCTGCAGATTTGTTAAGAGAGGATATGCTGCAGATTCGTTAATAGAAGATATGCTGCGAATTAGTTAAGAGAGGATATGCTGCGGAATCGTTAAGCGAGGATATGCTGCGGACTCGTTAAGAGAAGAGATGCTGCGGACTCGTTAAGAGAGGATATGCTGCCGATTCGTTAAGAGAGGATATGCTGCGGACTCCTTAAGAGAAGATATGCTGCGGACTCGTTAAGAGAAGATATGCTATGGGTTCGTTAAGAGAGGATATGCTGTGGATTCGTTAAGAGAGGATATACTGCGGACTCGTTAAGAGAGGAAATGCTGCGGACTCGTTAAGAGAGGATATGCTGTGGACTCGTTAAGAGAGGATATGCTGCGGACTGGTTAAGAGAGGATATGCTGCGGAATCGTTAAGAGAGGATATGCTGCGGACTCGTTCAGAAAAGATATGCTGCAGATTCGTTAAGAGAGGCTATGCTGCAGATTCGTTAAGAGAAGATATGCTGCGAATTAGTTAAGAGAGGATATGCTGCGGAATCGTTAAGCGAGGATATGCTGCGGACTCGTTAAGAGAAGAGATGCTGCGGACTCGTTAAGAGAGGATATGCTGCAAGAGGATATGCTGCGGACTCGTTAAGAGAGGAAATGCTGCGGACTCGTTAAGAGAGGATATGCTGCTGATTCGTGAAGAGAGGATATGCTGCGGACTCTTTAAGAGGGGATATGCTGCGGATTCGTTAAGAGAGGATATACTGCGGATTCGTCAAGAGAGGATATGCTGCGGACTCGTTAAGAGAGGAAATGCTGCTGACTCGTTAAGAGAGGATATTCTGCGGACTGGTTAAGAGAGGATATGCTGCGGAATCGTTAAGCGAGGATATGCTGCGGACTCGTTAAGAGAAGATATGCTGCGGATTCGTTAAGAGAGGATATACTGCGGATTCGTCAAGAGAGGATATGCTGCGGACTCGTTAAGAGAGATATGCTGCGGTTTCGTTAAGAGAGGATATGCTGCGGACTCGTTCAGAAAAGATATGCTGCAGATTCGTTAAGAGAGGCTATGCTGCAGATTCGTTAAGAGAAGATATGCTGCGAATTAGTTAAGAGAGGATATGCTGCGGAATCGTTAAGCGAGGATATGCTGCGGACTCGTTAAGAGAAGATATGCTATGGATTTGTTAAGAGAGGATATGCTGTGGATTCGTTAAGAGAGGATATGCTGCTGATTCGTTAAGAGAGGATATGCTGCGGACTCGTTAAGAGAGGATATGCTGCCGATTCGTGAAGAGAGGATATGCTGCGGACTCGTTAAGAGGGGATATGCTGCGGATTCGTTAAGAGAGGATATGCTGCGGACTCGTTAAGAGAAGATATGCTATGGATTCGTTAAGAGAGGATATGCTGTGGATTCGTTAAGAGAGGATATGCTGCGGATTCGTTAAGAGAGGATATACTGCGGATTCGTCAAGAGAGGATATGCTGCGGACTCGTTAAGAGAAGATATACTGCGGATTCGTTAAGAGAGGATATGCTGCGGACTCGTTAAGAGAGGATATGCTGCTGATTCGTTAAGAGCGGATATGCTGCGGACTCGTTAAGAGAGATATGCTGCGGTTTCGTTAAGAGAGGATATGCTGCGGACTCGTTAAGAGAGGATATGCTGCTGATTCGTTAAGAGAGGATATGCTGTGGACTCGTTAAGAGAGGATATGCTGCTAATTCGTTAAGAGAGTATATGTGTTTTCATAACAGGCATTGAAAACACCCAAAAAGTTTCTAAATGGCAACCTGTGCAAGGACTTCATCATGCGTTTTATGAGGGTTTTTTCCTGAATGCGTAACAAGACGTGAATCAGTAATTTGAACTTTTGAGTACCAGCGGTTCAAGCAATAGCGCATTTCTACATTTCCTTATTCTAGTCTTGACGATATCAACGCATAAACCAGTGTTTTTCAGTCGTCTGTGATGAGGAACTGACGGATGCAACCAATATTTGTAACTTAAACGTTACAACACCTAGTTGGTGATGTCGCATTTCATTCCATAGTCAGAAAACCACTGAATTCCTCATAAATGACATGGCTTGTATGGCACTGGTATCGGCGCTAAGTTGTAATGTAGGTAAGCTCTTTTATTGGTTTTCATAGGTGTACAGATAGAGTGAGTTTTGTTTTAACAAGGTCCAACTTTAACATATTGGAACTTATCCAAGTTCAAGTTCAAGTTCTTTATTAATTTTAGGTCTTACGACTTATCCAGACACTCGTGCCCAGCAAACATGTTTCCAATTCAATGAACAAATGATCCCAGACTCTTCCCAGTTGCCAAGGGGTCTAATGCCAATGAATGATAGGAAAGTGTGTGTTTACGATTTCTTGAATAAGTTTCTAATGTAAACAGTATGTTCTTGGTACAGATCCTTGGAGAACACCAAAATCACGAATTATCCCAAAATTATACACACCGTTGCCTAATGCCAGTCGTTGCTTCATGATACAGGAAAGTGCGTACCTATCCTAGGGTGTAACATAACCTCAATGTTTGTGTTGTTGTGTACCTATCCTAGGGTGTATAGTGCAGGCGCTTGAGCAATTGTCGTCAGCTATCATATGTGGCATGAAATGCAGCAGATAGATCTAAAAGCACTAAAACTGTCGAATATTTGTTTCCAAAGCCATGGCAATTTTTGATGAATGGCAGAGACGGTAGTCAGATTGAAGGCTGTTGTGGAGGAAAATTGTCATCAAGATGCTTCTAAAGTCACATGGCTATCACACAGAGAGACACATTCGACTATGGTCATTGGTCCTTCATTTCGTTCTTGTCTAGCCAGGTATCTTCATCGGAGGATGGACAATAGTTATTTTCGAGCCTTGACAGGACCCAGAAAGCGATTTGGTTATGACAGAGCTTTTCAGAAGGGGCAGATATTTTTACACATTCGAAAGAAATGAACAGGATCAAGTTAACTGAAGATTTATTTGGAGCCTTTACAATTGTACTGAGTGACAAATCATCAGATATTTTGACTTTGCCAAGTATCAAGTCTCATCCTCAAATCCAATGTCAGCCATTGTAGATGCAGCGTCAATGTCAACTGAGGAATTGATCCCACAGTTAATTTCTGTTAATTTGTCGATGAAAGTCAGCTGAAATCTTCGAACAAACTATCGTCCGAGGCATAGTTCGGCAGAATTTACACTATCGCCTCCTCTTACCATCAATTCCTCGATATCCAGGGGTTACGTTCACTTTCGCTCTCTACACCCCTGGGATATGTCATAGCAAAATTGAAGGATCAGTGTGCGCCACCTTGTCGATGAGACAAGAAGGCTAGTTCGATCCTCTGATATACATCAAAAGAATCTCGCGGTCGCGTAACGGTAAAAATTGACAGGCTTTGAAGTCGGGCGTCTCTCCTTTGTAATCTTCAAAGGACATGTATCAGCCTAGCGATTGGTCAGGTTTTTTTTACCCGAGACCAATCAAACAGCTATCTGCGTGCCTTCAATTTTGCTAAGACATATTCCAGGGTTGTAAAGAGCGAAAGTGAGCGTAACCCCTGGATATCGAGGATGGTAGAGCCAGGACGAGAAGTTTACCCACTTTTCGTACATCTAGTGGTAGACAACAATCTTCTTTTTCTAGCAGTGTCACGGTTCATTGTATTCACATTTTACTCAATAACTTTACCCAGTACTCCTCTAATTTTTGAAATTCATAAAATTTAGAGGTTTCAAGCATAACTCTCGATGTCATTTATGAAATTATGAAATCGCTTATCGAAGACAAATAGTTCTTTACTGATTTGCAATTTTTATGATAAGTAACAAGAGGCCCAGGGGCCTTAATAGCTCACCTGGTATTTTATTTTTCAATTTAAAACCTGCTGAGTACCATTTAGGTTTATCAAAGGAGTACAAGTAACAAAGTTGCATCTTCCATTTATAAATATTCAATTCCCTTTGCCCAAAGATTCTCTAAAACAAGTTTGGTTAGGTTAAAATCCCTTCAACGGTACAGAAGGAGAAGGATCTTTAATGTTTTCCTCTATTTCCCCTAATGGGCCCCACTAATCTGCCCCAAAGAAGGGGAATCCACACACCTCAGTTTAAACAAAATTGATTCTTTTCTCCCTAAGCATGCTTCAGACTGCATTTGGTTTAAATCCCTTCACTTGTATAGTAGGAGAAAAAAAATCCTCTATTTCCCCTATTGGGCCCCGCTCCTATGCCGCCAGAAGGCCCACACCCTCCGTTTATACAAACTTGAGTCTCCTTTGTCCAAAGATGCTCTAGGACAAATTTGGTCAAAATCCTTCAATTGGTTGAGGAGAAGATTTTTAAAGATTTACCTATTTTCCCCTATTTGGCCCCGTCCCTCTGCCCCCAGGGGGACCATACCCTCCGTTCATACAAAACTGAGAACCCTTTGGCCAATGATGCTCCAGACCAAATTTGGTCAAAATCCCTTCATCGGTACAAAAGGAGAAGGATATTTGATGTTTTCCTCTATTTCCCCTAATGGGCCCCACCCATCTGCCCTTAGAAGGAGGCCCACACACCTCAGTTTATACAAAATTGATTCTTTTGTCCCTAATCATGCTTCAGACTGCATTTGGTTAAAATCCCTTCACTTGTATAGCAGGAGAAAAAAAATCCTCTATTTCCCCTATTGGGCCCCGCCCCTCCGCCCCCAGAGGGGCCACACCCTCCGTTTATACAAACTTGAGTCTTCTTTGTCCAAAGATGCTCTAGGACAAATTTGGTCAAAATCCTTCAATTGGTTGAGAAGAAGAACATTTTTAAAGATTTACCTTTTTTCCCCTTATTTAGCCCCGCCCCTCTGCCCCGAGGGGGGGCTATACCGTCCGTTTATACAAAACTGAGAACCCTTTGGCCAATGATGCTCCTGACCAAGCTTCAGACTGCATTTGGTTTAAATCCCTTCACTTGTATAGTAGGAGAGAAAAAATCCTCTACTTCCCCTATTTGGCCCCGCCCCTCTGCCCCCAAAGAGGCCACACCCTCCGTTTATACAAACTTGAGTCTCCTTTGTCCAAAGATGCTCTAGGACAAATTTGGTCAAAATTCTTCTATTGGTTGAGAAGAAGAAGATTTTTAAAGATTTACCTATTTTCCCCCTATTTGGCCCCGCCCCTCTGCCCCCAGGGGGGTTATACCCTCCGTTTATACAAAACTGAGAACCCTTTGGCCAATGATGCTCCTGACCAAATTTGGTCAAAATCCTCTGAGCCATTCAGGACAAGTAGCATTTTAAAGGAAAAAGTTGACGGACGCCGGACGCCGGACGCTGGACGCTGCACCATGGGATAAGCTCACTTGGCCCTTTGGGCCAGGTGAGCTAAAAATGTCGTTAAATATGCAATTCTTTACTTTTTAAGTGACATATTTTAATGAAATAGACTAAACGACTCCAGAAAAAGGATACCACCAAGCAACGGCTACCACTTCAAGATAGCATAAGCTTCTCCCGTAGATTGTGTGCAGGTAAGATCGATCTAATGGCGAGATGCTGCAGTGAGAGGTAATTATGTGGCTACATATGTCACTTTATAATGTAATAAATGCAGTAAATCAAGATTTTGTCCACAGGTTAACTATATAGAGAATATATGTACGTGTTCCGTTCATGATCATATTTTTACATATTTCAGGGGGGTAAGGTGTGGTTCTGATGATTTTCGGAAGTGCGAACTAGGGGAGATTGAAATGGTTCTACGGAAGAAAGAGCAGCTTAGATCGTGAAAGTCGTCAATTGAAATTGCTGAAGATGGCTATAAAACATCACAAAAGAAGGTAGTTAAAAAGGTCAATGATATTCTATTTTATTCACAAATGTACAACCAATTATCATCCACGTTACTAATTACAAGCAGTTACTAACTAATGTTGTTCTACGTTTACATATTGCTAAACAATCGCTGCTTTAACTTCAATTGTTGTGAATTGTTTTTCTCAAAATGGATTCTTGCTTTGATTTCGGGGATACTTTTGTTCTCACTATTGCTCCAATATATCTCGAATGTTTGGATTTTCGATGGATATTGCTACAACTAGCACAATAACAAAATCGAGTCTAAATCAATATTGTCACAGAATGATCCTGAACAAAAATTCCACACAAAATGCAAGCAATCCTCTAGTTTTGTACAGATTGTTTTCCTATTGAACAGCAACATACGTTTTCAACATGCGGATTACCTTTGCCTTGTATACTGGTCGATAATAGTGATAACATACTAGTGTTGGTACTCCAAATAGCACTACAAACAGGTAGATATGTGCATGTCCATATAAGGATGCACTCTGTGGTCAGAGACTTACTTGACTTACAAGGGTATCTCTATTAAAAAGTATGTGTACATAACAATATAATGACATGTCCCATAAAAATGTTGTAACTTAAACGTTCATGTCCATATAATATATGGACATGCTCCATAACGAAAATAATTGGATTGGCCTTATATTCACTTACAAAATCAACATTCATATAATGAACCCTTACATCCCTAAACAATCAAATTGGCTTGACCTAACATCCCTTAAACAATAAAATAAGCACATCCGCAGTGGAAAATCCAGAAGATCAATAGTTGCTGGAGACTAGAATTAAACACAACTTATATTTAGCTCCGATATATCAAAGATGAACATGTATGCTGCATGACTCTAAATGCATAAACTTAGTTGATTTATAAAATCTATATATTCATTTGAATTAATTGATAATACCTTGTTGCCAAGTATTCTACTTTGTAGGGAGAATACATTTTTACTATTTAATTTTCACCTTTGAAATTATCACATTTTTTTTACAGCTCACCTTTTTGCTAAATTTCAATCAAATCATTTCATATTACAGTTTAAACTATGGTATTTTTCACTATTAATTTGTTCTGAGAACAATTCTTGAAAAGATTTTGAAGATAAATTAAAAGTATGGAGTACAGGAAGGGATCACTGCCACCTATCTCTTATAATATAGGGGAGGCAAGGTTCCTGTGATTAGGCTTCCGTTACCCTAGATTAGCACACAAAATCATCAGTAAATTTATTTGAAGCTCCAGGGCAATGAAAATATGCGTTTGGTACTACTAGTTTATTTGGACCGAATGAAAGAATGCAGAATCTACTTAGTGTCCGACCAAATACAAATAGATCCATTTTTAAACTATACATTTGAACATATTTCATTCACCTTTATTTTCAACTGTTTTATAAGTGAAGGCAAAGAAAAAAATCAATCTCATGAAGCAATTTGCATCTGATTTGAACCATTTTTCCCCACAAGAAATAGTTCTGCAATACACCACTGCATAAATATCAAACAAAACTAATTAGCGCTCATAGCAAGCTTATTTTAATTATTTTAATTTTAAATGAAATATGGATTTTTCTCTTTCTCTCTCTTGTTCTCTCTCTTAATCAAACCTATCATTTAATGTTATTTTTAAACGCAATGCAAGTCCCAAGCATTATAGCACTATAAAGATGACAGCACATTACAACATATACACATTGTCCAATTCCTTGTTATAGCCCCAAAACTTCAAACATGTATTTAGAACAATCTTCAATATGTTCCTTAGAAATTTCATATTTCTAGATGATAGGGTCATTTATTTTCCTGAACAAATACATGTAAAAATAATACTTGTATATTTAAACTGAAGGTACCACTGGCAGCAAAAACTGAATAGATTCCTTCTTGCTAAAACATTTTTTGGGGAAAACAAAGATATTAAGAGAGTGTCAAAAGTTTGTGTTTTTTGTTTTCCAAAACTTAGCATTACAAATTATATTATGCACAATTTATTGGTTTGATTATAAATACAATGTATATCAATAAGATGTTTCCTGTTTCTTTTAGTTGCATTATGGTAAATCAAAACCCAATGTTTCAGATGGTGAAAATACAATAACGCAAAACTCAGAATATGAGTTTTAATTCATTTGTAACTTGCAAAAAATGTGTATTCCCATCTTTATCAACAGAAAGGTGAATAACATCAAAAATTAAAAAACTTCTGAATGCAGATATTTACCGTTTATTATCTAATACTATCATATACATTGGAACCTTCCAAGTTATCAGACTATCTAAAAACTCTGGGTTTCCGAAGATTAGATTCAGGAACTTGTATACATTATTTCTACTGTTATAAGTTTATTGATTAATTAGGGAAATTCTTCATTTAAAAGGTTTTTCCCTAGAACTAGATCTCATTGATTCCTCAAATATATATATGAATGCAAGCACAAAGTTATGTATAATACATATGAACACAACCACCAGCAGTTCAGAACCAATCTGCTATCTTGAAAATTGAATGAAAGACAAATTTATATTTATAATTCATTTATGATTTAAATACCATTAATTACAAATAAACATTCTCAGGTAAAATATTTATTCAAAAAGGCAGTTTTCCAATTTGTTATATATACACAGTAGAATTTATGACATGAAATCCCTGCAATAATAAAATAGCAATGAGAAAATAGAATTCAAAAGGCAACTTTGTATGAGACTGCTTACTATATATTAAGAAGATGAAATGCTTTGCAACATTTCATTAGTATTAGAATGTATTACTTTATATCTATAATGGTCGGTTCTAAAACATTTATTGATAATAAATAACGATTAAAAGAATTCATTTAGAGTTTAGGATAACAAAAATAGCATTCAGTCGAGTTTGGCACACTCTTGTGTAACTAAATGCATTGGCTGTCTATTATCATAGGCAATGCCCAACTGTTCAAACCTTCAAACTCATTTTTTAAACTTTATATTGATATTCATCTTTAAAATAAATGAATTATTTCTAAATATCTGAAACTTTGAATTCTAGTAATTTTAAGTTTCCTGTGTGTACTTGATTCCTAGGCTTTCAATCTAACAGTTTTACTGTTGTACATTTTTTAAAGCTAACCAGCAGAAAAAGGCATAAGAATATGTGTTTGAAAACATCCTCTACTAATTTTTGTAGTTCCTCTGCATTGCTAACACACTGAATGTTAGTACACAGCAAAAGTTTCCGGTTATATTTTCTAAATGTCCAAAATGTCTTTGCTAGTACAGTGTATTATCAAATTTCTTTCATGAAAATGGTTATTTTGAATCCCCATATATATCGCTGCATTAAGAAGTGTAGATTTTTTCAAAAACACTTTTACATATACATTAAAAAGTCATGAAACTCGGGGAATGTAATCTTTGAATATCCAGACCATGGTAAATTTATGTGAATCAGTGGTTATGAAGGTGATAAACACAGTATTCTTGTACTATGCTTAGTACTATTATATCAATGATTCATGATTGTATCATTATTCAAATGAACACTGCTGTAGTCATGGCGCTGTGTAGCAATATAGCATACCCCATCACTGTTTCTATGATAACATAGTACATACAGAAACACTGTATGAATGGTAAAGGTCCCAGTTACATTGTATCCGAGTTAACGATGCATACATGACAACCCAGTTCTCACAGTGACACTGTATCCACGGTAACACAGTATCACAATGTGTATCCATGGTAACACAGTTCTCACAGTGACACTGTTTCCAAGGTAACACAGCTATCAAATTGAGTGTATCCATGGTAACACAGATCTCACAATGACAATGTATCCATGGTAACACCAACCTAACAGTGGAACTGTATCGATGGCAGCACAGTATTAATGTAGTAAGAGATTAGTAGCAGTAATATAGTATTCATGATAACACATTTTTGTATTTAAGGTTTTACAATCCTTAAAGTACTGGCACTAATATAAACCTATATAGAATGATGAAGTATTAGTTTATACAAAGTTACCTAGTTTTGAGAAAATGTCATGTACATGTATCTGTATCATTATTAATGAAGTACAAGGAAACAAAGGAATGGATAAACAGTTCTGTCCTTCAACCACGATCAAAATAAATTAAAACTGGATGTCATTATTACAGCTGACATGTCTTAAGAAAAAAATCAGTGAATAATTCATACAAAATGACCATTTTAATTGTTTACAATCACAATATTAATCTTTAATATATCAATATAGTATAAATGATTTTTGATCCATGGTCATTAGCCGAGTCCAGCTACAGATAAAATCATAGAACCAGGCAGCCAACTAGCATTCAGCAATCTTTTTGTCAAGGAAGTTATTTATTTATGTAATAAACATGTTCTGTTTTTTCTTTGTTTTTTCCACGTTTTTTTTTTTTTTTTTTTTAAATAAGTGCAGAGTCTACATTTTACTGTGGCCATTTGTGACTACCAGTCGTTTAGTATGATAAATCGTTTGGGCTATACACAAATGTTTCTAGCACCGTCAAATATATTGATTCTCCTGCTGTTGTAACAGTAGAGAAGAAATTCAGGACATATAATTTTTTATCAACTAAACAACTGATGTTCTGCTGTGTGCAGTACAAATATCCCCAACACATAAACATCTATACAATGTACTCTCACTCCATCTAAACAGATCTCATAACCCAGTAATAAACATATTTTAATGAGAAACATGGAGATCTGAATAATATATAAAGTTTTCCAATATTTACGCAGTGTAATGAATGAAATTAAATTGTATAGTAAAGAAATCGGTGAACCAATCCAAAATCAGAGAAGCGTCTTCCAAAGTCATTAAAAATCAGCTGTTGAACTATCACCTGATAGGTAACATTAACACGAAACACAGTGGGTTGTAAACCTCACACTAGGGACAGTGGATTGTAAACCTCACACTAGGGATAGTGACTTTTATGTTCACACGAGACATGTATATTGAAACACATGTGTATGGGGAACTTAAATGGAATTCCAGCTGGCTTTTAAATGACCTTAGATATAATGAACTAAAGTGTGATGTATAAAACTATAACGTCACTCAAGATGGCACCACTTCACATATTACCTCATATTAAAGAAGATTCTGGATTGGTCCACCAAATCATTAACTGGAATCATTAAATAATAATGATGAAAAATTGTGAGAATTTTCCATTTTTGAATTGCAACCTTTCAATATTGACTGAACAATGCCAGGTAAATCTGTCATTGATGACACATGGTGATAAAGGTATTGTTTACAGCACTTTGTAGACTTCTTAATCACGGTGCAAGGTGAAAGGTGAATAACACTTTGGAACATGAAACCAATGCATATTCATGCCTTTCTGGCACAGTTATCACTCAGGGGATCTGTCACGCTCCAGTGCTAACACTACCAAAACAACTCACACACTTTGTTTCACATTACACATGACAAATAATTCTAGTCATGACATCTATGGAATCATGTGATTGGTATTGGAAGTCACATGACTGATGTAATCAGGCGACTTCTTTTAATTTGAAGCCATGTTGCTTATGTTGGAATATTCTTAATCCTAAGTCATGTGACTCCTGCTTCAGTCATCAACTTGTAGACGGGTCATGTGACTTCTGTTCAAGTCATGTGACATTTGTATCGGTCTAGTAGCTCATTTGTAAGTCATGCAACACCTTTTGATGTCGTCAGCGATATTGCCTAGGAAGGATGAGACGGGTCCAAGCAGTGTCAGTTCCATGGTTTTTATTACTGGGCGGGAGGTTCTTGTGGTGGGGGATTTCCTCCTATTGATAATGAAAAAACACATTGACATGGCTGTATACTGTTACATTGTTATCATGACATGTATTTTACAGAAAAATCTGAACATTTAACATTACCACATCTCCAATCATTAATAGGTAGATTTTTTTTTGTTCTATAGTTGATTAATTCTCTGGTAGAACTATGGATTAAAAATAGTATCTGTTAATCTGCTTTGAATATTACAGACAGGATTGATTTTGTGACAATGTAATTTGTATTCATTGAATTAGAAAGTGAAATTGCCAATTTATCATGGAAGATATGATTTCAACTTTTTCTTGTCATAAATATATTAAATGGGGAGGTGAATACACTTTCTTTTGTTCAACAACCACCCATGCATACAATATATAGAGAGACCTTTTCCCACTGCACTCTTGTTTTTCGTATATACAGTAACTTTCCCTTCCTTTCATTTATTTAGGATATAACTGTAACAGGACCACATCTGTTGACCAGGTAGCTCAGTCAATTAGAGAGACAGTATAACAATTTGTTTTTTTTCAAATCCTGGTCTAGCCCACTGTATTTTATATTTTGATTATTTCACATTTATTTATTTTTTCATAAAAATCCCACAAATTATGGTTTTCTTTTCCAGAGCGACTTATCAATGCTGTAGTCATGCAGGAAACAAAAACAGTTTGAAATGCATAGTGATAGTTTTTGGCAGTGGTACGAGGCCCCTTAACCCTTTCACCCCTAGGTAACTTGAATAGACTCTCCCATACATTCATCTGGATGAGTCCATTATGGGCTACAGTGGTGAAAGGGTTAAGTTAAATATGACAGTAACACAATGGGGCATTAAGCAATGTGATATCAATGAGAAAATGCTGTATCCATGAATGTTAAAATACCCTCTTCCTGCACAAACAGCGCCCCAGTGTGAATCAGAGAATACAATACCTTCGCTTTGTGCATCTGGGTTTTCTCCATTAGGTCGTCCCATCTGTTCCCGGAGTTGTGCCACCAAGTCTGGATGAGTTTCCTGTACTTGAGCAGCCAGCTGCTGGCCTCTAAATTAGTAAACAAATACACAAATCAATTAAGTGCTATTTCTCGTAACTTAATCTTGTGACTGCTATAAGTTCCATCACTCCCAGCTCTTTTTTTGACAATTCTGTTGTGTGAAATAACATCACAAGGTTACTTTGTCATGTCATCCTTGCAATTTGCGTTATTACATTACAATAATCTTGCACCCAATTTTCTGTCAATCAAAATATATTTTCCTTAATGAATAGATTACCACTTCTGAGAATTGGTTACTTACACTTGTAGAAGTCCCATGGAACTTGGATTACCTCCTGACTGAGCCCCCGACATCATGTTTGTCATCCTGTCACCATCAATAATACATAAGTTTTACTACATATTAGTTGAATTAATAATGGGGGAAAAATGATAATTCACGCCTACAAAGGTCAGAATTATAAACAATATCATATTGCAACATATAGGAAATATTGCAAAATTCAGTTAATTTGTAATGGTTTTATCTATTAGAAAAAAATATGTGAGCAACAGTTCAGCAAGTTTAAATGATTAATTGAAAATTATTTGTATGGAGTTTTGGAAATGATCACACCAAGCAAGCTTTAACTTGGACAATATTGATCCAATCTTTACAATTTTTTCTATAAAATTATTTCATGGTTTGTTTAAAAGTCAGAAACAGTGAAAAATGATTACATTCTAATCTCATTTTAAAATAATATAGCACTACATGTATATATTGCTAGACAAATATTGCAATACATTGTTCACTCCTAGGCTACACACAAAAAGATGCTGTGCAGGTTTTAGGGTGTAGAAGTTTATCTCAACAAAAGTGAAGTAATGTGTTACAACATAACAGTATGGTATGTATTACAATCTCAGAGTTCTGGGACAATTTATCATTTCAAGATAAAGAAGGGTATGTGATTTAACTTACATTTGTTGCAGTCCTGGATCTTGCATGAATGTCCTAGCCTGTTTAATGAAATAAAATAACAGATTATCAGGTAATACCATCTCTATGCCAAACAAACTTTTTGCTTAAATACAAAGGGTAATGAGATCCAACGCCCCCTAGTGGATGTTCAGTGACGTTCTGTCTATCCCAGTTGATGGATTCCTAAATGGAATTCACTCGTCCGGCCATAAGACTAACAGAAATTCAAAAGAATCGATGACCAGACAACATCAAATGGGGAGTCTCGGCAAATATAATACAGAGCAGAATAAGATACTACATAATTATTTTTGATATTTTGTTTGTTAAATAGTTCAATTTAACCTGGTGAAAACTGCTGTCAAAGACATCTGACTACAGCATATACCTGTCTATACAGGACACCTCTGTACTACAGCAATTCTCCAGGTATTGCACTTTGACAAAGTTATTGCTTTTCATTTTGGGTTACACCGTCAAGCACATCTTATTATTTTATTAAGATTTGCACAGTGGAAAATATGTGTAGCTAAACAAGGGTTACAACTTCAGGGATTGTGTTCTGACTAGAAACACAGCAAATATAATAATCCTCTGACATGAAACTACGACTATTTCATTACAATCTGATAACACTGTTATCTTACACACTGTGACATCTATCAAAATTGATGTCTGCCACATATTTTCTGTTCAGATGCTGAGGATACAACATGAATGTTATCACTATTCAGTAGTTGTTTGGTATCTTTGCTACGTACACAAAGATCTTAACTACATACACAAAGATCTTAACTACATACACAAAGATCTTAACTACATACACAAAGATCTTAACTACATACACAAAGATCTTAACTACATACACAAAGATCTTAACTTAACTACACAATCTACCTCACAATAGCAGAAAACAATAAAATTGCATTGAGAATCCTATTCAAAATGGCACTCAGTCTAGATAGCAAGCGTAAAGTCAATAGAATATGGTGCCAAAGAATACCCAGTGTATTCTTCCACATTTTTGTTGCAGTAACATTTTTCATCGCTTTAGTCCTTTAAATACATGTATCCTTGAAATTCAAGGGTTCTGCCCTCAATAAACATACCTTCCCTAAATTCATGGTAAAAATCATGATGAAATGAATGCTGGGGTTAAGGAATATGAATGGTTCAGGTATAAAACCTGACAAATTACTATGCTGATACCTGTTCTTTGAAGATTAAAGAGGAGCTACACCACAATTTAAAGCCTGTTGATTTTGCCATTAAGCTGCCACAACATTCTCTTGGTCTCCATTAAAGACAACAGAATAGCCTACTGTGTCATCCGCAAAGTGCTTCGTAAAGAGCCTTGGATTATGTTGTGATATTTTCCATGGGTGCAGAGTAGGTGTGCAATTTAAGAGTGGAACCCTTGGATTTCAAGGAATTAATAGAAAATTTGATGGTTTCATGTTGAGTACCGTATATATATTTCATGTGCATGGCAGAATACTGATAGTTTTTGTGAGTTTAAATCCTCTATATGCAGTATAAAGGCAAAATCTGTATCGCATATACCTGTCTATAAAGATCACCCCTGCAAAGCAAATACCTGTTGATATATAGAGACCATCTCTATATCAAATACCTGTCTATTAAAGTCATCACAATGTAGTGAATAGTTGTTATACTGGTTTATAAAAGTCACATCTGTACAACAATTACCTGTCTATAATGGTCACCTCTGTATAGCATACAGGTCTATAAAAGTCACACCTATATAGCAATTACCTGTCTTCAAGGTCATCTCTACAGCAAAATCTGCCTATGAAGGTCATCACTATGTAAAAACGTCCATAAAGATTTGATCAATGTATGTTATAAACCTCTCTATAACACACAGTGCTTAAATTTCCTATGTGTTCCTTCTTCAATGTATTTAATACATTGAACAAGACAACTTGTATAAATGAGGTACATTTGAACTTTCCCTTTAATACTGAGTATTTTATTAAGAATGTGTATGATAACCTACCATATTCATCATAGCGGGATTGTTTAACATTGCACCAATGTCCATTCCAGGCATTCCAGGCATTCCTGGCATCCCTGGCATTCCTGCCATCCCTTGCATTCCTGCTGCTCCCATGTTAAATCCAGTCTGAAACAATAGACAAACTGTTTACTAGGCCGCTTTTGTTTATCGCAATCCAAACGGTTGGACCAATTGTCAATATAAAGCAAGTCATGGGAGAGAAAAGGGAGAAGACTCTGACAGCTTTCACACAAAATTGATATTTAATTATTGGACACAAGAATAAAACTGTTAATTTACAATGTTAGTGAAATTTAGATATAAGTTACAATACCTGTGTTGCTCGTTCCTTTAGTTTCTGTTCAGATATTTCAAGATTATTCTGATGTGTCTGATTGCCAGGATCAAGATCAAGGGCCTTTCTGTAGCATTCCAGGGCACTTTCGTGGTCATCTAGAGCTGTGTACGCAATCCTGTTGGTAAAAGGCACAACACCTATATTACTACAGGAAACACACTGTGCAAATACAGGTAATATGGATGGCAATCATGTAAAGCAGGATGATTTTTTAAGTGCTATTTTCTTTTTCTATTTTCAATTGTTTTTATGGACTTTTTTTATTCAACTCTAAGGCTATTATCAAAGCACAAACAATTTGGAGTGAGTCTTGTTTTTTCTTGGTTGAAATTTAACATTGTCACAACATCTATGGCCATCTGAAGATGAGTGCCTTGTGAGACACTGCTAAAAAGAAATAGTAAATAGGAGAGAAAACTAAAGATATAGGTACAAACTGTTGCCAAGAATGCAGCAAATCATATTTCGGTTTCTTCAATGACTTATAAAAGACCTGAATCTGCTGGGGCTTCCCATTAGACAATTCATACCGCTGGGGCTTCCCATTAGACAATTCATACTGCTGGGGCTTCCCATTAGACAATTCATACAAACATGCAGTTGGATACAGCAGGTTTGGTTTTATTCGCAAACCTGCACAGACAATTTAGAGAAGGAGCATGTAATTATATTCTATTTATAAATGTATTCAGCTATCCACTATCTTTCTTATCCTCTTTAAAAGTAATACTTAATAAACAATTTTAAATGTTCCCGACATAATTGACAATATCCCTCTGAGATATAAGGGGAGCTAACCCCATAATATCCCTTAAAATATTTAATTGCACCATGTTTCAGCAACTGTAGTCCTGGTCAATAATGAAATACAACCTTTTGTCATCCTTGAAACTCCTAGAGTTTCACTCACATGGGTTCTCTGCACCCCTGGAATATATGATGGCAACATTGAAGACACAAAGATATCTATATAATTGGTCTCAGGCGACAAACCTGACCAATCGCTAGGCTGATACCTATCCTTTGAAGATTACAGAGGAGTGACACCTGACTTCTTTTGATGTCCATCAAACAATCAAACTAGTCTTCTTGTTTCATCCACAAGGTGGCACACATGGAGCCTTAGATTTTGTCATGATATTATTCCAGGATTGTAGAGAGTGTAAGTGAGGGTAACCCTTGGAGTATCAAGGATGACCTTGGCCTATATGGGGAGGTAAGCTAAAAGTCTGCTTTTAATGATATACTTACCCCATCCTTCCATACGCTTTACTGTAGCATGGGTCTATAGACAGTGCCCGTTGACAATCCTCTATGGTGAGGTCATGTTTGTTTATTTTACTGTATGCTGCTGCTCTGTAAAACAAGGCCCATTGGTGACTCCATAACACTGAATATGCAGTTCATAGTAGAAAAATTAGCATCTTTCTATCACAAAAAAAGTTTGAAATTTAAGGACAAATTTGAGTAAAATTATTCAACTATTAAAATCAGTCGAATTTTATAAGTGATGCGATATGTTTACAGGTAAGTTAATGTTTGGCTATAAGCCCATCTTGTCCTTGATATAAACTGATTAAACAAGTCCTTTCTGCATATCATTTAAAAAATATTTTGAATTTTATGTAGGTTAGTTCAGATTTCAAAGACTGGACCTGACCCCTGACCTCTCACCCCAGAGATAACCACATGTAAAATATAACATGAGGAAAAAATTGGTTATACCTGTTGCAATAGTAGACAGGGTTTTTGTTGTCAAGTTTAATCGCTTGAGTGTAATACTCCACAGCATCTGAATACTTCTCAGCCTTCATAAATTCATTTCCTGAAATATGTAAACATACAACATAATGATTAACTGAGTGCAGCGAAATTTATCATTTCTAAGATAACATGCAAATGGGGTAGTTGAAATAATCACCTTCACACAATCATAACAAGAGGCCCAGAGGGCCTGTATCGCTCTCCTGGAAATGTTAGCAAAATTGAATAGCATGATGTTACTGGAAGTTACCAATGTTTCTATTGGGCCCCACCCCTCTGTCCCCAGGGGGGTCGGACCCATCATTGATACAAAATTAGGTCCCCTTCACCCAAGGATGCTTTAGACCAAATATGGACATAATCCTGACATTCCTACAGTAGAAGAAATGGCTCCACCCATCAAGACCCCAGGAGGTCCAAACCCACCAATTATACAAAATTAAGTCCCCTAATTGGCAAAAGGATGCTTCAGACAAAATTTAGTCTAAATCTACTTGGCCGTTCAGGACAAGTAGCGTTTTAAAGGAAAAGTTGACGGACAGACAACAGACGTTGCGGTATGGCATAAGCTCACCATGGTCCTTCGGACCAAGTGAGCTAAAAATGTATAAGTAATTATTCAAATGAAACTGTCTTTCTCAAAAAGTTTATTATATTAAAAGCAGTGTCCTGAACATGTATTTATTAAGTGTTCAAATCAAACATTAAATGATGATTAAACTGAAACATTCAATTAATAATCAAAGAACCTGTTGCTTTCTTATCCTCTGCTTGTTGTTTCTCTTCCTCTGTAGGTTCATGTAAGGATAATGTTGAAAAATCAGAATCAGGCTGAAATTGAACAGCAGAAACAACATAATAACTTGTAGATCTACATGAATTTAAGGAGATCCAGCACACTCCGTGGATTCAGCTATATTATAGCTCTTAAAAACTATAATGGCTGTCTCTACCTATCTGAAATAGGTATTTTTAGCTGTTTTCATTCAATTTTCAATCTAAAACAGAATGACATACAGTCCCATATAAAATTTAAAATAAGATTTAATCACTATTTTGGTAACAACAGACAACAAATAAACATATCCTTTTTTATTATTAAATGTTGATGTAAAAAAATCGGAAAAATAAAGATATACCTTTAAATGTATGCCTTTTTTAGTCAACGTAACTATAAAACCAATTAGGTATTTATTTTCATTAAAATGAAATCTTAAGAAATATATCTCAATACACCTATAAATTATAGGTGGATATTGCTACAATAGCATGTATAGGTCTTTACAGCAATATAGCTCAATCGGCAGAGTGAACTGAACCTGATATGTAACCCAGACTACATCCTGTAAATCAGTATGTGGAACTGGTTTCTTGGTTCACTACTCTTACACATTAAGCACTAGTGCTACATGAAAACATTTCTACAATCCTGGTGGTGCATTCCCTATGAATGCCAACTGATAGCAATTCAATGATTTAACAAGAGGCCAATGGGCCTAAACGGTCACCTGAGTCTACAGTATTTTTGTTGTTGAAATATGTACCAATTTGAGTAAAAAATAGTATAATGTTAACTTAACTTTGTCAGGACCATGAGCTGATCATTCCTAGACCAATTTTAAGTGAGATCGGCCTATTAGAACTTAGTAGCAAAATAGCGGCCATGGCAGCCAAATTGTATTTCTGATTGACCCGAAAAATAACAACACTGTGTCAGGACCATGATTCGATCATTCCTACAAAGTTTCAGTTCAATCGGCCAAGTAGAACTTTACTTTAAGTTTGAAATAGTTTTTCAAAATGGTAGGCGTGGTGGCCATATTGGATTTCTGATCAACCCGAAAAATAACAACACTTTGTCAGGACCATGATTCGATCATTCCTACAAAGTTTCAGTTCAATCGGCCAAGTAGAACTTTACTTTAAGTTTGAAATAGTTTTTCAAAATGGTAGGCGTGGTGGCCATATTGGATTTCTGATCAACCCGAAAAATAACAACACTTTGTCAGGACCATGAGTCGATCATTCCTACAAACTTTAAGTTCAATTGGTCCAGCAGAACTTGACTTTAAGTTTGAAATAGGTTTTCAAAATGGCGGCCGTGGCGGCCATATTGGATTTCTGATTGACCTGAAAAATTACAACACTTTGTCAGGACCATGAGCTGATAATTCCTACCAACTTTCAGTTCTATCGGCACAGCAGAACTTGACTTTAAGTTTGAAATAGGTTTTCAAAATGGCGGCCATGGCGGCCATATTGGATTTCTGATCGACCCAAAAAATAACAACACTTTGTCAGGACCATGAGGCGATCATTCCTACCAACTTTCAGTTCAATCGGCCCAGCAGAACTTGACTTTAAGTTTGAAATGTAAAATGTTAACGGACGACGGACGACGACGGACGAAAAAGGATAGCAATAGGTCACTTGAGCTATAGCTCAGGTGACCTAAAAAGATAAAAGGTTTCAATTTTGATGACTTTGGGAGCCAAAAAATGCCCATACCACACAAAGTTAATAAAAATACATACTTATTCTAAGATAAAAACTATCGGGCAGTTCATGTTGAAATGGGGTCTTGAACTTAAATTCAGAAATTATGGTTGAACCCTATAAACAATTTGCAATAAATAACATTCATTTCAATTGAATTTGTACCAAACACCTGATAAGAAACATCCTATACAGACACCATATGTTACTTACCTCTAAACTAAGTTGTGAGTTGAATATATCCAGGAGATTCTTCTGTACCTGGTATTTAGCAATCTGACTAGGGTCGGTCATATCTAGACCATAGGCATTGGATAAGCACTGTAGTCCAACTGTAATCATGGATACTCAAGTTGAAATATTTTGTGAGACTGTTTTGTTATGACAATAAAAACAGGTTTTCTAGAACGTTTGACTTTTAGGGGTTTAGGTCTTGTAGATGTAAAAAGGATTGCTAGAAAACAGCTTGAGATCAATAGATCTGTCTCTATTTGATATTAGACAACTATATATATATATATATATGGATCAATTTATCAGACTGTTTGGAATGTGAAAACAACAGCAATCATCATATTCATACTGTCTTTTCAAACTGAAGAAAAAAACAATGGATGGAAGTTAATTAGGAACCCACTTTTTAAATTTGAAATTGAAAACGATCAAATAACAGCTGATTAATATATTTTTTTCAGGATTCCCTGCCAACTTTTCGAAGATTGAACAGCAAATGAATCTCAAGCAATATATATTACCCCGGTAATATTTTGTACATGTATATTAATCTAAGAAAAGTGTGATTTTTTTTTATGACAGAACTGATGGCATTTGCAAAATATTTATTCACATACACACAGCCTGATTGTTACACAGGATTGTTGTTTTTAAATCTTCATTTACTGTTGATATTTTGTTCACTGGTGACATGATAATAACATAAAAACAGCTCACCCTCAAGGCTCTCCAAGGAATCTTCATCAAGATCCCCAGTTACTTTCTGATCCTCCATGAACCTCATTATAGCAAACACCAACTTCTTCACATCTGCCATCTTGATCTATAGAACAATAAAATAAAAATTGAATTTCATTTTGAAAATTAGGTGACTTATATATAAAAAAAAAAACATAACAGGAGGCCAAATGGGCCGGTATCGCTCACCTGGTATTAATCTCACACTTGTAACCTTAAAAGTGATCTAAAATAAAGCTACAGGCAAAATATCAGTATTTATGACTACAAGTCATTCAAAAGAACCTGTCAAAAGAATTAAAAACATTTGACCCCTGTAACTTTAAAAGCTGAATAAGGTAATTACGTAAAACAACTTACAAATATCACCCCCCTAGACTTATTGTTTATTGAGATTAGGTCATTTAAAGGTTAATACATATTTGACCAAATGTGGCCTTGAAAGTTGGTCAAGGTCATTATCGCTAACCTGAATAATAAAGCACCCATGGGAAATTATTCTTATTATATAAAATCCCCCCAATGGTTCGGAAGAAGGAGTTTAAATATTTAAACCTCAAATTCTCCTATTGGGCCGCGCAACTCTGCACCCAGATGGGCCACATCCTCAGTTTACACAAAATTTAGTCTCCTTTGCCCAAGGATGCTCCAGGTCAGATGTGGATAAAATCCCTCCAATAATACAGGAGAAGGATTATAATGATTTTAACATCAAATTCACCTTTTGAGCCCCCCCCCCCCCCCCCCTGCATCCAGAGGGCCCATAGCGCAGAGAGGCCACAACCAATTTTTATACAAAATAGAGTCCTCTTTGCCCAAGGATGCTCCAGACTAAATTTGTTTCATTTTGCTGTCAAACCTGAACGTAACTTCATTGATCTTTTAACATGTCATGTATATAATTCTGAGTGATAGTTTACTTCAATTGTTGATTGTCCGGGGAAAAAAGGATTCTACAGGATAAAGCTTGGAAAGAGTTTTGATGAGATTGCCTTGATTGTCTAGTGGGGACAAGACATGTGGAATTGATGGCAACTATGCAATTTAATATTTTCCTGAGAAATGGTCAGTCTTGCAGTAAGACTGGCATTTTGATCTTCTAACCAATGAGATATTATAATTAATTTAGGAACAAAAGCGGCAGAGCGGACCGGTGCTGAAAAATCCCCATCTTATCTTTTTCCAACTTGCACATTTTAGTTAAGGGCAATGTAGGGAACTGGCATCTGTCAGAATGGAACACCATCTTCCACTTTCTCTCCCATGGCCTAGTCTGTTGTCAAGATATCTTCTCTGGGATTTAGCACCACTCGCTGGTGTTAATGCGAGTTAAATAAATTGTATAATCTGCAAAGATTTTTATAGATGATGAAATAATGATGAAATGCACTATTATCTATATTCCTAATACAAAGATATGTAGCGGAGCTAGACTGGGTCGGTCGTCGGCGACCAGGTAGCTCAAATGGTAGACTGTCCGTCTTGAGTTTCGAGGATAAAAGGGTCTAACCCCGATCTGTCCGTACCTTTTTCTGCTCCGGTTACATTTGGCGGCAAACGTAATATACCCACTGAAGGTACGTGGTATATGGTCTCGTGTGTCTGCGGGGTTGACAAAATTGGTTAAAGGACGAAATTGGTTAAAGGAGGGAGGAATGTAGCGGAACTAGATGGGGTTGATCGTGTGCGACCAGGTAGCTAAAATGGTAGAACGTCTGTCTAGAGTTAGGAGGGTCGAACCCAAGTCTGGCCGTAAATTTTCCACTCCTGATACAGTTATATGCATTATATTACTGTCCAGGGTCTCATGCAGGGGTCCACACTAACACTAGTCTGCTAGTAGATTTCAGCAAGGACTAGTGAATCGCCGAACCTAACTGGTCCTTTTGACTTTTTTTGAAAAAATAAACTATAAAATAAGAATGGTTCTTTTTAAGATTTAGAAAACAGCTTAAAATGAGATATATTGCATGATCATTGTAAAAAAAATCCTAAAACTTCACCATATTTTTATGGCAGTAATTATTTCAAGTCCCTACAGTATATTACTTTTGATGTTTCCTGTTGTAGATCACAATGTTTCCTTATCAGTTAATCTTGGACTAGTTACATTGATGAAGGCATACCTGCCAAGTGACCCGATTTCGTCGGGTTACACCCAGGATTTTAGCCCTTCACCCGCTTTTATAACTTCATCCGCCGGGTTACGATTTTGACCCGGATTTCGTCAATTTCACCCGTTTCCACCCGGAATCTTTTCGTATATTAGAAGTTACCGAAGTCACTCAGAATTCTCTAGACTTTTCCATCCTTCTTCACAAGAAAGACGATCTATTTCCTGTTTCCGTTTCTCACCAACAGGTAAGTTGTGAGTTGTTTATATACGTACTAGAACTGTTTTTACAAATGTTTATATAAAGAACGTTGTTACTGAACTTGCCGACAAGTTATTAGTCAGGTTTTTAACGAATAATTGAGTTGTATTTACGTAGAATAGATCGTATTTTGAAGGTAACGTTATGTCTTCTTGAAGGAAGAAGTTTTTATCGGGACTTGCAGGTTCTACTACACGAATTGCTAAAAGAAAAGATAATTGTACACATATCAAATGTCGTAGGAAAATGAGTTATAGTGTACAAAGTCCCGTGGTCGTGGACCAAACGCTGCATTCTGCACTCTAGTCAAAAACACGCACAGGCATTTGATGATTTGTTTCTGTCAATCAAAATGATCCTTACAATAAGAGTTCAAACCCTACTCGTATAAAACTGATATTTTATATGAGAAGGGTGCAACTTCTTGTTGTCAGGACCATTTTCATTGACAGAAACAAAATGCTATTTTATATGAGCAGAATGTGACATCTTGTGGGATCGTTTCAATTGACATAAAAAATGCCTGTGAAAACACAGTATCATATATATTATTATGAATTAATTTTATAAGTTGTGTTGTTGACAAATCTTTTTATTTTTCAGCTTTGAATTTGGTATTGTGGATGAGGATCAACTAGATCTGCTGGAAGAACAGTTCAATGAATGTAGAATGTAACTTTTACATCATTAAAATATTTAAGTTATAATTTAATATCTATTTTTCTTATATTTGTTGCGAAAAAAGCTGTCGCGCACTATGACCCTTTTTTTAATTTTCAAAAGAGGGTCATAACCCTCTTTCAGTATGTCCAGGGTTGGCAGGTATGCGAAGGACTAGTAAATAATCTATTCTACTAGTCCTGTGGACTACCAAGCAAAAAAAAGTTAGTATCTAACCCTGTCATGATACCTCTTTTAAATTGAATCTGAAACGCTTTAAGTTTCAATTTTCAAAGGCCGATATGGTCAAAACTGATTATCTAATTCCGTAATAGTAGACTGCTGAACTTTGCTGAAAATACCAACTACATGTATCACAGGAATGTAAATTTTGATCAAGTACTAGTACTGTACACAATAAAATATATATTATCACATATATTCCATTGCTAAATTACTAAATTTCACACAATTATTGTGCACAACTCTCAAATGTTCATATGTTGTTGAGTTTGAATGTTAGCGAGTTACAGAGGTAGTAAAATACAGTCAGTCAATTACATTTGCCTCAGGATATACATTGTGACAATTTGACATGGCAGTCACAAGCAAGTTTAGATCTGTCAGGTATGAGGAGTTGCAAAATTAACATTTACTTAGAAATTATTTGCAATATTACTCAAATTTCAGAAGATATAACACTGTTAGGAATAAATGTAACTATAAGAGTAAAAACCAATTACCTCTTGAAATGAATGACTGCAGTTTTAAGTGTAATTTCTCAAGTTGTTCACCACACCGGTGTCAGAAATTTAGACCGGAAGTAAGGCGCAGACAGGAAGTAGACCAAAAACGAGAACATTCGTTTGATTACACGACGTTTTAATTTTGCTATTGTTTTTATTTGTGTTTCTGAAACTGTCAATACATATTGTTGTTATAATGTTACAAAAAGGTTTTGTTGATTGATCAAATATTTTATTGTTATGCAAAATTAATTATTTTCAGCAACCAAAGATAGGTCGTAAAAGCACGGGCTAAAAGCACGCCATTTTTGAACGGTTGAGTTGGTGGGTAGAAATCGTATAGTAAACGCTTACTTCTTGTGTTCATTTGCGTAAAATCTGCTTTCAAAGATGTCGTCAGAAAAGATAAATACTCGAGTCATCCAAGTGACTAATGTTGCGCCTGCTGCATCAAAAGATCAAATGAAGACACTTTTCGGCTACATCGGCAGAATTGATGAAATCAAATTGTACCCTCCTGAAGCCATTCTCCCAGATCCCGAGGACCCCATGATGTAAGACAGTCTGCAACTGATAACTTTATTGTTATTTTGCATTATAGAATATTGGCTTGTCTTTTATTTCGTTAAAAAATACCAAATTAATTAGGGGCCTAATCATTTTCATAGCTAGCTATCGGGCTATAAATCAATAATCAGATAAAGCAGGGGTTTTGCCAGTTATTTTGGGAAAGGGCCCCTGAACAGGAATTGGGAAAATATCATCGGCATTTGGCAAAAATTGGGAAATATCATCAGTGTTCCAACAGGCACAGGTTCGAGAAGATATATAAGTTTTGAGAAATAAACCCCACAATGTGATTTGCAAAAATGTTTTCCTCTAGCTGTTTTTTACAGAAAATGTAACATGCTTAACATTAAACATTACACCGAAACGCAACAAAATACACTATGATTACAAACTCCACAACCACACATTACACAAAGTAGAAACAAGCAAATACTTAGGACTAACACTACAAAACAACCTACGATGATACAAACACATAAACAATATCACAGCCAATGCCAATAGGTCCCTAGGTTTTCTCAAACACAACCTGAAAATAAACTCACCACATATAAAAGAACATGCATACAAAGCACTAGTTAGGCCTAAACTTGAATACCGCTCTTCCATTTGGGATCCACACAAACCAAATTAAACAAATAGAAAAAACAACGAAGAGCAGCACGCTATGTACAAAACAGATACCACAACACTAGTTCGTAACAGACATGATCCACACACTTCAATGGCCAACACTACAAACACGACGCTTATACACTAGAATTATCCTTTTTTACAAAATTATACACAGAATCATACGTTTAAACCCAACACATATACTCACACCTGTAGACCCCCGCACCAGACAGGTACACCCGTACGCATACAAACATATCTGCTACAAAGGAAACCTACAAATACTCATTCTTCCCACACACAGTAACACAATGGAATCTCCTTCCCTTAGCAGCAGTCCAATGCACAACACTAGAGGACTTCAAGGCACACTTACCCTACACAGCCCTTGAAGCCCTCATCACACACTAGTACTTACACCAGATTTTAACTTTTTATCTATACCTTGCACAAAAAAATCACAAAAAAACCCCAACCCCACCCCTAATCACTAAAAATAACCCCCTTCACGCCTCTACAATAGGACCCCCCGATGGCATAATCATCAAACTGATGGAGCCCTCGTATCAAGAAGAAGAAGAAGAAAAAATGTATAGGATAAATAAACCACAGAAATAGATCTAAGTCCGTGAATTAACAAATCAATTTTCAGGTTTTTTTTGTTTTTTTTGTAAATTTCATTTTTTTGTTATTTATGTATTTTGAATGCTCTTTCATGGAGCGTAATACTGTGAACGTTGCACATATAACGACTGGAAACTTGTATAATCATGCTTTTTGATCTAATTGGGGAAATACAGGGTCATTTTTTTGATTGGGAATGGGTCCCTTTATAATTATCGAACCTTATAAACACCTGGCAAAACCCCTGTAAAGAGATGTGTATAAAACATTGATTTGTTGTATTGCAATATAATATGGCATACTATTTTGATGTTATTTAAAACAAAATAAAATATATTTTGCAAATGTCCATTAATTGCCCATCATAAATGTCTTTTTCCTCTTTTCCTTTTTACTAGAAATCCATTGTAATCCCTAGTAAATTCTGTCTTTAAGTATTGTCTGAGCACAAAAAATGTTTAGGCCAAATACAAATATATGTGTGTTTCCTGTTTCGGCTCCAAAAAATAGGGTGAGTAGGTAGGAAAAACATTTCATTTCATAGTTTTTTTCTGGTTAAGAAAAATCTCCTGATTACTTCCAACAACTGTGAATGTTAAAAATTTGTTATTGTTTTAAGAAAGTATGAATGGCACCAAAATATATCATTTTTATTCATATAAAATACATACAATATGTACACAAATAAATTGTACCTACCTAAATGTTTATGGAATATTCAACGTAATTTCAAGGTTATTGGTGTTTTCAATTCGTTTAAATTAATTGAATAACAAAATAAGTACATTTATATTTCCCCATATTTACAACACAGGTATTTTAATCCATCATAAAATATACAAGTCTTCACCATTGTGAACTCGATCTCTTCAATCCAAACTTATCTCCAACTATAAACTGTAAAACTACACAGATCTACAAACTACAGCTAAACCCACTATTATTACTAACTCTCCTCTATATCTCTAAACCTCTCAACTTGATCTCCCTAACTCAACCTCCTTTCTCAAGACTCCTTAACTCAACTTCCCAACCAAACTCTAGTCTCTTCTCCTCCTTTGACTCTTAAGCTGAACTACCTTACTATCTGTCCCTTAGCAAAATCCTGCTACATTTAAAATGTTGATGCTGGTGAAATCCTGCTAATAAACTGGCCATAAATCCTGCTAAATTTGACGCGCCATTTTTGGCAGTCAGCATCAGCCGGAAGCACAAACACTGATATCACAGACTGGACTCTCCCCACCTAGACTACAGACGTTCATGTACACACTAATCTACAGATCTCAACCTATATCAAAAAAACAATTATCTATGGCTATTTAGCTACTATCTTCAAATAAAACTCTGAAACTGACCACAAGCCAAGGCTAATTAAATGTATAGCAAATCATATATACACCTTTAAATTTGAACAATTGAATGGCGAATAAATGGATATAACAATGACTGTGAAAACCCAATAAAATTATCTAGGGTGGCATGAAAAGATAGGATGGGACGGGAAACACAGCTATATTTTTATTTGGCCTTATGTATGCTGTGACCCATATCAGTATAACATATATATGTGTATTTCAGACATTTGTAATGAACCCCTGTGGTCTGATCAGTAGCTTTGTAATGATGTTTTAATGATTATGGAATTTTCTATTAAAATCATTCATTGAAATAACAATTAATTGAATTGACATATGTTTCCTGTTTTACAAAGTGTTGAAACACAGTGTTCAATTTGAATAGATTTTCATATAACAGCCAACAATGCTTTTAGAACCCCCCAAAAAATTGTGGCATATGGAGCCTTGTGTGAAAAATATGATGTTTCAAAATGTGTTCTTTAGCAATATTTTCGTATGGGGTTTTTTGTCAATTTTAATTACTACCTGACACACCTTATATGGGCTTTTATTATTATATATATGAGATGCTATTTTATAACCCAACAAGCCATTTCTTTTGTCAGGCAAACAGAGAGCCATGTTACCCCAAAGGTGTGCTATGTCAAGTTTGATGATGTCACAAGTACTGGTGTTGCCATGCATCTCACCAACACCGTCTTCATTGACCGTGCTCTCATTATTGTTCCTGTCATGGATGGTAAAGTTTTAGTACATAACATTTCACTTGCTATTACATGCATCAGCTTTTTCAAGCTTATAGAATGTGATGCCTAATTCAAAGAAATCAATGTTAAGATTGAAACATAAAAGAAGACCTATGTATAGCTAGCCTACATTTGAGATTCTGAGAGTTAATAAGTACTTATCAAGAATTGGTGTATTTATATTTCATGTGTTGAATGCTACATGCTGCATATTTTATTAATCAAGAACCAGACTATCATAAGCAATTTGCGCTAAATCAAACTTACAGATTTCCCCAATTGCAAGAGTATCAGATTTCTGTATCTTCTTATCTTGTTTACATTGTCATTGTGTCGCGAAAATAGTACAAAGTTTCACTAAAACAACAATGAACAGAAATTAATATCAGAAGAAACGCTGTTTAAAGATATTTATTGGTTTTACAGGGAAAATCCCGGAGGAGAGTGTTGCTCTACAGCTTGCTCCCTCTGCTATTGCCGGTATGATGCCAGGACAACCTACTTGGCCCAGTAATGTAATGAGTCAGGTAATTATATATAGAGAAAGTTTTACTCTGATCTCTATATTTTTCTCCAAGCATAATATAATAGTAGTTGATGAATAAAGGTTATTTTCCTGGAATGCTGTGTTGTGGTAAGTAGTTTAGATACATATTTGTCTAAGGATACAATGAGTGATTTCAAAAGTTATTTTAATTTTAAGATAAAGATATATATATAAATAAAACAAAACATGAAGACACATGGACATTTAAAAGCCGATTAAACTAGTCTTCGTGTTTTGTTTTATTTATATTTTTACTGTCACATGGACATTAAAAACTATTTATCGCTATATATATATATATATGTCAGTCATGTGTATTGGGATGAAATAGTATCGAGTGCTCTTCTTTTTTTTTCATGAGTGTTGAAGTAAACTACTACCTTTTATTCTGTGGACAAGACAAATATACAAGTATATTTTTTTATCCTGTCATTTATTTTATATTTTCCTCAGATGACTGGAATTGGGTCAGGCCAGATAATCACAACTTACGACCCGCGTATGACAGCCTTGGGACTGTCTCAGTATCCTCCTCTTCCAGGAACCACTGACCCAACTAAGATAGAGGAGATTCGACGGACAGTGTATATTGGCAACCTTGACCAGACTGTAAGTAGATCGTAACTAAAACCAGACGGTAAAAACCAACAGGTCATTCAGCCGGACTTTTAGGTAGTTCATAAGTTGATCAGACTTAAAGCAGGTCATCACTCTATTACGCTGTAAAATATTGCTATTTTCAGTAGGTCATTTTTTATAAATAAGAATTCTAGGCAATTTAACTGTCAATTTCCAGGCGATTTCTTTTTCAAAGGTAGATTTCGCTTAATTCAACTTCTGAAGAGGATTGTTGTTTCTTAAACTGTCTTAGTTAAATGACTTCTGTCCACAACAAAGTTTTTAACCCTGTCTTTATATATAACATGCTACATTTCCATATTATTTTTTTTCTTTGTTATTTTGAGAATAGTTTATGTACTGCTCTAAATGTTAGTTTGTGATTGCTTCAGGTGTTATTTTTAATAAAACATTTGCTTTTTACATTTTATTCATATAGGTTGCTGCTGATCAGCTTCTGAAGTTTTTCTCTCAAGTTGGGGAAATTAAATATGTGAGAATGGCTGGTGATGAAAGCATGCTGTCTCGTTTTGCTTTTGTGGAGTTTACAGACCAGAGATCTGTGGCCACAGCTCTCACTTACAATGGAGTGGTATTCCAGGGTAGGCCAATCACGTAGGTACCAACAGATTGTGCTGATCATTGTTCAGTCCTAGAGGTGTACAATTTCATGGTTGAATACTAGCTATCAGTTGGTTTTGAAAAGTTCTATTAGATGGACCTATGTGTCATGAAAATTTCCACTAGCTCTCGACATAAAATCAGTTGGTTTTGAAAAGTTCTATTAGATGGACCTATGTGTCATGAAAATTTCCACTAGCTCTCGTCATAAAGTCGACAAACAACAAGTGTCTAGCTAGAGTCCCATTTAGGTTTTATATTAATGTAACTTTTTAAGAAAAGTGAGCAACTTCACTTCAATGATGCTAATTTGCATTAGTTTTTCTTGATACTTTATTTCCAAAATTGTCAAAAATAGATGCCTGTTTACAAAAGTTTCGCTATTAAAATGTACACTGCCTAATTACTAAAAACAGGCACTTTTGAACAACTATTGTTACTTGTGACCAAAGCTTTTAAATATATCTAATTGAAATATGAATGCTGTTATTTAGTACAGCAGATTCCAAGTAATGACTCTTTGCTTAATGTATGCATAGTACATTTTGATTGATATCATGTTTTCTTAAAACACCATTTTCTGTGTAAAATTTATTTATATCATATTTCCCATGTATAAAGGTGCCAGGTCAGGTGTATCCCTACAGGAATACTAGAGATTTATCTTTTATTTCCCCTGAGTGGCCATTTTTCACTAATTGGCTCTGTGTAAAAAAAATACACCAAGCAGATATGTTGATGAGTTGTCTCCAGTTAGCCGTATTATATCATATTGCATAAGGTTATATTTAGACAGGGGGATATGTATTACTTAAAATATGATCCCTAAAATGTTTCATCCTTGTAGATAAACTTAAATTTTGTAATGAAATATGTTTGACAGTGTTGTGGTCACACTTATAATACACCAATTATACTTTATTGGTACATGTGTTATCATTTGTTGTTTAGAATTGACTGATTTATCTTATTTCAGTGTCGGTCATGCAACCAATGCCATCTCCAAGCCTATCACCAAAACCCAACAGGCAGCCCAGCGGGAGATAGAGGAAGCCATGAAGAAAGTGAAGGAAGCCCAGTCTCTCATCACAGCTGCTGTCGACGACAAAGGTAGTGCTGTCAGCCATTCAGTTAAAATTACATCCTTACACTTTTACTGCATGTATACCTTCATGAGACATACATTTACAGCATAAATGTACTTTTATGATACATATATAGAGATAGTTACCTATTTTAGATATATAGTAATACACATTTATGAGATACTTTCAACAATGATTTCTGGTTGGCAAATTGCTGGAATCATCTCTTTTGACTGGGATTCAAGAGTAAAGCTATGTTTAATTTTGTTTTTAAATCGAAGCAAGGCTTAAGCTTTCAGTATTCATTATGAAGGTTTATTTATCTATATTTTCACAAGATGTATAATTTTATACATGTTCTTAGAGATGTATATTTTCAAAGCTAATGTATCTTCATGCACAAGGAAAGAACTTTTTTTGGGGGGGTGGGGATTGAAATCCTCATCAGTTTTTAAATTTTCTACCTTATACAGACTTTGAAAAGTTATTTTCCAGTGAAATATATGTCATTGCTCTGTATTCATACGAAGACAATTATTGTTTCTGACCATATCATTTTAATAGTGTGACAAAGTACTTAAAAACAGTTTCACACTCTCTTTTTACAGGAAGAGACAGAAGTAGGTCACGTTCCACTAAACGATACCGATCAAGATCACGATCAAGGAGGCGCAGTCGGTCTAAGTCACGAAAGCGTGACCGTTCCCGTAAAAGGTCAAAGTCTAAAAAACGGTCTAGGTCAAGGTCACGAAAGAGGTCAAGGTCGCGAAGATCTAGGTCAAGGAAGCGTTCCAGATCAAGGTCAAGGACTCGCAAAAGGTTTGTAAAATAATGTTTAAACTGTCACAACATCAACAAATTAAAGGGACTGTTCCTTTTTGGAACCCTGCAAGAGTAATTTTCATCAGGAAAAAAATTCAGAATCATAAATGCTGGAGATCATGTTTATTTTTACTTCAAATTTTGTATGTTTTAATTTGGTAATAAATAATGTCTCAACATTTTATTGGGAGAAGATATAGTGCTACCCTTGTTTATTATGTTCACCCTTGTCCTGTCTGGTCCTGTTCCAGTGTCATCGCTCTAGCGACTTAAAGTTAAATTGATCAAACTTTACAAAAAGGTCAGGTATGCTGTCTAACGTTAAATTCAAGATGCTTGAGACTTGGAAAAAATTAATACCAACTGGGGTAAATTACCCTATGTTTCAAATGAAAATAACTATATACTAACTAGTAGTTAACTGACCTAATTGATCCAAATTATCATTTATATTGTAACCCTATTCTTGGATTAACAGAACACAAATCATAACTGTAGTCAATAGGAAATACCTTGATGATGTCAGTCATGATTCTATAGTAAGTTTTCCAATTTATTTTTTACCACTCAGCGATACAAATTGTAATTTTGAGTCTCATTTATAACCAAAAATTTACAAAATGTGACCCAAAAATTTGGATTGAAATGGTTGTTCTCCAGACAAAACTATCTGATTTCTGATTTTCAGAACACATTATGAACACAATGATTGTATTATCTGAAAAACATTGCTTTCATTTTACCTTATTTCCATATCTTATATTGGCTGACAAATCTGATTGTTTCTTTAATAATGTGCGTTATACAAAAATTTTACCATTCAAGTGAAAGCACAAGGATGTTTAATCCTTTCACCACTGTAGACCATAATGGACTCGTCCAGATCAATGCATGGTAGTTGTAGAGTCTGCTAAGTTACATAGGGGTGAAAGAGTTAAGACTGGTGTAAAATGAAATAAACAGGTAAGTTGGTAATAGATCAAATTGAAAGGATAGTCAACAACTTCATTAATTATTGTATATTTTTACTGTTATCCTGCTTTTATATGAATCATTACAACAGGTCACGCAAGAGGTCACGTGACAAATCTCGTCACAGGAGTCGATCAAAGTCCAAAACACGAAGCAAACGGTCAAGATCAAGATCAAGGTAATGCTGCTATTAAAAATCCAAATTTTTAATTTATGCAAATCTTCCCCATTAAATGCATACTTTCTGCAAAGGACTTATGTTGTTCAAAGTTTTATTAACATAAATCAGACAATCCTATTTTGAGAAAAAGTTTTAAATTTAACACAATTCTTTGTGAATTATGAATACATACAGAAAGATTTCTCTTTTTATACAAATTCTCGTGACCTGTACAATTTCCATCAGCTTTAAGCTAAGTTAATTCAGATATAGATTTGGATGATTGTTGATCAAAGTTTGAACAACCAATCTTGGACATCAGTGCCTTGTTTTTTCTAAGAAATAATTTTTATAAGAAGTATAACATTTCAAGTGTTTATCATAGGGGACAACGTGAAACTGATTGGTAACTTTCAAGAAAACAGCTGATAAATTAGCAGCATTTTTAACAAGTTTATCAGAGCATTTTGATGATGATGCAAATAAAAGCACTATTCTGTAAATCCAGCAGTTTTCTAGGTGTTTGAACAACAGATCATCTCAAAAACAAATTTTCAATTTACCTGTGGAAAAACTTCACTGTCTTAAAAAACTTTGTAAAGTGAAGTTTGAACTAGAACAAAGAACTTGGATCTCCCTACTAATCTGACATGTTGCTTACTAACCTGGCACCCTTAAGGATCCCTGTACCACTGCCTAAAACTGAGCATTGGAAACTATTTTTTTCAGCATTACCATAGCTAAGATAAATCATTTCTGAAAAGAAAATAAACCTTGGGGAATTTTATGAAAAAGCAAAGATGGAATAAATAAAATCATAACAAATAAACATTGTTCTTAGTGTAAAAACAGCAGGTATAGACTGGGATTTAAACCCTGGACTTCAGATTGTTATACTTTCCCTCTAACCGACTGAGCTACCTAGGTAACAGAACTGAGCTACATTAATATCAGAATGATATTAAGGGGAGGGTACTGTACTGTACGTAAAAACCACAATGCAATGGGGTGGGGATCCTTAATGCTACAGAACTTTGTTTTGTAGCATAAGTTGTACTTATTTACAAATACTGGATCTGATTCTAAACTCTCATAATTTGATAATTTATGTCACACATGCCAGGGTTTTGCGAAGTTTTACACATGCTGAGGTTTTGTGAAATGTTAATGCATATTTCAAGGTATTGTAAATATGTTAATCCAGAATTTGAAAAAAATATTACATATCCCAAATCTTTGTTAACTCTTCCGTACCTGTTGTCGTGTACAGACGACAAAATAATAGGCCGTTTCATCCCTGTTGTCTTGTACACATGACAACAGACTTTGGTGTAACTTGTTTAGCTAGTTGTCGCACACAATCGCGTAATACAATTATTTGTCGCTAAAATCAGCACCCATCAGATTGAAAGAAATAGTATTATAGGTGCAGAGTACACAATTTATATTTTGTGACCTATTGTTTTCGAATCTGCCGCAAGATGTTCGCGTTTGCCGTTTGGTGATTCAAATATAAACAATATGGCGGCAACTTAATTTGATATGAACACTCGTTAATTCATCACCAAATATTTGTTTAGACTTATGGAAGTAAATACGAATATTTTAATATTCAAGTCTTAATGAAAACGACTTTGTATTCGTAAACAACAAGGAACCTCCACTACAATGCTGTTTTGAAAACAAGGTTTCGTATCGTTTGTTGCCGAACAGGTGTCAAGTTCTCAGTCATAATTAGCTGCCAGTTAGTCATTATGCTACGAAAATGAAGAAGTGTGTGTCTATAAACAACAAGATGAAACAATAACAATATTTATTCACGGTTTCCTGTTTAATTCTTGCAGCAATTTCACCCGTCTAAAAAGAACATTAATAATCCATCATTTTGTTATTTTGGCGGGGGCGGGTCTAGTAAGGACATCCGGACCGGATTTGCGGTACGGAAAGAGTTAAGGCTTACATCTTGAAGTTTTGGCAGTCTCATATATATATAGAGAGAGAGAGAGAGAGAGAGAAAAAGAAGATGAAAGACCGACATGGACAATTAATCCCTTTTTATTATATATATATATATATAAGTTTTTCAAAGCATAAACACAATTTGAGGTTACAGTATATTAAATTTTTCACATCTTTCAGTCAGTCAAATGACACTTTATAAATAGGGTTATCATGAGAAGGCATTGTGTCATGTCCCTGTATGGGAACTCCACAGCCTCTTCTTGAGAACTTAACCTCAAATACCATAATACAGGTTTTACAGCCATAAATATTTCAGTCAAGTAGTGTGTTGCTTACCAAAGGTTGGGTGGCGCAGCGGATAATAAACTCGCCTTTCACAAAGACGGTCAGGGTTTGATTCCCCGGTCGTAGGTGAAGGTTTGGGTCACCTGCCCTGGGTCACCTGCCTGACCATGTGGGTTTTCTCCTGGTACTCCAGTTTCCTCCTACATTAAGACCCCTTGTACGCTTATTTCCGGGCCAACAAGAGTGATACTACTATAAGTTGAAATAACTTGTTTTATAATTGTTTCTTTATTTTTCATTTTTTACCAAAGGTTATCAATTATCAATGTATATGTAACCTGTAGACCTAGATAAAAGTATAGGCAGTCTGATTCAGTATTTAGAACAATGCTACATTCAAATTAATCATTGCAAAATAAAAATCAAGCTTACTTTTAACTCATTTGGCACTGTCTTTATGTCATATGCATGGTCCAGCATCTGTAGTCCCTCAATGTCTACCTCTAAAACACTACTAGTCCTCAACAGCTCAGCAGATTTTGACTAAATTTAGTCTGGAGCATATTTTGGCAAACAGGACTGAACTTTGCAGGGCCCTCAAATAAAGCTTAGTTTTTGAAATTAAAAATCATTTTTGCCTGAACCTTTTACACTAAAAAATGGCTTTAATCTTTATTAGTCAATAATGATGACAAAAAATATATCAAAAAAACATCATTGACACATTTATGACACTTAAAATTTCTAGTTTCATTACAACAAAGAGGATGATTAGGAAAAGTGTATGGAAAGTGTATGGTACTTTTTTAAGTACATTTTACATTTGAGTATACACTATGTAGTAAGTAGAGTAGTACTTATAAAGTACTTTATAAAGTATTGTTAGTACAAGAAGTAATTTATTTCTTACAGATCGAAGGAAGGTACTGCTAAAATGTGAGTTGAAACGAATGCCATCCATTTCCTGCAATATTAAAACTATTAAATGATAAAATATAAGTAAATGATGTATTATTAACAGATAACCCAGAATGATGAATCTACCAGGGTACAGCGATTCTGATTTTATGGATGAAATTTCACAGCATGACATGAAAAAAGAACTTTGCATTCACATCATTATTTCAATTCCATAGGAAAATAGAAAGTTAAGTTGATCAATGTCCTTATATTCAAAAGACTGTGTTTACTGTAGAGCTAAAATAATAGAAAGGAAGCATAAGGGTTCTGGAACACAAATATAAGTACCCTATATTTGATATTCATAAAAATTTGTCACTAACAAATTGGTTCCAGTTTTCAGTGGAAAAAGTCATTTTTATGGGGTAAATTGAATACCCCCCAGTAATTTAACTAAAAAAAACTAAAGCATAAACAAAATATGGCAACCATGACTGTTCAGACGTTATGATCTCATGTTATGTAAGTGGCAGAGGAGGAGGAGGAGACTTGTATGAGCAAATAAACTCTCTCTTATTTATGTAAGCTATGTTGAAAAAATCTGGTAAAAAAAGTATTGAGTTCAAGGAAATTGTTTATTACAGATCCAAGCAGGGATCGACTGAAAAGTGAGTTTTAGTATGATTTAGAATTGATTAGGTACCAAGTGTATTTTCATATCTAAAAAAAAAAGCATGAGGCTGCAGATGTTTACAAGTGGTTATCATTTTTAATTAGAAAAGTGTTTGGGGGATGCATTTAATTAGTAAAATTATTAAAAAGTTGAATGATTTTAAGAAAGAGTATTATGATTACCAAGGTATGCAAGACATAGGAGAGAGTTTGATGATATAGTCTTAATGTATTTTCTATATAACAAGAATTGTACTGGTAGTTTACGATTGTTTATTGTAGATCCAAGCAAGGGTCAACTGAAAAGTGAGTTGAAGAGAATTAAACAGAACATATATTGTTCTCGATTACATTTGCACTAAAAACAGTTCTTCTCTGCTTGAGAAAGCAAACACAAATTACATTAGAAAAAATGTCAAAGAAAGTTTTGACATATTTAAGAGAAGAACATGATTATTAATTTGGTAAAACAAGCAATGTATGTGTGTGTGAGTGACGCTGGCTTGAAACAAATAGTTTTAAATTGTAATCGACTCTTCTTTCCTTTTTGAAGAAGTACCGACGAGAAAGGAAAGAACTATTTCCCCACCAGGTAAATAGTAATAGTTTACCCACTGCTTTTCCATTATAACTATCACACATTTACCCTACATTTATGACATTCATCAATATAGTAAGTGCTTAAATCTGACAGAAAAATGTCATATTTGATAAATTCATTAAAAAATGATAAAATGATTACCTGACCAGATTAAGCAATTATATATTTTTTAACACTATGAATTGATAAGGGTTGTAGTTTGCATAAATTTTCTTTATTGAGAAACAGGTTTAAATGAAGCATCTTAGGGAGACCCTAAAAGAGTTAGTTTTTTAGGTCACCTGAGCTTTTATCGCTATCCGTCCGCCGTGCGTCGTCCGTTAACATTTTACATTTTCAACTTGAGCTGAAATACTGGCAAAGGGATTTCATAAATATTTCATGGAAAGGTTACTGACATCTCCCTGACCAAATGTTGTTAGTTTTCGGGTCGATCAGAAAGCCAATATGGCCGCCACGGCCGCCATTTTGAATAACTATTTCAAACTTAAAGTCAAGTTCTGCTGGGTCGATTGAACTGAAACTTGGTAGGAATGATCGACTCATGGTCCTGACAAAGTGTTGTTATTTTTTGGGTCAATCAGAAATCCAATATGGTCGCTACGGCCGCCATTTTGAAAAACTATTTCAAACTTACAGTCAAGTTCTGCTAGGCCGATTGAACTGAAACTTCGTAGGAATGATCGACTCACGGTCCTCACAAAGTGTTGTTATTTTTCAGGTCAATCAGAAATCCAATACGGCTGCCACGGCCACCATTTTGAAAAACTATTTCAAACTTAAAGTCAAGTTCTGCTAGGCCAATTGAACTGAAACTTCGTAGGAATGATCGACTTATGGTCCTGACAAAGTTTTGTTATTTTTCGGGTCGATCAGAAACACAATTTGGCTGCCATGGCCGCTATTTTGAAAATACCTATTTCAAAGTTCTAATAGGCTGATCTAACTGAAAATCGGTCTAGGAATGATCAGCTCATGGTCCTGACAAACTTAAGTTAACGTTATACTTATCAATTTTTTACTCAAATTGGTACATATTTCAACAACAAAAATAAATACTGTAGGACTCAGGTGACCGTTAAGGCCCATGGGCCTCTTGTTTGTATTCCATATTTTTTTGATGATTAAGGCAGAGTTTTCTTTGTTTCCTGTGCATGTGGTGGTGAGCCCCTCTTAATGCAAGCTTTGTTTCCTGTTTAGGGGTCCACTGCGGGGTCAAATCATCTTCCCAATCAGGTAGTATGACCCCTCGCTCTACTCACAAACAATCTTTTCTGTCGTATTTTTCTTGGCGTGCATGTAGTCTCCTAGATCTGTGTTGTACGAGGTACATGTGATTTTAAATATTCAACTTGGGTTATCTCCCCATTTGAAGTAAAACTATATAAAGCTAGTAGCTAGCTGTAGGTACTTATATGCATCTATAATAATTACCTTTCTTACGGGGATGGCGCTATGGGAAATATCAATATGATCAAAAGATAAAGTGAGCAAAACCTAAATTGTGTCCATAGGTTCCTTGAGAGATGCTGTTTGACAGACCTATCCATTCATTTTTGTAGTTACCGGGTAAATTGAGCGGGTGATTCTTTTCATTCAACAAATTCAATCTATAAAGACAGATTTGTGATTACTAACCAACATACAGCTTTGTTAGTGCGCTGTAGGTAATGAGTAGGTACATTTTCGTGTATATTCTAATGGAATGGTACGTGTGGATAAGTTAGTATAAATATTATTTATCTAAGTAGCATATATATCTGTTGTGTTGTTTAGATCCTAAACACACTTAATCAAAATTTGATTTTGAGATGGGGTTAATGTATACCAAAGATGTGTTGCAAACATTTCAAACAACTAACTGTCTTCGCCGGGGTATTAATGTGCACATACAATGGTTTTGACATCCCTACTAAGTGTAAAAAAAATCCTGTGAAAATAATATTCTTATTATACAATAGAATAATATTCTTATTATACAATTTTTAGTTAAAATAATGTCAGATTCCTTACATAAAACGGTCTTTTCACTAATATCTGTACATGTAGGAAATAAAAATATTTTTTATCGTAAGAATAAGACTACCAGCAGAAAAAATGAAACATTCTATACATTTTAAGAGTACAGTGTAAAGGTATACATGTGAACAATCAGAGAATTGTACTAATAGTTTGAACAGTACAGTCTAAAGGTATACATGTGAACATTTACGGAATTACATTGATCCATTTATAAGCTACAGTTAACCGAATTTACAGAAGTTTTAACTCACAAATTATCAAAAGCTAGCTGAAGTATGTTGTAGATCACAGTAGAACATTTAAAAAATAGTTTTCTAATTCCTTATTAAGATATATGAAATTGTTTTAGCACAGTAGGTTACGCTGAATCAAATGTATTAAATCATTTTTTTGTGGTTTTATATTTTAATTTTAAGGAGCAACATTTACATGTATGAATTATTGTCTAGTCAAACAATGTGCTTAGAGTTGAAATAATTCTGGTATGTAATACAAATTAAAGCTTATGCAGGTCGTGCATGTACAAAAATGAAAAAGGAACCTTAAGACCAGCATTTCAGTGTCAAGGACTGTAGGTTTTGTTTATGCTTTTGTGCTATTTTTATCGAAATGACCAATAACTGAAGGTTGTACCAGAGAATCCTATGTCTGTTGTGTGTATTGGTTAAGTTCACATCTAAATGGTGACAAGAGGATGATGCCTTGTTGAAAGTCAATGAGTAGTTTTATTGTAATTCCTCCAGCTATATATGTATGTGGAACAGTTCATTTAGAAACAGTTTGGGTAAGTGCAATGGAGTTAAGTATCAGAACAGTAAAAGTTCATTATATAAATGTTTCAGACATTGTCAATCTATTGAATCAGAAATGCACAAATAATCTTATTACACGTACATCACTTGAGATTGTTGATTCAGTCAGCTTAAGAAAGTTTAACTAGCACAAAATGTATTTACAAGGTAGGTTCAAATTTCACTTAAAACAATTACAAGTTAAGTGCTCAATAATTTTCTACGTGTATTCCCATAGAATAAGTTCCTTGGTAACAATTAGCTATGAATTAAGTGTACTGTTCATAAAAACCACAATACATTATGTTACTTGGGTCTGAATGGTTATAACAGTCTAGAAAGGAACATGCCTGTATAGTGGGAGAAATGAAACATATTCTACTCAATGACCTGTATTAAAACATAAACGCCCTGCAATGGGCACGACTTACCCAATACATACCTTAGATGCTGAATCTCATGTACAGGAAGTTGCATGTTGAAAGACACAAATGAGTACTGCTCTAAAATAAGTTATCTCCGGTCCCTTGCAGATTAGTGTACCGACTACACTAATTCTAAAGACATTGATAAAATTATATATCTGGGTGTGACACTTTCCTATAGGCTATTTGGGGGGGGGGTCTTAAATGTGAGAAGGGAAGATACAGATAATTGTTTAAAACAATGACAGTTGTCAGAAATGCTGATAGCCATGTAATTAATGTATGTAAACAAAATATTCAATATTGTATCTGCAAAACTTTTGAATTTGTGAAAATCTCAGCCTTGGAAATATATACTTGAATTGAACTGTTAATCTGATCTCATAGATGCTTCTTTACTAGTAAGCTGAAATCATTGAGAGAAATAACATGTCTTATCTCCAAGGGAGGTAGGTCATCAAAGGATAAGTCTTGTAAATCCAATGTGCACTTTCGTATCAGACAGTACTAGTGCTAAAGGTGTATTAATGAGGTTTTGTTAATGGGCTCAAAATGAAGGTGATTGATTGTGTATTTAATCAGGATTCCTTTTCTTACATTAGTCCCTAACCTATAGGTCAACATAACCTGTTTATATGTATGCTGCACTGACCTTACTCCGGACAAATTAGCACCTTGTGTAGAAAGTAGCATCTTAATTTATGAATTAATTTGTATTGTCCTATAACATGTAAACTTATGATTTCTATGTTTTTATTTTGCAGGCGTAAGTCAAGGACACCTCCCAGAGCCTATAGTCGACGCTCAAGGTCAAGGTCAGGGATCTTCCAAAATTGAAAATAAAAGTTTTTTGTTTTTTATATTTTTATAAGTTATAGCGTAACATAGTGTTTTTGTTTCAAGAGCAGATGTATTTGATTGCAGAACTATTAATATTAAGTACAAATTATCAAAGTTGCAAAATGTTTTTTATATAGTCATCAGAGGATTGATCCTGTTTGAAGTTTTCTGGTTAAATGGTAGGAGTAAAAAGCCTGGTAACAAGCAACACTCAAAAGAATTGTACTGCTTCTGGCAAAACTGTTGCACTGTGTGCTGCTAGGGGCCCATAGAAAGGATATATCCTAAAGAGTGAAATAAAACTTAAAATTATGACTCTGAAATTCTCCACTGCGATGATCACGACCTTAGTTAAGAAGTGTGTACAATGTTATAAAACAGACCTCGCTCAGTTTAAGAGTGCAAGATCTAAAAAGCAGACTTGACACTCCACTGTACAAGATTAAAAACACTTCATGCATCAAATATTGATAGGCATTTTGTTTAAATAGTATAATTTATTGACTCAGTTCAGTGATCACTTGATCAGTAATTCCAGCTACCTTATCACACTGCTGCCCAGCTTGTTTATAAGTGTGAACCCTGCCACTGTACAGTACTGACGGTGGTGGATCAAGGCCCCAAAAAAGACAATCTGGGCTTTAGCACTTTCAATTACTTTTTCCTTACCATTCATGAGCCTAATCATACCATTTTAAGTTGGCTTGTACAAACATTTCTTGGTGTTTTCAGGAGTCGAAGAAGAAGCCGTACACCAAAGCGTTCACGATCCATAGAAAAGAAGAAGTCACTGTCACCACCTAAACTGGAAAGGGAGGATAACAAACCTGGCAAACAGAAGGATGGAACGGAGGCTCCCCCCGCACTCACAGAGTCAGTACCACCTCTTATCAATATTCCTGTATAAATTTGTTTTTATAATCTCTCCATAAATCATTTAATATTTGGAAATTTTCTTGAGTCTTCAAAACAAAACAAAAAAATAGTTGCATCCTGGTCAAAAAATGGAATTAAGTTCTGCCAATTTTGCTTTGCAGATGTGCAACAGCACAGAATTTGTGTTCAACTTTTTAGGGGCTATTCCAGTAAAACATCTATCTCAACCCAAGACTTCAGGTTTTGTATAGGGGTACCATCCATAGCATTTGTTGATAGTTTGCCTATAATTTAAAGGCAGGAAACCCAACCAAGGATGATTTATTTTGGAGTCTCGGGAGTTTGGTTTGTTTGTGTTTTGCATCCTATTAACAGTTATGAAAATTTATATGAGAAAAACCATTGACCTGCTGCCAGTACCTGGTGCCCCACGTAGGCTTTGTACCCGCGACCCAGCAGTGGAGGACTATAGTGATCGTATATGGTCAGATGCCTTAACTACTCTTAACACCACCACCCCAGGAGTTGGATAGAATTTTTACTGGAATAGCCCTAATCAAAATAAGAAATTAGTGAACACTTTTAACAGTGACAGCTGTGGATAAAGGTTTAATAGAATCTCCTCAGTAGTAAGAAGACATATTTCTTTTTGCATTAATTCCAATAATGGTATATGGCTTATTTTTCTGTGACCAACTCATTTCTACAAACAATTACTTTGTGGTGAACAATTGAAAATATATAACATTCCTTAAAATGTGCTTGAACAAATTGTAATATGATTCTTGAATTATGCTACATTCATACCTTGTGAAATAGTAATGATTTACTGTACTTTTCTGAAAACTAGAGCATACATGTTGTGTAGAACTTAAAACAAGTCCCCTTTGTGATGTACAATGTTTTGCTTCATTAATCAGTTCCCCTACTGAAGTGGCCAGCACTACCAAACCTGGCAATAGGTAAGTTATCTTCATTAATGTCAAAAGAATATTCACTATTATATTGAGAAAAAGATCTGAAATTGATGATCCCTAAACAAGTCAAAAGACGATATAGTCATAATATTAAACTGCAAAAAAGTGTGTAATCTTCTCATTTGATCAGTATCAGTGGATTCAAGAATCAAAATTAATTAGACAGTTTAAGGTCAGATAACACATTTTGTGATGATAGATTTATAGTTTTGATGTTTTAACACACTAGTTTGTTGAGGGCAACTTTTCTATAACAATCATACATGTAAATAGGACAGGTTTTGATTGAGGAGGGGTTTGGGATGAGTTTTACTTTACAGTGGGTATTCTGTATCACTCAAGTTCTCATCCGTGGTTGTGACAACTTTTTTGCTTCCTTGGTAACATCAGTTTATTGTTCTAAGGCGTAATGATTCTATCTGAATGTCGGATTGTTTGTGAATCTAAAACAGACCATTTGATAACATTTTAATTTAGCATGTTTAACATCTATCAGCAATGACCAAAATAGGACATAAACAGTGGAAGTCTTGCTTACTATGTGTCTTATCATGGGTGACTCCTAGTTACATTTAAACATCTATTTGGTGGTGTGTAGCCCCTCTCAACCTTCCGATGAGGTCAAAACAGAGCCCAAACACAGGTAAACTCATTATATTTGGCTATGTCAATTCCATGCTTATTCCGTCTCTATGTTTTTTATCTAAATTGCATGCACATGGTGGTTGGATTATTAGTGAATCAAAACTTGATTGAAATATAGCAAAAATAGTGTCCAATTTGATATCATTGTATAGCAGACTTATCAGTATGAATTCAGTGGCTTACATAAGTGTATGCTCGTACCACGTAAATCATTTTGTGATTTTATTGGCAAATAAATTAAGCACATGATTCAAAACTTGTCAAATCACTGAAATTCAATCAAATGAGCTTGGTGTCATTTAATTATGATATCAGCATCTGTCATAATTATTATGATGTCCCATCAATGTATCTTAAAAACTTAAAAATGACTGTAATTTACAGAAGTGGTTGATCTTTCTCATCTCATTTGTGGGTTCTCTTTGTTCCATAGTTGTGCTTGATTAATTTGGAGACGTATGGAGGCAGTCTTGGATTTTGATGCTTGGGGATTACAAGTGCTAACAAGTGTTTTTAAAACTTCATTTGTAGACTCCCCTTAGTTCTTAGTTGTGCATATTCAATTGATTTTTAGACTGATTTGAAGAAAAAAATATGTCTGTCAGCATTATCACTATTTCTCAAGAAATACTTTACAGATCTTCCTCATATTTCACAAGTACGTTTCTCTTGGTGTTTATATTTTAGTTATGCCTGTTAAATTTTGAGACTGTTGGGAAGAAAGATATGGCTGTCTGGTGGCCACCCTAGATTTTAATACATATACCCCGGGTAGTTGGTTTTTTTCAATTTATCAACAGTACAGGATCATTCTCATGATTTAGAAGTACACCGTAGGTTGTCCATGTGCCTTAGTTGTGCGTGTGTAACCTTTGAGACTGATTTGAACAACAAGAAGACTGCTAGACGGCCATTTTGATCTTGACAGTTTAAGTACTGTATGTTATTACTATTTCTCAGAAAATCATAGAGGGATCTTTACCAAAGTCACAAGTAGGTTCCTCATGGTTTTTTTTGTGGTTGTCTACCTTTGAGACTGCTTTGTAGGACAAGATGGCTGTCAGCTAGACAGCTGCCTTAAGTTTTGACTATTAAAGATTGTTACCATTATTTCTCATTAAGTATTTACCATTAAGTACCTCAGAAAGCTTTCTCAAATTCCAAAGTTGGTTTCCCTTATTCCTTAGTTGTGCGTTTTCAGTTTTGGAACTGATCCCATGTTCTGGCAGCCATCTTGATGTTTGACAGTTGAAATACTGGTAAAAGGTTTCTTGAGTTTCTGCCTAAGGTTTTCTTGGATTTAAGTTGTGCATGTGTCTTTTTAAATTGATCCAAAAGAAAAAATGTAACCAGGAATTGAATTGGCAGAATTGTACTTCGTACATATCTTATCACTAGCTTCGGTCAATATGATGGAACCAACATATTACTTCAAAGCTGGTCTCTATCAAACACTTGTACTGTTTTTACTAAGATATGTTCAGTATATATATGCATGTGTCACTTCTTTGTGCGAATGAAATGTACTTTCCATTCACATCAAACTTTTCACACCCCACCTTGTTACATTAACTTTGATTTGCTTCTGGATATCTTCTGCATAACACTCCTTGTGATTTATGTTGTAGTTATATCTCATTAAGAAGCAGCAGTATGTAATACCTCTGAATAACTTAAGTAGTATCAGTTGAGGCATTCTTATGTACCTTTCAAATGTGTCATCAATTCTTGTGTACCTTTCAAGTGGTATCAATCGATGAATAAATTATTGTAAGGTATTTCACATTTTTTTAAGTCTAGAATCTTTTTGGAAACGGGATACATTTGGGTAAATTGGATCCTTTAGTTGGCTTACCTCTTCCTGTTGTGCTCAAATAATATTTTTCAAATTACATTTTCCTTTTTTATAGGTCCTCTAGTGAGACTCGCAGCAAAAGTCGTAGCCCTGTAAGGAAAGCTTCTACAAGCCCAAGGAGGGTGTCACATAGTCCAAGAAAGGTCTCTCGCAGCCCCCCGCCGAGAAAAGTGTCTCGTAGCCCTGTAAAGAGGTCATCCCGAAGTCCTCGTAGAAGCCCACGCAGGTCATCTCGTAGTCCTCGTCGAATCAGAAGGTCCCGCAGTCGTAGCCGAAGCAGAGGGTGTGTTTATTTGACTAGAAAATTTCAATTGTATTTATATAGTTGATGGGTATTTTCCAATTATGATACTGGGAAATTTCCCCCCATTCAAACTATTGCCATACGTTGGTAAAATTTGTATTTGCCAGTGTTAATTTTCTTTGAATATAAATTTGTCCTTTACGGAGGACAAAAAAGGCAAAATGAACTGCAGCAAAACTTTCCCAATATACAGTTCTAACATGATCAGCCATGTTGGTTTAAAGAGATGGAAAGAAAAACACTTCTGTAATATGTTTGTATCAGATAAGTAACAATTATAGATGTTTTTGGGGTGGGTTTTTAGGTCACCTGAGCTTTAGCTCAAGTGACCTATTGCTATCTGTCTTCGTCGTCCGTTAACATTTTACATTTTCAACTTCAGCTGAAATTCTGGCAAAGGGATTTCATTAATATTTCATGGGCAGGTTACTGACATCTCCCTGACCAAGTGTTGTTATTTTTCGGGTCGATCAGAAATCCAATATGGCCGCCATTTTGAAAAACTAATTCAAACTTAAAGTCAAGTTCTGCTAGGCTGATTGAACTGAAACTTGGTAGGAATGATGGACCCATGGTCCTGACAAAGTGTTGTTATTTTTCGGGTCGATCAGAAATTCAATATGGCTGCCATTTTGAACAACTATTTCAAACTTAAAGTCAAGTTCTACTTGGCCGATTGAACTGAAACTTTGTAGGAATGATCGACTCGTGGTCCTGACAAAGTTTTGTTATTTTTCGGGTCGATCAGAAATACAATTTGGCTGCCATGGCCGCTATTTTGGAAATACCTATTTCAAACTTAAAAATAAGTTCTAATAGGCCGATTTAACTGAAAATCGGTCTAGGAATGATCAGCTCATGGTCCTGACAAACTTAAGTTAACATTATACTTAACATTTTTTTACTCAAATTGGTACATATTTCAACAACAAAAATAAATACTGTAGGACTCAGGTGACCATTAAGGCCCATGGGCCTCTTGTTTTACGTTATTGTAATAATTTCAGAAATTCCATATTGCAAAGCAGAAATTGCTCTTCTTACATGGAGCTTTACTTTATCACTAGTGAATTTTGGTCAGGATACGTGCTGTCGGGAGCCAGTGGTTAACAACATGAACCTTGTAACCCTCTTCACCGATTAAGGGTAGCCCATTAAGTGTCATGTAGATAACAAACTCTTCTTTGATGATTTTTTCTCCTGCCTTAAGTTCTATGTTATTGGGGTCCAAATTGCTGATGAAGTCTCTGCAATGGAGACGAATGTCCACATGGTCAGAAAACCTAGATTTGCTTATTATTTTGGAAATACTCAAACTTGATAAGACCATATTGTGTGCTGTTAAATACAATTCCAATTGATAATATTGCTATCATTTATTATTTTATTTATTCTTCTGACAAATAACAGGAAGAAGGTGAGTAAGAGGAATCGACGCAGCAGGAGTACATCTCGCAGAAGGTCCCGCTCTACATCTCGTCACAAGTGAGTTAAAGCTGTTTTATAGACTTACCACCAAATATTCTTGTCCTGTTTTCTTTTTACTGCTATTGACTTTGAAATACAGGGTCCAGAATTTGAGTTTATTGTAAAAATGGTCCTTGAATTTTAGTAATTTTCTATTTTCTTTACTGATGCTAGTGATGGTTTTGAATTAATCAGTACATACTGTAATTTGTTCATTTTTTACAAATCCTGATCAACTTGCATTTCAGGTCTAGGAAGGACAAAAAGCGTGATCGCAGCCAAAACAGGGATCGTGACCGTGATCGTGACCGCGACAGGGAAGGGAAGAAAAAACGTCACAAGGACAAAGATAAGGAACGTGATCGCGATGACAAGCACAAGGAGTCAAAAGCCAAGGACACCAAGGTCATACGTAACTACGATGAGGAAGAGAAATTGCTTGAGAACAGTAACAGCGACTCTGAGGAGAAACCAGTGAAATCGACTCCTTCAGACAGTAATCTACAGCCTGTAGATATGGATATGAGTGATTAGTGTAAACCTGGCACCACACAGACTGCTTAGTTTATCTTATAAGGATTCAGGATATTTACAGAACTCTAAGGAAAATTTCTGCACAAAAATTAGAATTCAAAAATTATTAGTTTTGCTTTATTTTGTGAAGAATTCAGGATATTTACAGAACTGTTTGAAAATTTCTTTAATTCAGAAACTTAGAATTCAGAAATGATAATAGAGTTTTGCTTTAGATTTGTTAAGGAATGAATTATTTGTGTTAATATTCAAACAGACAATACAAATTGTTAATCACTTGATGATTCCACTTGTCTTTAAAAATGAACGTTGCATTGTGGTTTCTAGCATCTACTTTTTACACACAGAAATTAAAACTTCTTTAATCTTTAAAAGTCCATTTTCTTTCAATAGGTAGATTATTTTTAATCAAATGATGAACAGTTACATTTATCTGTATGGAAGCTTGTATACAAACAAGTGATGAACATTTTTTAAAAATAAATGAAGTTTATGTATTTGTTGTAAAAGTTTTATTAGAATTGTGCAGGACAACTAAAAAGTAACATCATGTTATCTGCCCTTGTTTTAATGTGGAATAGATAAACTGTCAATCTAGGTAATGACAGAAAGTTGATCCATGCCATCAGTATCCAGCAACAGAAAATAGATAAATGTGATATGAGGTGTGATGATGAAGGTTTACATTGGACACCTATTCAACAATACAAAATGACGATACACCAGCTGGAGGGTAAGCACTGGTACATCTGTGCTTATTATGCTTATTAGTAACGAAGCGATGGAATCTTAAATTTGTAAATATGGTGAAACAAATTCTTTAACAATTCCAAATAGTTAATAGAATGCTTTTAAATTAATATAGAACAAGGCATTAGATACAGAGTGTTGTACATTTAAATTCAGTTGTACCAGTTTGAAACATTCTAAAACATATCCCTCTCTGAACAAAGCCTAACAAACAACACTTTCACCGATACCAGTTTTATTTGATATACACTGCCATACGAAAAAAGGAATTATGAATTACTACTTACTATTGTCTGGTCATTGCATTAACAAACACGGATGTACACTTTCAATTTTACCAGACATGGCTGTAAATTAATTAAATAGGGTGATTTGAACGTGTACTGTCCTACAACAACGTCATTGTAACTAGCATATATTTAATGTATCACATTTCTTTTTCTTCTGTAAATGAACTATCCGAGCATAACTGTTTTACCCTTTATCAATGTTTTTAAATTGTGGTTTCCTTTTTTGAAATTAATTGCCTGGAAATAAAATCAAGACAATTTGAAAAATTAATCAAATATGATACAAGTAATGACCAGAAATATAAGGACTAATTCACAGTGGGTGACATGTTAAAAACCGTGCTACATTTTTCTTTTTTAAACATTTTATAACTTGGATAATAAGAGGCTGTTTTGGTCAATAACTTAACTCTTATAAAATACACATATACTTAGGTGTATACTTGCCTGGTCATACAAAGCCAATAAATTTGCAAATAACATGAAATTTTTGTGTGATATGTTAATCTGGCAACATATGGACCTATCTCGGGTGGCTAAAAAATACACAAAATATTGGCATATTTTTAGACAAAAAATGAGACAATAAGAAAAACATAACAAGAATAATAGTAATGTTTTGTGTACTAATAAAACAATTTAAATATATTAGTGGTGTTGTTCTTTCTATACTGAACCAGCGTATAAATTATAGCCTATTTGCTGGTACTTTACTTGAAATTAAGTAAAGAAGGCACATCTAGATTGTTTTATGTCTTCCCTTCGAATCAAGGGAGAAGTACTTTGTTATTGCTGGTTTCTCTAATAATTTCTTTTCAGGGAAACTGTTAAAGATATCTTGATGAAATTTGCAGTATTTGCATCAGCCACAGGCAATTTGCAGTGCACTGTCAATAGGTCTCTGTAATATTTACCTCATCAAAGGACATATAAATGCAAAATTTTCAGTATCATCTAGTCAACATCTTTCAACCATAAAGATACTTTATGAATCTTGCTAACTATGCAACAAACGCCCTTACCTATTATGTCCCCAGACATGCATCCATAAAATTAATTCCCTATTATTTGTATGATAGGGATGTATCTAAATCAATGTTAAGTGCATTAAGTTCATTAATAGGTAAAAGTTACACCATAGTACAAATCTGATATCATGGACTGGACAAAGCCCAACGTCTGGTATAAAAAAAAAAACAGTGCTAGACTCGTTTGATATCATTACCTGTTAATGGAGAACATTTGGTAAACAGGTTGAGAATACCATGGGGATATTGCTGTAGCAATATTAGGTTTACATGTTGTAGGATTCAAAATGATTATCATAATAAAATATACACACAAATACACATTTCTGCAGTCATGTAACACACTGAATAAATGGGGCAAAAATCTGATGGCATCACAAATTCAAGACAAAGCTGTTCTGAATATTCTTTTTAAAAGTTGTTCATGGTTTTGAACAGCAAACAAGAATAGGAATACCAATCCATCTTACAGTTCTCCCTAAAGTTTATGTCTTGAAAATCATGCATTACCATGTCAACCAGCTGATTTTCTTATTACATGTATTTACAATGAGATTTACACTAAATGTTTACATATTATCAGTGTCAAAAAAGAAAAAAAACACGAGAAAAAGTATAGGTACTGAGTAGTTGACAAAACAATAGCAACATTCTGGAATCTTATCTTTTTTTAAGAGTTTTTTCCTGAAGAATATAAAAACAGTGTATATCAATATTGGGTTATGTTACATATATACTGACAGACCATGTAATATCTGCAAACGACAAACCTAAATGATTCTTAACGTTATTAGGAAATAAAACCGCTAGTAAAGCAGAAATAATGGATTCTAATAAAATTCCGCTAAATAAACTGCATGTCTCATTTAAAATTCATACTGTACCGGGATATACATGTCATATACAGAAGCTGAAGTATTACAGGGGCTCATTGAAACCCGGGTTACTCCTTTTATGGCAGCAGGCCAAAACGTTTTCACGTTAAATTCCACCCCTCGGACTTTTCTCGCTATCCTGGATCGGCAATGGTAGGCAATTCCATCTACAAGAACTGTCCATGTCAACAGTTTCAATGAATATAGACACGACCAAGAGAAAATAATGTCAACCAAAATATTGTGTCCCCTGGGCCTGATAAACGTACACAATTTAAGATTTACTTTTCTTAATGTATTTAATGAGGGACATAATGATATCACTAAACATTGTGTACTTCTATGGAGTTAACGGTTGCTTTGGTTACACCAGTATAAAGCGATTGCTATACTACGGGATGTATCTGACGACGTGGATGTGTCCATCACTCTGAGCGACCCACAGCCAGTTAATGTTGTCAATGCCAACTGCGGTTGGATACACCGGTCCGTCGTATTCCGTCATCAAGAATTTTTGGAACTTTCCTTCGCATGTTAACTGGTGAATGGTGTGGTTCCAGTAATCGGAAACGATAAGACGGTCGTCTTGATCCTTGCATAGTCCTCTGGGATGGAATATTTTGGCTGGCTCAGGTCCTATAACTCCCTCATATTTTCCCCCAGTTTCTATATTCACGACATTTCCTGGCTGGAACTGAATCAGGGGAAGTTCCTGGGAAGTGTCCAGCATGTAAAAGGCCGATGCTGTGTGGACACTCTCGCTGCGTTGTTCTCTATAACGCTTGCTATTGTTTAGAATTGATAATTTGATACCGTTGTTGTTGTATTCATGAAATTGTTCTTCTTTTTCATATCCTGTTACTTCCATGGCCAGTAGAATCATTCCAGAATGTGAGATGCGAATAGTTTGCAGAGAATACTTGTAATTCTGGTCAGTTTTGAAATCAACAAAGTGATGTAACTGACCATCCGATGTCACACGTTTGATGGCGGTACTGCAGGTCTGTTGTACGTATATTCCGCGTTCTGTGACGGGAGTGATGTACTTTACATTGGTCATAACCGGAATAATGTCCGTCTGCATGTATTTAACCAGTGTTGTATCGACAAGGTACAGCTTGTTTGTCGTTACCACAAAGGCTTTTTTGGCGCTTATCGGCGAGATCTGATCAATTTGTGAATCACAAAACCTGAACTTGGTAGATGTTTTACTAGGACTGTCTAACGAAGCAGTTCCAGTCACTTGGCCAAACCACTGCTCCATTTTATCAGCATTCCCCATTTCTGTGCTAAACGTTAGCGATTTCCCTTCATGAGAACCTTCCAATGTATCCCCGGTTGGTACACCAGTCGTATTTTGAAGCATTTCTAAAACATGTACAAGATTTGTGCCGTTGATATTCTCATCATATTTTGGATTTCTTTTAAACGATTCCAGAATTGCAAGACTTATCTCTGAATTGACAGCGCTCATATCGAGACGTTTAAGTTGATTTTCCTGATGGGTTTTAATCAGCGACTGTTGATTTTGACTCCAAACTTCCAGCAGTGTGGATAATTCCATCTTTCTGTTGTCGACTTCTGCAGACACATTTTTGCAAATTTCCACCACATTTTCTTTCTTCATTGTGATGGTTCTGATATTCTGTTGAACTTTACTGACCATTTCCTCAGTTGTCTGCTCCAACCGTTCATTCAACTCTTTTCTTTTTGTTGTGACAACATCATCCATTTCGCAAAATTTGTGGTTACTATGGTCCCCATCTATGAGACAGGATGTGCATACCAGTCGGTCACATGATCTACAGAATAGAGATACTTCTTTTTCTCTGTGTAGGAAACAGAATGCTGATTTCTCCTTCAAATATTCCATAGCAGTTTTCAGCTTTTTCTCCGATACAACTTCTTCGGTCTCAAAACCAGTTTCTACTTGTGCGCCGGGATCATTACGGATATCCAGACAGTGTGCCATCTATGCAACCTAAATTCTGCATGCGCTGCTGTGCACTGCAATTGAAAAAAAAAATGTTTTTAATTGGAACATTTCCGGGAAATTATATCATTCCAGTAGAAATAACTAAAGTCGAGCTTCAAAATAATGATAAAAACAATTTATGGAATTAATGTGCCCTACTCTGACGTAGTGATAAATAACAGTGTCAAGTTCTTAATATGAAACAAATAAATAACATCAACCAGTCAGAATTGATGAAATACCTGCAAACATATTAAATGTGCACAGTTCCACATATCTCGAACTGGCCATTAACTCATACATAGGTAAGAAATACATTGCCCAGAAAACGTTGTGAAAAGAAATAAAAAGAGAGTAAGGCCCTGGGGCCTATCGCTCATCTGAATGTTTAAACAATTCCGTCATAACTGTACATGGTTATAAGTCCTACGGATCGCTAGGACACCAGGGGCAATCAGCCCTAGCGAACGGCTTCATTCCCAGCAATTCATGAGAGGACTAAGCCGTAAGCTGAAAACATAGTGTCCGTCTCACACAATAAAAATCATTACGCTAGAGCAATGGCTTGAACTTTTGAAAGAACCAAAAATGGGTACTGTTTAGGACCATAATTCAAATCAATATGGTTACCAGTGGCTTGAATGAAGATGAGATCAAGTTTAAAATAGCTCCACCAATCAGAGAACTAGTTATCATCTTAGGTTACGAATTAAATAGAAAAATAACACTTGGTCAGGGTCATTGATGGAATATTTGAATAATGATTTGTCGAAATCGGTCTAAGGGAAAATTATGATTTTAAAAAGAAGAAAATGTTTCAGCCAAGGCAGACAAATAGGTCTGAGATGATATTTTGCATATATTTTTTACATCTGCTTATTATCTCCGAAGAAAAAGTGAAAAATGTTTTGCCCTATTTCTCATATTGAGCCTCCTCCTTCTGGTTAGGAATCAACGCTAATTAAATTTGCAATTTATTTGCAGTGACCGGGAAGTTTTATTTACTTCGGTTTGTCGACAATCGTCAATATTTAGAGAAGTATTTGTCAGGATAAGATGGGTAACGGACAAACGGACCAACGAAAACTGTATTAATCAAAACCAAATATCAATTTCAAAATGTAATATTTATATTAGCAAGGTTTAGGCTGTTATTTATTAGTGAATGGTGAAGAATTTTGCAAATGTTTTTGAGGACCAGGAACCTATTATAATTGTGAAAACACGTACCGAGATACAAGTGACTTCTTTCTTTATGACGCGGATATACTTTGTAATACAACAATGCAGACACGCCATACAATCAGACGACATTACCTTGGCGAATCATTACATGTCACTCGGTGCACCCCTTGTCTGAATGCGAAGATGTCGCTTTTCAATCACCCATAGTAAAATAGTGCATATTGTCCAGCTATGTCATAAAGCAAAGACTGTCTATGCTACCTTTTCACTGTACATTTCGAGTAAAACACTATTATAAATACATGCAAGAAAATACAGAAATAAATAATTTTAAAGTTTACATTTTAATTGGAGACTTATTGTGTACAGGGGGAGGGCCGGACCATACCAAAGAGTTGTTCAGGTTCTGTAAATATATTTGTTTTGTGTAGGTATCTGGAATCCTTAGTATTAACAACTAACGCTTGAACCTCTTTTTAATTCCTAAAATAATTCAACATGGGACGCCATACGTTGACGAGTTGTTTGACGTAGGAAAAAAACTGAGAGGGGCGTTTTCAGTGACTGTCTAGAAGACGATTCATGCAATTGATAAACAGTAATTGCGTGTCGATTCACAAAGTTATGAATATATCGTTGTAAAGTAGATTTAGTTATATTGACAATTATTGAAAAATAAAAAATAAATAACAAAACGGTTCCCGATAAAAGTCGGACAGAAACACTACCGATCACCTGTAGGGATAGCTGCGGGAACCGTAGCTTCTAGGCCCGTTTATTTGTGTTTTTTTTGTTTTACTTTCGGACCATCGAATGTCTGATAAACGACTGGGCCTAGAAGCTACGGTTACCGCAGCTACTCGATCGATCGATAGAGATTTTGTAGTCACCTTACTGATATTAAAGTGATTAATTAGACGAATCATAAGAAACGTATTTTTGTCAGCTTTAAACTCAATACAACTTATGCAAAATAACAATGTTACATAACGCAATGCGAATACACTCCATGTATCCATGGCAACGAAATCATTTTCGGCGTCTATTTATACGCAACAACACTACGGAGATAATAAGCATGGAAATCAGTGTTCATAGGCAGGATGCAGTAAAACCAATGCGGGAAAAAAATCATTAATGTTTCTAGTACTCGCATGCCTCTATCCTGTGATACTCGGTGGCATATGTCACCCTCTACCTTGTGACCTATATATTTATGCGATCTCCGCCTTCGATCGTTGGTGAGCGATATAAATGAATAAGGACAGTTATTGTTCAATTACTTTAAAGCCATCCTGAATCCTGAACCTAATCATGTTGGGCGTTGACAGACGAACCATTGAAATCGTTCTGTAACAAACACAAATCAATTTCAAAATCATTAGTATTAACATCAAAAATGGTTCATGGAATTTCAAAACGACTTTGAGAACAAGGAAACACCTTTGTCATGCTGAGTTCTCAATCTACCAAATATTTCGGATTATTTCTAGATAGAGTACAGTAATACATGTTCTGTTATAAAACTTATTTACACTAAATTATATACTACATGCAGATGACTTTTTATGTTTCTATCTTATGACACAGATATATTTTGCAACGCAACTGCGCAGACGCCTGATAAGTATTTCGGCTAACCTACAGGTCATTTAGCCCATCGGTTGTCGAAATGTTTTATATACGTATACTATATATATATATATATCTTACTGTTAAGCTTCCGGGTTTCGCATATGTAGGTTGCCTACACTATATCTCTCATCGCTCATTTCCAGTTTAAATACGATTATAAATACACGAAGGTAAACACAAGTAATGAACCATTAAGGATTTGAAATCTATATTAATATCAAGAGACTTGTATAGAGGGTGAAGGGTGGCTCAAAAACCCATGACACCTACTTTAGTGCATCGAAATTTGATCAACCCCGTCCTATCACTGTCTATCACAATCACAAAAGCTAAAGCTGGTTTTGCGTGTAGAAATTTCAATCCTTAACGTCTCGGCTTTCGACACTCGAACTTCTTGTTTAATGTGAAAATACTACTTTGACATGAGACGCCATACGTTTATGAGTTATTTAACACCGTTGTTAGGAGCATACTATCAATTAATAAGACAAGCATTTTCATTGGCTGACTATTGTAAGGTTACGGAACCATCAGACAGTATAATTGGGAAAGGCGTGGCTTTTCACATAACGGATTTAAATATATGACACTTTGAATATAAATACCAACATGGCGCGCGGAAAAGGTCAGACAGAAAACCCACCTGGAACCTGGACAGAGAGCTTACAGCCACATTACTGCTGTTACTCATTATTAATTAGACTGAACGTAAGGAAAGTATTTTTGCCAGCTTCAAATTCAATAAAAGATGTGCAAAATAGCAATGTTTACAAAACGAACACCTTCCATGTATCCATGTCAACGAATCGAACTATTTGCAGTTCTTTCAACTCTCCACATAAATATTTTGTAATTTAATTAAACGATACCAAAGTGTTACTTTCTACACAAAAATGTACGTATTAAACGTGTCGCAACGTTTTAAGACCGATTGGTCCCTTTGTCAAGCTATAACTGAGTGAGCGAAATTGTATATGTTTTATGTCAACAACATCATCACAGGGGAGGACAGCACTTAAAAGACGCACTCAACCGTTGCTATTCCGAATGGTCAATAAACAAAGTGAAAAGAGCTGTAAAAGAAAAGACAGAAAATAAAAATAAAACGAGACAGAAAAGATAATAAATGAGAGCCAAACCAAATGCAAAGGCTGGGTCGCAATACCCTACGTAAAGGGGACATATAAGGCGTTTGCCTGGGAGATGAGGAAACACCGTTTCAGAACCCCGATGAGACCACTGACAACACTCAGACATTTACTGCTGCGCCCCAAAGACAAGACTGACATTAAATTCTATGAAAACGTTGTTTGCAGTCATATATAGGAAAAACTGAGAGGAATTTTAGTACACGTCCGAAGGAACATCAAAAGGACGCGGCGAAAATGAGCAACATCACAATTGCCAGATCCACACGGAAAACATCCGCAACCCAGTACAATAAATCGACATTAACAGATCACGCTAACACCCAAGGAACAACACATAAAAACGAGACAAATCAAAGAAGCAATCAAAATCAGGAACAATCAGAACATGAACAGAGACGAGGGGGACACAAGCTGAGTCATATGTTTAACTCGATACTGACATAACGGGGGAGGGGGCTAGATCTACATCCTACCTGTAACCTATTTGATACAGTGTGTATACGCTCCCTATCGATAGGCGAAACGTCCCGGGTCGAGTGACATATCAAATATAATTCCGTCACATCGTTGTACAGGTAATTCTTTTTTACAATTTACTCATTCAGTCATAGCTTGACAAAGGGACCAGTCGGTCTCAAAACGTTGCGATGTTTAATACGTACCTTGTTTGTGTAGAAAGTAAAACAATGAATCGTATTGACGATTGTATCGTATATGTTGTATGCCTTGGGCTTCCCCTTTTATACAGTGCATCAAGGTGTCTGACAGACATCCTTGGTAAGAAAAATGTTCAGATCTTTCTGACATTATTATGGAAGAGGATGTAATTTTCATCTCACACGATGTACTTGATTTTAAAGTGGTCAAGATCATAACGGACTGGTTGATACCGATACAATTCTGAAGAAGAAAAACGGGTCTCTGTTGACAACATCATCGGTTTGTTAGTGTTTATACAAAACACGAATTATATCTTATTCTGGGATACCATTTTACCAGTAAAATTTCTTGGCTGGAATGGGGAGCCCAGTAACACCTGTTGTTATCTTTTTTAATGGAACACAAGAGGCAGAAAGTCATCACTCCGCTTGAATAAAATGACATCCAGAATTATGGAAAAATATGTTGACGATATCTCGGAAGTTGTATAAAAAGTGGGGGAAACTTTTTAACAACTCCCATAACCAATTTTATGACACGGCTCCACAAAGTTTATATCTGAAGATCGAAGCCGATGGTAAAATACCTTTCTTGAACATTCAATCCAATTGTTGGTGTGTGAAACAGACTTGCACACACTCATCGTATGAGTTTCTGATCGTTCAATCCAATTGTTGGTATGTGAAACAGACTTACACACACTCAATACTATTTTCACAATAGCCATCTACGTCAACAAAACCACAATCGATCGAACTCAGATTCGTTAAACTGGAGCAAAATTTGAACAAAGGACAGATGTACATGGAGACCCTTGAAAAGTACAAGGAGAATAAAAACAGGTGCTCCGGAAGAGTAGGTGTCTTCTGCTTTATCGATGACACCCGCCATGTAAATCTATGTCGGATCCAAATAATGGCACGTCCTCGCATCAAGAACTGGGGTAGTGACATCAAAATCACAAGGTACTTGAGTAAGCATATTAAAAAACATCGTCCGTCATATCACATGAAGAAACATGATATTTCCCTGCAAGATCCTGATGACCACCATAAAACGTGTCCACAGTCTTCATCAACATGCAACTTTGGAAACCCTGTGTGTAAGTTTGTCCGTCAGCAGTCGACATCGATCACGGAAACCCTGTGTGTAAGTTTGTCTGTCAGCAGTCGACATCTATCACGGAAACCCTGTGTGTAAGTTTGTCCGTCAGCAGTCGACATCTATCAAGGAAGTCGTTATACCCAGAGAAAGCTCTTGAGTATAGAATCAACATGTTAAAACCATCATAGGGTTGTTGCTATCAAGAAAGGTAAAGTTCAAGACCAGAAAATGTTGTAAATAAATATCGAGGAAAACGGTTGAGGTTGAAGAGTCTACATATGGTGGCCTTGATTTCAAGCTCTGGATGGTATATACGATCGATACTGATAATTGCTGTAAGGTCGTTTCGCAATAAAATACCGGGGCGTTGCCTGGAATCAGATAGTACATCACTTGTGTGCCAAAATATCTAAAAAGAAATCCTCTAAGGACCAGATCTGAAATCGCATTAGGTATGCTTGGTTTATCTTCGCTTTATTTATACGTTGATCAATGTAAAGTAAGCTTTGCTTTTTGCGGCATTACGTAGAACCAAACCTAGTTGTACTTTGTATCTAAACAACTGTTGCGATTGTATTAAAAACATTTTGATGTACATGTACAGATGCATTCTATACAAGTACAACTTTCATGATTTTTTGAATGCTTTCTTTAAGTCTGGTAATTTTCCTCCATAGTACGCTTCGATGGACAAATCTTATTCTTCTTTGTAAAGAATCACATGACTGGAAATATCGTAAGATCATTCGCCTGGGTTTTTAATATTCAAAAATCTTCATTCTTAAATAAAATCTCCAGCGAAAGGGTCCTTTTCAAAGTGCCATCCTTCTTTGATTGAAACTTGCAAAACTGTTTCCAAAATATGGATTACCCCACCCGATTGTGAGCTATATATTTAATGCGCTCGTTGCAAGGGTACATTTGAAAATGCAGTCGCCCATCTAAGTTTTTATGAAGAATTTCTCAACTGCACATTACTACTAAATTACCCCCCCCCCCCCCCCCCCCCTAGTTTAGAACTTAATTAGGAGTCAGACATCCAAGTGATGAAAATTATTAAGGGAGCCAGTCTATCGCCCATCGTTTGTTAGACTGCTGCATGGGTGCTCCAAGCGCTGCCATTTGTGATGCTTTCCATCAATGACGATGTTTATAAACAAAAATGCCTTATATTTCCGAAAAGGCGTGTAGCGGAACTGGACTGGATCGATCGTCGGCGACCAGATAGCTCAATTGGCAGAGCATCCGTCTAGAGTTCGGTGGGTCCCGGGTTCGAACCCCGGTCTTGCCGTGCATTTTTCCTCTCCTGTTACAGGCGTTCATTATGACTTTCCAGTAAATGCTGTAGCTTATTTTATAACAGTCTTTGCAATGTAATTTCAAGTCATCTCATTTCCCACTTATCAATGATTGATTAACTTGTCCATTCCTTTTTCGAGTTGTGATTATGAAATATAATATTTATATCAGTTGTATATGAATTTTCGTTTGCACCATTTTTCTTATGTCACTTGCACTCACTGTCTTCATCCCTAGTGTACTCTTCAATATATTGCGGGGTAATAAGAAATAAAGACGAAAACATGAGGGTTTTTTTAATCAATAAAAAACATTTCAACTGGCATTAATAACTTAAAAAATATTTATTCATATTAGAGCGAAACAACTTTGGGCGAACGGGATTGATGGCGAAACTACCGGGATCGGTAATTTGCAATGTTTAGTTTTGTCCTACTCGAACGCATCCGTACTTTTCTTTCATTTCGAACTCGCCTGGAATCTAACATGGACGACGGTGTCACACTCTCCAGACAAAATTTCAAATAATGACAGCATACAGCATTTCAAGGACAAATGAAAGCCTCCACTAGGGCACTGCACGTATCTAGTAATAGGTTTTATGATTGATATTCATAGTAAACGATGCACTGAGTGACAAAGTAAACTTACATGACATCAGTCGGGTCGATATTGCTGACGTTAGCTTGCACCGCCAATCAGAATTCATGCATGTTACAAGGACACACAGTGGCGGATCCAGAGGGGTTTTTTGGGCTTCAGGAAAGCCCCCTGCCCTGAGAATTTTCTTTAAAAATAACGTATTTTCACAATTTTCCTCAATTTTCCCCCACTTGGAACCCCCCTGGAAATTTGGATCCCCCCTCCCCCAGATAGGTCTCTGGATCCGCCACTGACACATTTTGGCAAAGTGTACTTGACCTGACATGAACTGATTGGCTACAATCCCTTATATGGATGTTCTGCATTTAGGTTACAGTTATTGTTTACAGTACTTAATGTAAACAGTAATTACAGTACTGTAATAATGTAAACAGTAATTGTTAGCCAAATGCATTTTATGATTAGAAAGCAAAATTGGCCACCAACTAACCATCTGGGATTTTGTATGGATATTGCATGCAATTTTTTTTAAACATTATTTATGATGGCCTGACACTCATATCACTTTATGATCTTTTGTTTGTGATGTTTTCTATATGTTCCAGAGTACCAAAATGCCTTTTACTTTTTAAGTATCACAATATCTCTTAACATAAATTCCAAAACCTTTGGGTGCCAAATTACTCCAACAATGTTAGAGGTTTTACACGGCAAAAAACTCTTGACAGGCGCCGTGTGTCGCAGTCTGCAAAATCATACCCGATAGAAAAAAGGCCTCTCATGTTATAGGAGTAGGTACCAAATGTCATGAATTTACCAGTCACTATAGATAGATAGCATTGCAAATTTTAATTGGTTACCACTGCTAGCTCATATATATATGTATTTATAAATGTGTTCCTTTTTATTTTCAGAATTTATGTAATTATCTATCCAACCCTGGCACTGGAGTACTCTATTCATATCACACCTGACCATATGGTGTTGAACAATGTGACCCATATAGGATCTGAGTCTGGTACGGTAATGAAATACCTGAGTATGATGTCTGTAACCCTGAGTTCATACATTCTTTAACCATGGTGTTAAACTATTCTGAACGGTTCTTGGAAAGTCTGTACCATTTGTGGGAGGATGAAGTTTTCTGTGACATTCGTATCCGAGTTGGAGATCAAATATTCCAGGCCCACCGCATTGTGTTGTCTGCAGGGTGTGACTACTTCAAGGCCATGTTTGAATGTGGACTGATGGAGCAGAAAGCTGACTGTATAGAAATTCATGATATGGATCCACTGGTGTTTAAAAACCTCCTAAATTTTCTCTACACAGGTAAAGATACAAACTCGTGAATTCATCTAGATAATATATACATAGGTTAACATACATTCTTCTGAATGCATCTGGAAAATATAATTATACATCGGTTTATTAAGACACTTGTATATATGACACACACAGAATATCTCCTATACATTAAACTTCTCTTTTCCATTCACTAATTCAAGTTATTGTATTTGAAATAATTCTGTTACACAGAAATACAACTCGCTGTAATAGAAACTTAAAATATCAACAGTCAAATGTTGAATACATCAAAAACATTTAATTATACATCGGTTTATTAAGACACTTGTATATATGACACACACGAAAAACTTCCTATACAAATTAATAAAAAAATTTTTTTTCCTCTTTCAGGGAAAGTTTACATCAAGGAAGACAACTGTCAGGACCTCCTTGCTGCAGCAAACATGTTTGGGCTACAGGAGATAATTGACCTTTGTTGTGTGTTTCTGAAACAAAAGCTCCACCGTGAAAACTGTCTAGGTAGGCCATGTTACATACAGTTCACACATGAAGGTTCGCATGAATTTAATACAAGTGATAGTGTAGTTATTACATCTACATTTTTCTAGACCAGCACTTTGGTTTAGTTTCCAAGAGACTATTAATGGATTAATTTCTCTGTAGATGTTCTTTCCCCACCTGACACAAATAGCCTGCAAGCCTATGGTGTTTTATTGTATAAGCAGCAGCATCTGTCTGAACAATATTCATTTTGTTGGCTTCTTCTTAGAAACACCGAGTGTAACTTATATTTTGTCAGAACTTGGTATACATACCTTAGATTGAAAACTTCAATCTTTCCCCATATAAGCAAATTTTATCTACATTTTTGGAACTAATCATAAATGTTGAATAATCATAATCATTTTCTATGTCTAGAGCCATATTACTTGGATATTATGTCGACAAGCAATGCAAGTGGTCAAAGGTCAACATGCGTATGGGTAAATACTTGCCCATATTCACTAAAGCCCAGAGTTCTGATTTTAGTTCAGGAAGTACTTGGAATAAAGTGCTTTTAAGTTTCCTTATTAACATGGCTGTGACCTACTTTCAAGGTTACATATGATCATAGGTTATGAATAGGAAAAGTTGAAAATACCCAACAACTAGGCATGTACACAATTGCAGGACCTACGTAGATTGATGTAATCATGCAAACAACATTTGTCTGCTTGTTTCTAAGGTCATAGTCTCCAAGAAAGCATAACATAGGAAAAGTTGAGATGTCTACCCTTTAACCATTTCATATGTGCTTGCAGGAAATGAAGAGACAAATATAATCATGATACAAAATGTACCAGGTTTAGCCCTAGGACCCCAATCTTAGGCAACCTCACATGCCTATGTGACTTTTTGAGTAGAACATTTTGCATGACATTTTTGTGAACTTGACCTCTGTGACCTTGGTTAAGTTTTTGTGTTTAGGCCAGCTATTAGGTAATTTACTAATTAGTGCTGCAGCTAGAGTCACACGATTTCACGTGCTAATACTCCTCTATAAGAACAGCATGATTTGTTTGTAACCTAGATCGTTGACCATGGCCCCTGTGACCTTGCTTTGCATATGGAAGCAGGGCAACCATGTCTTACAGACACATCTTTAGTTAGTTAGTATCTGAGTGAGTGATAAGGCCATGTAGGCCGCCTGGTTATTTCTTGTAGTTTAAATCTTTTTCGGTTCTATATCAGATGAATTGTCAGAATTTCTAAAACTTTTTGGATGTTAAGTCTTTCTAATTATTTATACAACCAAAACTTTATTAAATGGAACCTAGCCCCACAATGATAAACGATCCAAACAGATGTTTGATTTTTTTTCAGTGAAAATATTAAACACATTTTTCAATATACTGCAGGTATTTACCAGTTCGCAGAGACACTTGCATGTGAGGAACTGAAGATGGATGCTGAGAAGTTTATCAATAACCACTTTTTACACCTGTCAAAGGTGGAGGAATTTACATGTCTACCTGTGGATTTACTTGTTAAGCTCCTGAGAAGCGAGTATTTATGTATAGAAGAAGAACACCAGGTGTTACAAGCGGGGCTGAACTGGGTCCTTCATGATCCAAGCAGTCGTAGGAAGTATATTTTTGATATTCTGCATCAGGTTCGAATCCCAATTATTCCAGAGAAACAGCTTTCAGATATTTTGGATACCTGCAATGATTTAAGCACAAAAGTTGTCATCCAAAAGTTTGTACAAGATTTTCGTTTAGAGAGACAGGTTTCTTTAAAGTTGCATCAAAACAGAATTAAACCACACATGCTTAACCCAAGGAAATCTGCCAGGAAGAATATTTTTGTTATTGGGGGAAATAAACAGTCTGACGAATGGAGATGGAGCGATGGTGTTACCGTGCCGACCGTAGAAAAGTTTGACACACTCACCATGGACTGGACAAACATGAGTGACATGCAGTTTCCAAGGAGTAGTCATGGTGCTGTGGTATTGAACGGACAGATATACGTAGTAGGTGGAGAAAACGACTCATTAATATGTGATAATGTGGAATGTTATGACCCAGCCGCTGACAAATGGAGTTCCCTCCCTTGCCTAAACTATCCACGATGTGGTCTTGGACTGTGTGTTGCTAATGAATGTATCTATGCCTTTGGAGGCTGGGTGGGGGAGGAACTCGGTGACAGTGTGGAGAAGTATGACCCAGAGACAAATAAGTGGATCATTGACTGTATAATGCCCACACCCAGGCATGCTATGGGTGTCCTGGAATGTGGAGGTAGTCATTTCATATATCAACATTTTAATCATTGACCCGTAATTAAATGTGATCAGAAGTTAAATATTGACAAGAAGCTTATTATATATTAACTGTCTCACATGTTCATTAAGACCAACAAAATTATGTAATAGGTTCTATATGTTTGCATTCGATTTATGATTTTTTTCATTTTTAGAAAAAAGATTGTGTTATGACTATAGATCATAGTTCCAGATTTTATCAGCACTCCTGTAGAAATGGACTTATACTCTCTATAATTAAAATCAGGGTAGATCATGATCAGGTAACGCTTAAACAGATGTACATTATTGTTCTATCAGATGCTATTCTATTTGGCCTAGAATGAAGAATTATAAACTTAGACTTGGTAAAATAACCTTATTGAGTACATGTACCACAATTTACATTGTATATTGACATGCTAGTATGTGTCCTGCTGACCTCCTGTAAGAGACAACTTACTTTTTCATCCTCTAGTGTTAAATATCTGAAAAAAAATAGTGTTGTTAGGTAATAAATCTTATTTTTGAATTTGTTTTATAAGGTGTAAATAGGAGACTGATTTTGACTTCCTTGAAATTTGCTCAAAAAGTTTATTTTAGGGTGGGCACAACAAAATTAGGTTGGTAGGGTAACCAGAAACGTTATTTGTTTGGCCTTATCATGTGTTGTGAACTTTGAATGGAATTTATTCAAGTCACATGACTATGCAACATGCAATTATATTACTCCTAAGATCCTATTGATGTTATTTATGTATATAACATCACTATTCCAGGCCTGATCTATCTGATTGGAGGGTTGGATGCAGATGAAACTGACCTAACATCTGTGGACAGTTTTAACCCGGTTACAAAGGAGTGGCAGCAACTGCCACACCTCAAGGTCGAGAGGTCACACCTGGGGGTGGCTGTGTTGGACAGAGTTCTTTATGCGATTGGTGGATTGAACCACTCTGAGGGCGATCTCATGTCTGCAGAAAGATATGTTCTTGACTCTGTAAGTAGTCCTTTCCTTTCATGTTAAATAATGTTAAACTTGATAATGCTGTAGTGTTTGCTTTTTACCATCCTCAGTCAGCACGAAGCCAACATCTTATTAATAGATTTTGAACTTTCTATAACCTCTTACATTGGCTGTTCAAGAGAAAAATATTGCTTGTATGTTTCTTCTGTTTTAAAAGGTTTTGGTATGTTTTTTAAAGTTACTTTACATGTATTAGCTTGGTAAATGTCGTCTGTCTGTTTTCAGGATGGCTGGGAGGAGATTGCTCCTCTATCTGACAAGCGATCAGCTCCCTGTATGGCCGCAGTAAATAGCCATCTGTACGTGATTGGTGGACAGAAGTGGACTGACCGATTCTCCAGTTACAGACATTACTGCAGTAACCCGGTAACACTGGACAGTATGGAATGTTATGACCCTAGGACCGATGTCTGGTCAAAGCTGCCCTACATGCCTATGGATCGCTGTAGGGCAGCAGCTGTGGTACTCTAACTATACTGCTATTACCATGGACTGTGGTACTCATGCAGCTAGTTATACTGCTATTACTATGGACTTAGTTCTCATGCAGCTAGTTATACTGCTATTACTATATGGACTGTGGTACTCATGCAGCTAGCTATACTGCTAGTACCATGCACTGTGGTACTCATGCAGCTAGTTATACTGCTATTCCTATGGACTTAGTACTCATGCAGCTAGTTATACTGATATTACTACGGACTGTGGTGCTCACGCAGCTAGTTATACTGCTATTACCATAGACTGTGTTACTCATGCAGCTAGCTATACTGCTATTGCTATGGACTTTGGTACTCATGCAGCTAGTTAAACTGCTATTACTATGCACTGTGGTACTCATGCAGCTAGTTATACTGCTATTCCTATGGACTTAGTACTCATGCAGCTAGTTATACTGCTATTACTACGGACTGTGGTACTCATGCAGCTAGTTATACTGCTATTCCTATGGACTTAGTACTCATGCAGCTAGTTATACTGCTATTACTATGGACTGTGGTACTCATGCAGCTAGTTATACTGCTATTACTATATGGACTGTGGTACTCATGCAGCTAGCTATACTGCTATTACCATGGAGTGTGGCACTACTGCAGCTATGCAGATAACTATAATGCTATTACTACAACATGTACTCTGGCCATGCTGCTATAGCTAGTACTACTGTGTGTTATGCTGGACATATATATATATATATGTGCAACTATTACCATGAACTGTGGTACTGCAGTAGCTGTGCTGCTATTAACAAGACCTGTGGTACCTATAGTAGCCATGCTGCTATTCCTAAGAACTGTGGTACTCCAGCCATGCTGCTATTACCATTGACTTTGGTACTGTAGTTGTACTGCTATTACTACAGACTGTTGTTTCTGATGTCTACCACTGATGTGTTACTGCAACGGTCAGGGCTCGATAAGAAGGGTAGCCCACTAGTCTGAGTCTAGTGAAACCACTATCTGAACTAGTGGTTCTAAAAACCACTAGCCCAATTTAATAGTCATATTTTGGTATTATTTATCTTGTTGAATAATATTGGGTTAGTGGAATTTGCACATGGGCTAGTAAAATTGGAAACTACTTGCCTGACTAACTGGTAGTTTCTAAAATGTATTTCTAGCCCTGAACAGTACCAGGTATGGGTATAGCTGTATAACTGGCAATCCATTTTACCAACACTGCCAAAATGGTGATGGATAGTCAATTAATGTTTGTGAATCAAGTGAGGATTATGGATAAGTGCAATACATGCTGACTGGTCTCTCTTGAAAAAATACTGCTTCTATGTCAGAGCATCAGCACTCATCATGCAGTATTGCTTTTTCCTGAGCTGGTACTTGCACTGATTTGGAGCCGAGGTTTTTTGGAGATTTGGTGATCCTCCTCAGCTGTAATACTTTTGTCAATTATTAAGTTCAGTGTTTAACAGCAGTCTCTGATCTTTTAAGGTTATTGTTAACGTCCAATCTGTAAACTTTGGTCATCATCAGCAGTGAACTATGCCGCTGTGATTTTTGCATCAATATGCTTGGGTGCTTGTTAACTGCAGAAAAGCTTTGTGAGGTTTGGTGCTCAAGTAAAGTACTAGTACTTTAGTAAGCTGTGTTGCTTCACATCACCAATATTCTTGTGACTTTGGACAAAGCATATTCTGTAGAAGTTAAAAAAAAAAATCCATAACAATTCCTTCCGATCTTGTTGGCCCTGAGTGATAGTAGGGGGGAGGGGTTGCATTCAAACTTCATGTTACAACTACTTTATTGGTGATTTTCTTTCTTTGGTGGTGCTATTTGAAAGTTTTGAATACATTGAAGAAATTATGATAGATGGCTATAATATATTTATTAGAGAACACAAAGATTAGATGATGTAGTATTAAATGGTATTGTTATCTAATGATAGCGTTCTACATATTCAATCACATTGTCTGTATGTGTTAGGTACCAGTACATGTGTCCAAAACATGTTATCAAATAACTAAACAATGATATGTATCTATTTGCTTCATACCAGATTACAAATTAAAAGATTACATTTTTTTTTAGCTTCAGGACTATAATCCACCTAAGTAGACATTTTGAACAAGAGATCAAAGATAAGTTTTATCTTGTCTGCAGGACTGCAATTTGTGATATTTTTGTTGTAACTACTCTGCACATGGTGCTGTATTTGTTGGAGATACACATGCAACTCTATACAGTAAAACTTAAGTTGGAGAAGGTGTTTTATAACAATATTATTAAAATATAATTTTGAAATGAAAGTATCAGAGAAAATTACACTGCATTTTAAACTTTGACCGGATGTCACTAATTCTCCAACAAAATGTTAATGTATCTTGTGCAGTATTATCTATGGCAATGAGGTGTGGCTATTAATTGTGGCTTATGATTTATAATTTAACTTTGATTTAGACTACAAGAAAATATATTTGATGTGATGGATTAATTCACAAGAAGGAAAAACTGAAGTTTGACTTTTTCACAGGTGGTTGGGTATAGAAGAACTTGTTATTAAAACAAAACTTTTAAGGGATTCTTGAATTATCCAATTCTTAATGCAAATATGCAAATTGCAAGTTATATGCATTTAAAATTATTTGATAAATTATCAGATTTCTGAAAATTTTTGAATTTCCCTTTCTTTGATCTCATATGAAGGAAATCTGTTAAATAACCATGTGTGTTTCCTGTTGTTGACAATTATTCAATTACCAGGTATACATGTATTTCGTCTGTGCTGAACTAAAGTGCTGTGTCAACATTATGTGATAATATGGTTATACATGTACACGTGTTTGTGTATGGAATATGCTTCTGTATTGGATCATGCAATGATCAAAAATAAAATTGTGAAAAAAACATTCCTTTTTTGTCCATTTTTGTTCTCTCCATCATTTTATTTTTGACAAAATCTATCTATCTTAATGGTTCCTTTGCCATCCTGGAGAAGATATTGGTATAGAACATTTGTCCAGATTATTTTTCCTTTCTGCACAATTACCATTGGAGGATCACAAAGGCCATATAATCCTAGGACCCATAATAACACAAGTTCATGTCCTATATGCCATGTCCAGGATGCACCGGATCAAACTCAAACTTCATACAGGGAATTCTTTGGCAGTGCATTTACTAAGGATTACCTTAAGTCAAAACGACCAAGGTTGAATTCATTCTTTAATACCAAAAATCAGCTGACACACTGTTTATTATATTTAATTATGAACAATTCAGCAAGAGGTCATGCCTAGTCAAAAGGTCAAAAAGACACATGTGGGTCAAACAAACTAAAATGCTACAAAAGATGAAAAATCCTGATTCTGCAGGTGCACATTAATAAGTGACCTCGTATCGAAGAAGATATAGTTAGCGCGTTACGTTTAAGGCACAGGGACATTTATATTTGGATCTAAACTAAGGTGTTCAGAGTAATTTTACATGTTTTGGGGGTTTAGATCGACTTTCTGTAAAAATGGCTCCACCAAAGCTCACACGAGATGCATTTGGGGTGGCATTTTTTACCAAAATGACTCTGAACACCTTAGTTTAATTTAGGTCCAAATATAACTAACAAATTCTCAGATCCCTGTGATACTAATACATCGCTTTGCACGTAGACGACACAAAGAAAAAGGTGTGGAACCAGTTGTCTCATCTTTGCTGGCCAATGGTTACGATCCAGAGTGCAAGTGAGCATAACCCATGGAGTACTGTATGAGGATGATGTTGTGCCCGGGAAGGGTAAGCATTTCCGTTATCAGATTTGACACCCTATATGGTGTTTTCCGTCAGGTCCAGGAACAAGAGGCCCAAGAGGGCCTGTATCGCTCATCTGAATATTTAAGCAGTCATAGCAAATATTCTTATTAAATATTATATTGTACTACAAATTTGTCACTCGCAAACTTTGTCGGCTCCATCTGTTGAAACTATCAGTCAAATATTATTATAAGATTTTATGCTTTTATGCCATCGTTCTTCTTCAAAAGTTGTTTGACATATTTTTTCCTGTGACCTTGTAAGTATGTCAATTCATTTTCCTTCTCAAACTTGTATAGCTATATCCCATGAAGCTACCAGCCAAATCTTATGAACCCATAACTTTTGGTTCTTCAGAACAAATCCTTTGAAATGTTGTTGACCTCTGTAACATTTAAAGAAGGTTGAGGTAATTTTAATTTGTAAACTTTGGTGAGCTCTATCCCAAGAAGCCACTAGCCAAATATTATAATTTGATGCCTTTCGATTTTTCAGAACAGGTCACTTGATGTTTTTGACATATTTGACACCTGTGACCTTGAAGAAGGTCAAAGTCATTTTCACACCAAACTTTGTCGGGCTCTATCCCAGAAAGCCACCAGCCAAATATCAAGATTCTATACCTTTTAGTTCTTCAGAAGAAGTCGTTTAAAGAGTCTGACATATTTGACGGCTGTGACTTTGAACTTAGTTCAAGGTCATTTTCTTTCTCAAGCTTTGTCAGGCTCTATCCCAGGAATCCACCAGCCAAATATAAAAGTTATATACCTTTTCGTTCTTCAGAAGAAGTCGTTTGAAGCGTTTGACATATTTGACCCCTGTGAGCTTGAAAGTAGGTCAAGGTCATTTTCATTTGCAAACTTTGTTTGGCTCCTACCAAGGAAGCTTTCAGCCAAATATAATGGCTCTACGCCTGACCGTTCTTCAGAAAAAATCGTTTAAAGGAAAAGTTGACGGACGGACGACGAACGCCGCACCATGACATATAAGCTCACTTGCCCTTGGGGCAGGTGAGCTAAAAACTGTAGGTTAACGTCACGAACGATCTAAAGCATAACGTACAATCATTATGATGGAAACTGAAATATCCTTGTTTGAAACTAGTTCACGATGACGAATGTAACATATTATCAACATAGGCTTCATGGAATTATTTAAGGGGTTTATTAGTCAACGTGTCGCATCTCTCCAGAAAATACTGGTGCTAACTGTTAAACACCATCAGCATGCGAGGCTAGAATGATACTACTGTGGAAAGGAAAGTTAACGATCGATTAAGTCAAGTCTTGCTGCTGCGACAGGTTAAGCAAGCGATGAACATAATTAAACTTCATTACAACAGGCATGTGGACATCACTTAACACCAAGACATCACCTTATAAACACCTAGCACACCTGCAGTTGAGGCCATCCCACATATATGTCTACGAAATTCACCAAAGTTTTAAACCTTTCGTAGGTCTTGAAAGATATCTTGTATCTTGTACAAATATCTTCATTTCCATGGATAAACATTTCAACTAACACCAAGATCTATATTATACACACGTGATTGTAAGTGTAATAATTACACGTGATTGCAAGAAAACAAAACAGCAAGAACCATTAGACGCACGAATATTTCCCAATTGGAAACTGTTCGCCTTTTTCTATCACAATAATTGGGTATCAGTTATGACATTGCGTCATATTCAAATTATGATGGAAAGTCCTGCAAGGTTTCCGCTTGACGTTTGTCTGACAGAATTAACTAGTTGCCATACATATATAAATCATAACATACCAAAATTCATTAAATATAATGATAGAATGCAACTACATTCGTTCCTTAAATTGTACACATGCAGTGAGGTATCTTGGAAAATAAAATATGTTTGAATAGAATTGTGTTTAGTCTGAATTATTCTGACGTTTTATCGACTTTTTTTTTATATCGGTCGGTCGTCGATTAAATCGACGACAGACCGATATAAAAAAAGTCGATAAAACGTCAGAATAATTTGGACTAAATTGTGTTTTGTTGCGCACCAGCGGAAATATTGAAAAAGACGTACTTCTGTCATTAAATGTTTCCATGCTATCGTCAAAAAATAAAGGTATTGGCGTTCGCTATATATTTGTTTATTAACATACCACCAGCATGCTTTTGATTGTATGACCGTCCGTATAATATTATTCGGATCGGTAACACCAGAGACGTATATAACACGTATTATACGTCTCTGGTAACACATATCATAAGCGGAGAAATTAAGAAATATAAGTTTAACAATGTGGTATAAATAAATGAAATAAGGTCGGACCTAATGATCTGATACTGATGTCTGGCGAGACTTAACAAAGACTCTTTTAATCCGTTAAGCTTTATCCCTCAAATATTATTACAATAAAAATGAACTTGCGACCGGATATTTCATTCCATGCTGCTTTACGGGGCGCGCATCGTATTAGAACACAGTTCTGTATTTCCGGTACGTCTTCAAAACGACTTTTGTTTTTGCCATGTGCAGTATTATTCCTTAAAGGTAATATGCTACATGACTACACATTGAAAATCATAAGTAAACCATTATCCCATGGTAACACATTAATTATAAATTCTCTCTAGTCTTGATAAAGTGGTAGCTTGACAGTAAATAGATAACACTAAACTAGCCGGTAGCATTAGATAAATACAACATTTACAAGATACAAGAATTTTTATTTAGAGTCGTGTTTGTAACAATGCAACTTTAGCTCAGAAGAGCTATTCTTACGACTAAAACATTTGAGGGATGAGCTGAAGCTTTAACGCACCCTATCAACTCGTACATATTTGTTTACAATGGTGTACTTGCAATTGTAAGTCGTATGGCTTCGTCAATTTCAATTATGATGTTATCACAGAGAGAGAGAGAGAGAGTAAGGCGGGAGTGTATATCGATCGATTGAACAGATTACCCCAACATGTTGTATATCTATCTAATATGTTATACTCCACAGAGACCAAAATGACGTTAATGCGGAGGGGTTATCAATGTAGATAATGTTTTACAATTTGAGATATATATAACTGTATAACACTAGAAAAACCATCGTTTTGAAATTTGTTACATAAAAGAAACCGTAATTCTGTATAAAGCCATATTGTACTGAAGAACCAAATTCTAGTTTTTTGTACAATATTGATATGGACATAAAGGCTACACGCCTGCGTCCATTATGTATCTTGATAAAAGTACATCAGTAGGTAGGCTGTGGCAAAATGCACTTGACCACATTTTAAAGATGTTTCGGTATTTTGTCGTTTCGTTACACGTTTAAAGCATTGGAATACTTCCAAAAAGTCATTTGAATATTTCATAATATTTTTGGCACGTGGACTAACCACAGGGGTTCGTTACAAATTAAAGTCTTATACACATATGCTATACTGATATGGGTCACAGCAAACCTTAACATACACACAGGGGTTCGTTGACTAATGTTTAAGCTTTGTACTTTGTTTAATTTTTGTGTCCTACTTGTTATGTTATACCTTTGCTTCTGCATCGTAATTACATTTGACTAAGTTCAAAGAATCTGTGTTAATTGATTCAGTCCCAGATATTTTTCATTTTTTTTTTTATTTACTTTGCAGCCCAATTTTTAATTTCAAAACAATAAGTAAAGAACTTCCTTAAATTATGGTTCAAAATGTTTGTGAAACTTGGGGCACAAGCAAGCTTCAGAAAAAAATCTTCATAGCATGTAGCAGATGTTATGTCCTGAAGATATGTTTGTAAGCTAGAATTGAAATATTACACTGACAGTCAAGGAATATCTCATCAATTTAAGAATGATTTTGAATATCTAAATATACATAAATTTTAATGAAACTGTATTTTCAGGAATAGAGGACAATATTTGCCATGAGTACTGCAAAGGGTCCTTATAAAGGACCAAAAAAAGGATCCTTGACAGTAGAGGAAATACAGGTTGATAACATCACACAGGTAAGTACTGGTATATAACAGATGAAACACATGTCACGGGACAAAATAGTATCTTAGATGAACAGTATAACACAGGTGAAATAGGACAGATGAATATATAACACAGTTGAGAATAGTACAGGTGAACAATATAACGCAGGTGAGAATAGCATAGATAACTACATAACATAGGTAAGCCTCAATTAAGGATATAACTGATGAACAAATTAGCACATGCATGTAAGAATATTACAGATGTACAATGTAACACAATTAAGAACAACAAAACACAGGTAAAGATATAGTACCGGTGAGTAACATGTACTTACACACTCAATTGATCAATTCTGTACAAAATGGGGATATTTATCTTTCCTTGCATCTTAAGCTGCATGATGAAATGTTTCTTTCAAATCACATTGTAAACAATTTGTAACCAGTACAAGTAATTATTTATCCAAAGATTATCTTCTATGTTAAATGCTTTTCGTGTGATTAATATTTTTCACAAATGTAATAATGTAAACAAAACGCCTGTCCTTAACAATATAATGAACCAATATTCCCTATAATAGGATTGTATCATATGAACTTACAATATTTCTGTATAATGCTTGTTATATTTATCAATAAATAAATTCCAAGTTAAGCATTGATGGTTCTTGTGAAATGTTTATTGTGATGAAAGATTGTTTTTGGTTTGACAGTTGGCTCGACAGCATTGGTCACAGGAGGCGCTGAAGAATGGAGTTGAATTTAACCCTAAGGTAAGCATAGAGAATAAGTAAGTTCATGATCACTGCGTTAATGATTTTCATTTTTATTATCAACTTTTACACCATCAGGATAAATATTAAAAAACAGATTTCACTCGTTTGAAAAAAAATTAGAAAGTTAGTTTTTGTGTTTATGGAAAACAAATTGTGAAAGAGATTATATAAAGATTGTTTTTGTACCAGTACTTATTGCAGGTATGAGATTAAGAAGGATAACTATAATTTTCCACTGTATTATTTTTACAGATTGTGGCAGATATTTACAGAGAGGAACTCCAAGGAACGCAGTGAGTATTTCTGCAAATAATCAAAACTCTCATACTAAAATTTGGATAATGAATCAGTCATTTCTTACTGTTGTAGTCATATGAATAATCAGTTAAAATATTTTATTCACTATCATTCTTTCAGTTACGAAAAAAAATCCCTTTCAATAATGTACCATATTTTGAATTCCTTTTTTGCTGAAAGATATATGTATTTGTAAAATTTTATTCTCAGGTTTTCTGCCCGAAGGACAATGATGCTAGAGTACAGGTAAGTACATGTATATTATTGTGCAATTAAGAATATTGAAAATGAACAACTTTTCACCAAGTGTTTTGAACTTGCTGGCTCAAAATTGAAATAGAATCTTTCTTGTTTCGAAAATCACATGTACATTGCAAACAAAAGTGTTTGATGATTTTAACAATTTCCTTCTTGTTCTTTTCAGTCAATATCTGGAAAATTACTTATGGCCAAATTGTAATCCTGACAAGGTGAGATTTTAATAATTTGAAGACAATTTTTTTCTGTTGAAAATTAAGTCTTCTGTCTCTTATGATTATTCCAGATTCAATATTGAAAGGGCTTTTTTTTTTAACCCTGACATACTATCTTGGATAAGATAAGATTGACATTATATTGCATCGATATTGATCAGTAGAGTAAACTATTAGGTGACAGATGAAGGTGAATTGTTTTTAACATTTGCAGCATTACTGGATGTATGCTCCTTGAACAGCACTAAATCAGAAGGATGCATTTCTGAACTCTTTTGATCTTTTATATAGCTATTATTGTGAAGTTACTTTTCTTGAAAAAAAATATCGAATAACTTCTTTGGGTGTTTGCGTTGATTTTGGTTTATTTTACACATAAGAATGGGGTGTTACTGCTACTTTAATAAAGCGACTAATTTTATTGTTTTGTTGAATCTTCTTGTTATTGATGCTATGTTTTTTTTTCAGTCCAACAATGCACATATTACATCTACTGCTCTAATGGTGAATGAGAAATTCAGAGAAAGGGTTCCACCATGGGAGGTAAGCAGGACTGAGATGTCAGTCTACCTTTTTTATATGATTGAACATCCCACAGTTTAAGTATAAATAAACTCAACTAAAACATATTTTAGTATGGAATACTTTGTTGTCTGATTTGATATTGCCATGGGCTAATACATTAATTTTACTCAAAGAAATGTTATACTTCAAAAACTCAATCAATATCTCATTGAAGTTGGTCTTTCATGTATTGAAGAATTTCCATACTTTTTGCATACAATGTATTAAATGAAATTGTTTGAGAAATTTAGAATAAATATGTTTAAATTAAAATTTATCAAAATCATGACAAAATTGTGATGAAGCTATTTAGTCCTGGTAATTTGGAGACATATTTAGAAATTGAAGGAAATGTTTCTCATCAATAACGCTTTCTCTTTACCATTCTGTATTTACTGACATGCTGTTGCTGTGTTCAGTGTTTCAGAGCCAAGCCAGAGAAATTCGAGGCATTTTTCCACCAGGTATTACGTGTTTGTCTGGCTGAACACACTTCCCTTCTGGAACACACACATCTACTCATGTTTCTCATTCACTGCTTCAACAGCCTGGTAAGTGTAACTTTCATTGGCTCTGGAAACTGTCTTCATATGATTTACATTAGCTGTTGCTGGGACCAAACAATGCACTAAAGAAAGATATTTACATGTATGGTGTAACCTGATTGTTAAGTTCCACACCATTTGATCCTGTATGACCATTTTGTGTTGAAGGGCTATAATCATTAGTATGCATAGATGTACGATTACAATGTATATGGTATTATAACCTCTGTTAATTGCATGACTTTATTCATTAACAGGAAATGGATCTGATCCGAGAACAAGTTCAGAAGTTAGTGTCTCTTCCAGTCTGGGCCAATCTTCTACCAGTAAGTTTGTTTATTTACTATGTCCAGATCAAGGTAAAAAGAAATCATTTTAAAGAGCAGGTGTGACCTTAACCATGCCAGTTGACCTTGTAGAATTAGGTCAAGGTTAAATATGGAGGACATAATTTACCAATGTTATCATGATTTACCCATCATGTTAATCTCATAGTAAAGTTTTGTTCAATGATTTGACTGATGTTCTTATTCTAATCCCTTATATAAGAAATATGTCCTTAACTTTTGTCTTGTGAATTTTGTTAACAAGATTTCTTTAATACATATTGAAGGAATTATCCTTTGGATCGACTTCATTTGACTGAACAAAGCCAAAGTTCACATGTATTTCATAATTTGTGTACAAAAAATGTGAAGGTCTTTTGTCAATGACAGGTCAAATGATATATGTGCATTTTTACCAGGCTGTGTAGTTGTTATTTTAGCATCTGCTGACATTGCTTGATTTAGGAAATTTTCTACTATATTGTTTTTTGTTCCAGGGAAGAAGAGAAGAACTGTTCAAAACAAATGCCAAATACAAAAAGTTTTACAACCTCATACAGAAAAACGACGCTAAAGTTGGGGCGGACAAATTAAAACGATTGCAGTTTGAGAGAAACTTTATGTCTAATTTGATGAAGAAGTTCTTCAGTATCTTAGACTCAATACCAGAAACAGGTAGGGATCAATCTTTATCAATTTAGAAGTGTTGCATATCATTGTATAAAACGTGTGCACTCAAATTAAAAACACTTATGTTGAAATACTAGTACAATCTAATGGGGTTGTAACTGCAATTTTGTGTAACTTAACTTTCTGTCACAAGTTTGCAATATGTTATACATCAAAGGCTTTGGCTGATATTAATCAATACATAAATGTTGAGATTTCAATTCATACATTGAAGTCAGCACACAAGAGATATACAATTTTGTAAATGATTTCAAATTTGTAAACTCAGTGCTTTCAAGCAATTATCTGCTGAATCCATTGTTGTATGACATGATACATTGCAATATTCTATTATAAATGAAGTCATGCAAGTTTGAAGTTGATACAACTTTCAAAACTTTTCAAAGAGGCAAGTGACAGCAGTTCTAAAGCCATCAGTCAGAATATATACACAATGAGCTAATATGGTACCCTTAGCAAGGGTGCACATAAATCACACATATGTATCGCAATAAGTGTTTATGTATGCTTAGGGACTCTACACATTGCTTGATATACTGTTACAGGGAAGCTAGCTCATACTAAGGTCCAGTACTGTGAACGGTTCATGGAACTCAGGTCTTTATACATTGTTGATATACTGTTACAGGAAAGCTAGCTCATACTAAGGTTCAGTACTGTGAACGGTTCATGGAACTCATGATTGACATTGAGAGCCAACTACCCACACGGCGATTCTTCAATGCCCTAATGGACGATGTCCACCTTGTGGTCAGATGCAAGATGTCCACACTGGTCAACCGGAAGGAAGGGAAACTGTTTGGGGAGGTTAGTAATAGCTATGGACACTCTCCAGTGTAGTTGCAGTTTTCAAGATTCAGACAGTTTAGGAAACGTTTCCATTTAATGTGAACTCATTGATCAGGGACTAGACTGGTCAACTGTTGAAGTAAAAAAACCTTTACAGGTCATCTGTTAAGCCTTAAGCCAGCCTAAACATATCATATAATTCAAAAGTTGGGAAAATGGTTGTTTGACAAAAAACTCGAAATAAATAGGGCCATATAATCATTTCAGTTGATATTGAGGTTTTCTTGAAACTATCAAATACCAAATTCTCTTTACTATCAAAAGCTGAGAATACAGATTAATGTCAAAGCTGTGAAAATAATAATTTAATAGAGTTCTCAAATTAAAACACAATTTAGTCTTGTGAATGTAAAACTTTCCTCAAGAGGAAATGTGACATTATTACTTTTCAACAGATGGATGATTTAGATATAGTTGATGTTTTAATAAATGTTAAAATTTGAAATATTTTGACTTGTATTTCGCCAATTCAGTAATAATATGATATGCAATGAACATAAAACATACAACATGAAATTCAGTGAAAATACATCAAAATATTTCTGTATTGTTTATTTGATATGTCAACTTTTCAAATTCCGTAATTTGTTTGGGTAGCTCCTGGAGATGCTACAGCGTTACGCTGAGTTTGAGATTGATGACCAGACAGGAGAAGCTCTGACCATCCACGACAGAATTGACCTCCACTACAACAGAGTGCTCGCTCTACAGGTATCACCAGAAACTTATGTACATATTGTCTTTTTAAAGGTGTCGTTTATAAAACTGCAAAAAATAAGTTTCCAAAAAATATTACACAAGTACTTTATTGAAAAGAACATGTTTCATTGACAGAAAAGTAGTAGACAGTTGATCATATTACAACACTCATTCAATTGTTCCACTATCCAGCCAAAGTTTTAGGGGAAATACTGGCTCTTTTCTATACAGAATTGTTTTAGTAATCCAGCTATCTCCCATTCTAGGCACTTTTGCTGGGAATGAACCTGAGCTTCCACCATAATTTTATTTTTGAAGACAAGGTCAGCTTGCTGATGATTGTCTAATTTTCAACTCTCTGATGTTAATTCCTAATAGAAAAGATAAAGGACCAAGGACTATTAAACTGCAAATGGATTGCACATGCATGAACATTTGTGTCCATCAAGTATCTTTTGAAAGTTGATTTAACAGGGTTATTCAAATTTGATGTGCCAGTAAATTGAAAGTTGATTTAACAGGTCTATTCAAATTTGATGTGCCAGTAAATTGCTTGCTCTAACACCTTTATCTCACACAGTTGAGGTAAACAGACTTATTAAGTGAATAAAAACAGTGTTTGTAGGAAAACTGCACTTTTATTAAAAAAAAAATGAAAACATCAGAAAGCTTATATGATATTATTTCCAACATGTTACGTGGATGAGATGTTTTTTAATTCTCATTTAAACATTTTTTTTGAGACCCAAGATGCAGTTCTGGTTAGAATTGACCATTGAAATATGAAAATGCTTATACATCATGTATTAAATTTAATGTAATATATTTTTTTGTGAATTGTAGAAAGTTGCCTTCCGACATTTCCCAGACGACTTGCGAAGTTTTGCCATTTCCAATGTTGCGAGTGTAGACAGCAGAGAATCACTGCTGAAATTCTTCAAGAGTTTGAAGTAAGAGGTTCTGTTTTATGCATAAAGAGTGTTTGAAAATAAATGACTTAATCAGGTTATTCTATCAAAAAAAACATTTGTGGATAAAAACGAAATGTCATTTAACACGCCCTCCTTTAATTTGGAAGGCAGAGAGACATATGTATATCATTTTTGTTTTTTTTTATCATTTTTTTTTCGCAAGATTTTTCGTAGTATAGATACAAAACAAGTATTTTCATTTTCACACCATCATCACCACATATCATAGAACTTCTGCATATTTTGCTAACCTACACTTTGTGTAAATGTTTGGGTTTCTGGTCTATTTAATATATAAGTTGTAGGAGGAGGAAATAAAACTCTGAGATGTAGTTAAGTAACACGCTGTGTATCTGTTGTCATGAAACCAATATTTTATCTTGAAAAACTAGACATTGACAAGTGAGAACGTAATAACGTACTGTTGAAATTTGTAATGTGGGCTTTGTTGATCAGAGGAATAATATATGCTCCAATTTTTTAATTTTTTAATCTCCATCTAGCTGTATTTATTTACCTGTATGTATAAAGGCAAATAAAACGTTATCACTGTTGTAAATAAAAAATCTTATTTACGGGCTACCAGCTGGACACACAGAACAAGCAATATTTATAAATAGCTGTTTCATTCTATTAACTTAAAATATAATCTGAACATTATCCTAAACTTTACAGCAAGTCTGATCTACACCGAGTCCTGGCCTACATTCACCAGCTACCAATGATCAAAGACGAGGAGGAAACGGCACAGAAAGAGGACTACATGATGGAGCTACTGGTATGTAATATCCACGACACTAACCAGAATTTAACCAGAATTCAATTTCTTCTTTTATAAAACAGATACATTCAAATTAAGAATGAATTTAAATCATAGTTAAAATTCATGTTGATCTAAAAAAATCAAATCATATTGCAACCAAACTGAATTATCTGGCAGTAAATGCTATAATAGATGCCTTAATTTAACATGTTTTATTATGCTTTTGTAAACATAACAAAGAAATGTTATCTGTTTGAAAAAACATTGATATTGCATAAGTGAAATTCATGACAACAAAACTATATTCTGAAGCCAAAGTTGAATTACTGTTCCATAAAGTATGTATAATTTATATCTCCTCAAAGGAAAGTCAGCAACAGCACTCTAATGATGATTTGAACCGTTAAATCTAACTGAGTTTCAGCTTGAAGTCTGATTTCCTTCTCATTCAATTTATTCTCTATTTAATAAGTACATTTTGCTGTGTTGAACCCACCAGATATTTGACTGAAGTTCTTATCTTACACACACCAGGTCTCTCGCCATGAAAAGAGGAGGTCCCAATTGGAACAGATAAACGAGATGCCACTGTACCCGACGGAGGACATCATTTGGGACGAGAACATTGTACCCACCGACTTCTACTCTGGGGACAGTGAGTACTTCAATATATATTGTGTATCTGGATTAGAATTGGCACATTTGATTTTCTTTAAAATAAATAATTAGAACAATAAGTTTACTGTAAAAATTATTCATAATTTACTAAGTAATTGCACCGTGAACAAACACAGATGGATGAGCTTTGATGGCAACATTCCACGGAACATAATGGTGTTTAGTTTAATTGACATGACCATTCTGTTTTCTCATCACTTCTCTCTTTTTATACTTGGTGATGTGATTTATTGCCAGGTACAATAAGTTAGTTGAGGTCTTAATGTAAATTTTTGTATTGCTAATAAAAAAGACCAACTTGAAGACAGAAAATAAGAAATTTAGTTGCGTTTTATGACCGCTTTTCATTGTGACTGGAGACTTATACTCTGTGATGTTAATATAATTGTGTGTATGTCTTTATAGGTTGTCTAGCTCTGCCCAAGCTGAATCTACAGTTCCTTACATTGCATGATTATTTGCTGAAGAATTTTCATTTGTTCAGACTGGAGTCTACATGTAAGTAAAATTCTAATCTAACAAATATCAAATGTAACGCTATGAAAACAATAGAAATGCAGAGCTTAAAAAACAATTATAAAGTATTCCTGTATCTTAGATTGGAACATTGTACTTGGAATGACAAATAAAAGTGAGATATTCACTTTCAATTTGCATGAATAAGACAGATAGAAGTTGATTAATCTCTCCAGAACAGATACTTGTTCGGGGCACCTGTCACAGAATATTGAAGGAAATGTTATATTAATGTCCTTATTTCTCTACTATTCCAGATGAAATACGACAAGACATTGAAGATGCTGTGTCTCACTTAAAACCATGGTAAGGGGTGATTGTTTCTGAAGTTGAAATGTATCAATTTGATCAAAATGAAATTATTATTATTGTCAATGATTGGCTATGATCAAGCAACTAAAATATAAGCAAAGTACCTTTCCAACTCTGATCTATTGCTTGTAGGAATGAGTTCTCTGTCTAGTTTAGCTATAAGTATTTTCCAAACATGTATTGTTGAAAAGTCCTGGCACAATTACACTAAATGCAATTAAAAATCAAGATTTATTTTTCGTTTTCCTTTCCCTTGTTAATCTGTATAATTGTTGTTCAATTGAGTAAATGGGCTATGAAATTATTACATTGTGTCTGACAGGATGGCAGAGGATGGGAGTTGTCTGTTCGGGGGATGGGCCCGGATGGCTCAGCCAATCGCAGGCTTCAATGTGGTGGAGGTAGGTCTGCTTAAGCTAGAATAATGTCATCATAAATCAGATTCTGTATTTTAAAGACAGTTATCTTTTTTCTCACTATATAAGAATTAAAAGCAATTTTAAGTCTTTTGAGTTTTCACTTGATAACAATTTTGAACGAAATCTATGAAATTTCTCCATGCACTCTCAGCTATATATATATACCTATTCCATTACAGAAGATGGAAATTTATTGAACTTATTGAGATTCTCAGCATTCAGGTTTAGGATGATGGATTAATGGTACTAATACCGTGACAGAATGGAGAAGACCTTCATTTTTTTCTTGCCTTCCTTCATTCTAGGTTTTTTGTGCTGATTTACAATGAAATAATCTGAAAAGATATAATTTTAATGTCAAATTGTTACACACTATGACAAATGACCATGTTTGACCCCTAGGTGGCGAAGCCTCTGATTGGTGAGAACCACCCTGCCCAAGTGCGAGCAGATATCACAGTCAATCTCAGTGTGCGGGAACACATCAAGAACGAATGGGAAGGTAGGTGTAAAACCTCCGACTCTAACTAAGGATTTTGATCTTGATATTTTCTACTATACTAAAAACACTATAAAGTAAAGAAGTTTTGTTTTGTTGTTGACAATTTTTATGTGCCTGCCTTAGGCAGATTGAATGATTGTTTCATCTTGTTTCTCTGTTTGTTGGTCTCTCTGTCATCAATGGGCTTGTCTGCAGGTTTCAGACGACAGTTTTCAACCAAATATCATAAACTTTCGCAAACACGATCCTGACGTCAATCTCTTGAAGCAAAGTTTACTCTGTTTTCTTTTTTGCAAATTTTATTGTTTTTGTGCAGGTCTGAGGAAGCATGATGTGGCATTCCTAATCACGCTGCGTCCCACCGTAGCCATCCAACAAAAGTACAACCACCAGTTGCCATTCATTCCACAGGTTGGACTTGCGTATGTCCGTGGCTGCGAAGTCGAGGGCATGCTGGATGCGGAGGGCAAGGTCATAGAAGAAGGTGAGGTCAAGGAACATTGAAATGCTAATGTTAAAGAAATATGATAAACATGGGATAAATAAACCAACCAAAAAAAGTATATGTCAAGATCACAGAAATACTGAGATTTCAAGGTTACATGGTGTCTGAATTTCAGGACCAGAGCCGCGCCCAGATATTCCTGGGGACAGTAGGACATTCCGCGTCTTCCTCGACCCTAACCAGTACCAACAGGACATGGCACGTGCTGTGGATGGAGACCAGGTAAAACTTCAGGCTTTACTATGCACTCTTCACACTAATATGTGTAATCAGTGCTTTGAAAATGTTTGTGTCATCAAATATACCTCAGAGTTGTATAGCTTGAACAATTTGCCAAGAACATACCTGGAAATGAGTTTTCGGGAATACTTGTTTTTCTTAAATAAACTTCGAGTTTATTCACAAGGATTTGATTTCATAATTACAAAATATTTATTGTTCAAAAATCCCTAGGTAGATTTTAAAAAAAAAAATTAGAAATTTGAAAATATGATAGAACCTGGCTGTAAATTAATGTGAAAACATATCTCATGCAATAGAAGTGACTTCTATAGGGAAATTTGACTTAGTCAATTTTGGTGACCAAGTAGGTCAGTTGGTAAGAATGTCTGTCAAAGAGGTTCCTGGTTCAAACCACGGTCTGACTGCATTTTTCCTCTCCCGTAACATTTGGCACCCAAATAAATACATCGATAGACGTGGTATGGGTTCTGACGTGTCTTTGGGGTTGAAAAGTTTGTTGAAGTAGAAGTGTATCAGAGTGAGGGCGGATCTCTGCCAACCAGGTAGCTCAATCGATTAGAACTTCCATCTAGTGTTGGGAGGTCTCGGGTTCAAATCTCAGTCTAGTCTGTCTTGTCCTTTCCTGATACAGTTCCATGTGAGAGAAGATAAAATCTATGACTTGCTCGTTGCTCTGTACTTTATGAATGATGATAAGATGCTTACTCTTTATAACTGTTACAGGATGTGTACGAGACATTTAATGTGATAATGAGGAGGAAACCGAAGGAGAACAACTTCAAAGCTGTGTTAGAGACAATGCGTGACCTGATGAACACATCATGTGTTGTCCCAGACTGGCTCCACGACCTTGTGCTCGGCTATGGTGAACCAAACGCGGCACACTATTCCCAGTACGTAGCTACTACCTTATTTCTTACTAGGGCAACCAGACAATTTTGAAAAAGATTATAGACTACTTTTACTCCATTGGAATAATTAAATTAATCAGTAGCTCAAAGCTAATAACTAACTTTAATATGGGCACTGCTAGAAAACTTGAAAGAAACTAGGTAAACAATTAGCTTTGAAGTGAACTTGCATATTTTATCCTGAAACTATTGTGTTTAGATCCAATTAAATCACCGATGAAGGTGGAGGTATGTGAGGGCATGTTAATAAATATTTATATTTAAAAAATATATTTATCGGTGCCGAGTGTATTTTCTGATGTTCCCAAGTTTAGCAGTGTTCATGTTGAATTGAAGCATGTATATAATCCTATGGGTATTGTAATGTAATGAATTGTTATGTAATGTTATGTTTAGTATCTTGTCTTATTGTAATTGTTCACATGAAAATCAATAAAAAATTGAAATGTAAAAAGAAATTATTAATCAGTAGCTCTGTATACATAGTTACAATAATTGGGTTCTTTATCTAATAGCAGATTGCAGGTGTTTAATATTGTTTTCTTTTTTCGTTAAAGAATGCCAAATAAGATTAACTCCCTTGACTGGAATGACACCTTCCTCAATATGGACCACCTAAGGGCAGGTTTCCCTGACCACAGTATCGAGGTCTGTACGGATGATGTCAGCAAACATGTACCACCATTCAGGTATTATTAAATATACTTAGTAATGTTGTTACCATCAATCGGCTTTAGTAATGTTGTTACCATCAATCGGCTTGTTATAACACGGATCACACTTTGATACAGACAACTATATGATAAACAAATATTATCCTTTTTAAATATAGGTTGAAGTTCCCTGAGGAAGAAGAGACAGGGAAGAGGAAAGCTGACACAGAAGATACCAAAGTGAAGAAACGAATTATAGTGGAACCACACACCATCCCAAACAGAGGACCTTACGCCTACAATCAACCCAAAAAGTAATGGCACATGTTGCACTTAATTTTATAAAGGAATGAGGTAGATAAATATGATATATCATATGTAGACGTTGGGTAAATGAAAATTTTACCAAAGTTGTAACATTTGAAGTCGGGACCAAAGCTTGAAAAGGTTCTGACCCTAAATTCTACACCATCAAGTAACATTTCTTTATCCCCTCACATCTATATTTAAAAAGATTGAATATTTGTAAAATAAATGTAATCTATTGGGTGAAAAGGAATGCTGTCTATGTCTGTTTTTCTGTGATAGTGTGATATCATCCAATTATAAGATGTGACATCATTTTTTGACATTGTGAGCTCACAATTACAACCACTACTGTCTTTGGGAGAAATAGGAAATGAAACATCTGTATTTTGAGATTCGGAGGCTTTCATTTTCTTTAACACTACTTTCTGTCACTTTTTCTGTCAACCGTGATAAAATTGATAAAGTATTGAAAAAGAAAATTTAAGTTTAAAGGTGTTAAAAGCTAGTTGAGCTTAGGGTTGTAAAGGAAATGACAAAGTTGTAATTTATTGAGAGCTTAGCTTCAGGATATTGTTTAGCTTATCTGCATAGTGAATAGCGAGAATATGGTCAACGAACATTGCTTTGCACAAAAGATGATAACATAAGATTACCAAATAATGTGTAATAATTGCACTTTTACGTTTGTAGGAACTCAATATTGTTCACACCAACCCAGATTGAGGCTGTAAGGGCAGGGATGCAGCCGGGCTTGACGATGGTGGTAGGCCCCCCGGGAACGGGTAAAACAGATGTCGCAGTACAGATCATCTCCTGTCTCTATCACAACTTCCCAGACCAACGAACCATCATTGTCACTCACTCCAACCAGGTACAAACAATGTGTACATGCACCTCGATATTCAAGATTTGGGATACTTAAATCTTGGCAAACTGCATTATGTCAAAGTTTGTATTATGACATAAGGTCTCAAATAAACTGAGTACTTGAGAAATCGAAGGAAAAATACTTCAACTGTCATGGCATCCAATGTACACATTGAAATGAATTGGATATTTCCACATTGTTGAGAAAACAAAAACAAATTTCCACTAAAATATTATGTATTGATAGTTATAATAGCGGAGACAGAGGAATCTTTGCCAGACGCTTTGGTTCACATTGATTTATCGACAGTTTTATGATAATAAACTATTTCTCTGATACAGTGCAGGGTCTGACAGTACCTTTGAACTTGAGTTGGTTAAATTGTTCATATTATCAGTTTCTCTGTATTAACATTCCTGATTTCACCTCAAACACAAAAAACACATAAATAAATAGATAGCAAACAATTCTGGTTACTATATATTTTTTTATTTGGCGGTGCTAATATTTCATGGGTGTCCCGCTCAGAACTAGCTCTCGGGGATTACATTTTGTGTAACACTGCCAGGTAAAAATATTGCCTTTATGGGAGTACATTTGTGTTGGGATGATTGGATTTATTTTAAAATAATGTAAAATACAATCTTGAATTGGTGTTTTATCTCCATTTTTTGGCAGTAAAAGGGTTAATGTATCTTTTCTTTTATCTGTGTATATTTATTGTATTAATATTCACTGGGTATTATATTTCGCACTATCTTTGGTGACTGGGAATATAAGGAAATCAAATCCAAGGCCAAAATTACCAACTATACAGTATGCATTCCATGTTATGAGTCGGAAATGTCTGCACGTGTGTCCTGTGACTTGTATACTAGACATCTTGATGATGCCATCCTTAGATATTGTTCTGCAAGCCTTTGAGCGTGATGTGTAATTACTTGACCTCTATTGACCTCTAGGCCCTGAACCAGCTGTTTGAGAAGATCATAGCCCTGGACATAGATGAGCGCCATCTGTTACGTCTCGGTCACGGAGAGGAGGCACTTGAAACTGAGAAAGACTTCAGTCGGTAAGTATGTCAAATCATAGTATAAAACAAAGGTAGATTAATTGGATTTTTTTCCGTTTTTAGGTGATTAAAATGCTTGATGTATAAGTTCAGCTTCAGAGATGATTGAAATTTTTGACCAAGAATGTCATGTTTTTATCAAGAATTAGACTTAATGCCACTATCGACCTAGTAAATCTTTAAAAATAATAAAAATGTTTTTCTTTTAATATAAATGTCGAGGGAGAATTGCCTGTAGAAAAATATTCTAAATTTAAACGATAATGAAATGGTATTGAAAACATTAGAGTTGCTATTTATATTTTATTTCTTCTTATTCGTTGAAGTTTAAAGAGCTTAAGTTGGCCTGAAAATGCTAAGTTTTATGTTCTTCAACCTAGTAGTGTGTTAAATGTGTAGATTGATCAGGGAAATACTGTATATGTTGTTTTATTTTTTTCAAAATGACACAATATTTTAGATGATTAAAGGAATTGATTAAAAGGATTCTGGAACAAGCTAATGTAATATGTCATTGTTATATTAGGTACGGCCGAGTGAACTATGTGCTAGCACAGCGTCTTGAGCTGCTGGAAGAGGTGGGGCGTTTACAGGCCAGTCTGGGCTTGCCTGGTGACCTCTCCTACACATGTGAGACCGCCTCCTACTTCTTCCTTTACCAGGTAAACATCTCTAAAGAATTAGTGACTGATGTAGATTTAAATCGGACAAATTGGTCTTGCAGAGTTTTTATTTCCTGAGGTTTAAATATTTTTATGAGCAAAGTTTCACTGATGTAGTTACCGTGTATATAACAAAACAAAATTTGTGACAGTGAAAAATATCAGTCAACTTCCACATTACTGGACAAGCCATTATAATAGACTCGAAAAACAGTCATGCTAATGATTGCCAGAAATGTAGGAAATTACATTCAAAATATGAACACACAATTACGATGATTGTTTTGTAATACAGCACTGTATCATGTCCTCTAGCCTACACTTATGGTTTTGATATTTGGAGGCATGGTAGTCTAGTGGTAGGACGTCGGGCTCGTGACCGAAGGGTTGCGGGTTCGAGTCATGGCACTGTGTTGTATCTTTGAACAAGATACTTTACTGCGCTTGTTCCGGTCTATTCAGCTGTAAATGAGTATGTGGTTGGGCAGTGCTAGAATTGTTGAATGCTAGCTGTGAGCGCCGAAATGGCAGCACCGGCTGTACGCTCCCCAGGGAGTTGAGAAAGATATCGACTGGTTGCAAAGGCCCTATAACCATGGATAATAATTTGTGAACCGCTTTGAGTCGACTTACGAACTAGGTTATGATAAAGCGGTATATAAGAACCTCAAATTATTATTATTATTATTATCGTAATCTTTACAGCTTTGTCCTTTATTGTTTTGAGATGTGGAACCCATAGCCTTAAGTCCTATCCAAGAAAATATTCTAGAAATGAGCCCCTTAGTTAACTCAATAGGTGTTAGGCAAGAGATAAACATCTTTGAAATTATCACGTTTATGCCTTGATTGAACCTCAGCTGTCTGTGTGGATGGCTTGAATCATAACATTCTGATATTCTGCAATTCATAATTACCGATGCAGTCATATTTAAAATCAAAAACATTACATTTGAAGTAAAAAAGTCTTTTTATTGATACTGAAATATTTATTAAAATAAGGAATTAATTAATTATCATAGACCCTAGTTTATCAACCGGGCTTGACTAGAGAGAAGTATAATGCGATCTGGGCTGAGTAACATTCAAGTTGTATTGTATTAATAAGACACTAGACATGCAGATCTATAATGTATAAAACACCGCATACATTTACACATCCACAGCAAGTCAGCCAAGTGTACTGGTGCTCCTAGCCTGGATGTACAGAATGGGTGGCTCATCAAAATGTTTTATATGTTATGTTGCAGGTTTTAGCAAGATGGGAAGAATTTCTCAGTAAACTCCGACAAATTAAGGTAAGAACAGAAGGAGTTTAATATTTGCTATAGAATACAAAACAAAATATAGATAAAAAAAATAGGACAATATCCACTCTTTGTGATTCATTGCATAGTTTAACGTGTAATATGATTTACAGAATCTAAATAAGAAAAGATCTTCTGATTGTTGTTACAGTAGCAAGGTAACTTTATTTCAACACTACAGGTTTTCTGAGTAATTTGGTGCAGGTTGGCTTCCAAGGTTTTGTAGGCCTATCATGTGTTACGACCGTGAATAGGTACCGCCATTTATCAAATGTAATTTCCATGAAATAAACAATGGCTTCAATAAACAATCTTCTATGGACATTTGAATAAAGTCATGTCTAGGTTTTGACAACTGAATTATAGAACACTTGTTATTGTCATGATCTGTGAAAATAACCCCTTTTCCACTGCATTTATATTTGTCAAATATTTCTTGACTGGAATAAACAAAACAGAAAAGAAAGCAGTAATATTATTTTCCTTTCTTTTTTTGACAGGACAAAAAGCCAGAAAACATCAAGGATTTATTCCCCTTTACCACGTTCTTCAGCAATGCCCCACAGCCACTGTTCAAGGCGCGCTTCTATGAACAAGATCTAGACATCGCAGAGGGCTGCTTCAGACACATCAAGAAAATCTTCACACAACTTGAGGTAGGTTAGGCATTATATCAGATATTTTTCATATCATTCATATTCAGAACACATATTCCGACTTTGCGTATTGCAGAATTATCCTCTCTTGGGAGCAGGTATTGATTGTTACGTCATTGGTTTGGGTGAGAAAATTACGTTGTTTTCTCAAAAATTGATGACGTTACTCTCACAAACAAGTGACGTAACAATCAATACCTGCTCCCAAGAGAAGATAACTCCCGCAATACGCAAAGATGGAATACCTTAAGCATGTTTCAAGGTTGTTACTTTGAGGTCAATGTGGCTGTTACATTAGTACCTACCCTATACTACCTTTTGTTTACAGGAGTTCCGAGCTTTTGAGTTACTGCGGAGTGGATCCGACAGAGCAAATTACCTGTTAATCAAAGAAGCTAAAATCATTGCCATGACCTGTACGCATGCTGCACTGAAACGCCGCGACCTAGTGGCGGCAGGCTTCAAGGTAAATATAACAAAAAACCTGATAATAAGCTTATTGTCCATTGCCATTGTAAATTTCTTGCTTAAAAGTATTGTATGTTGAGCCTCATCGGGCCTAGGTGTGGATACTGCTTTGGTCACTGGGAAATTATTTGGAACATCATACCATGTGCTTTACACCAAACACATTTTTCTACAGACTGGCCAACCTTTGGGAGTAGGACTTTTCTGATTAATATTACAAAATTGCCATAATTTGACAGTTCTTAAACATTAGCCTTCGTAAAATATGAATTTTTAGGATGAAAACACCTTTTAAAAAACCTCAGTTTCAAGTGTCTTTTTGTTATAGAATACTGAACAATATTTTTGTGTTACAGTTTGACAATATTTTGATGGAGGAATCAGCCCAGATTCTGGAGATAGAAACATTTATCCCCCTCCTTCTACAGGTAAGCTACCCTACCAAGATCATATTAGCACATTTCATCCTGATCCTCTACAGGTGAGCTTCTCTGTAACAGTCATATATGCTGGCATGTTAGGGTTCAGTTTTTCAGATCTAATGTTTATCAATGCAATCAATGAGGAAAGTGTATCGATACATCTAGCCATGTACTCAATGATCTTTTGCACCTGCACTATTGTAGCTATTGTATTTTCGCAATAAGATGGATCTGTAAGTTAATTTGTATCAAAAACACTACAGATGTAACAATCTCAAAACTGCAAATTCACTCAGGTGAAAATTGCCTTCATTGAATAGTGCAAGTTTGTGAAACTGTTGTGTTCACTACCATGTCTTACTTAAACAACTCCTGTCCCTATAGAATCCCGAAGACAACATCAACCGACTGAAGCGCTGGATCATGATTGGCGACCACCACCAGCTTCCACCGGTCATCAAAAACATGGCCTTCCAGAAGTTCTCCAACATGGAGCAGTCACTGTTCACTCGCCTTGTCAGACTTGGGGTGCCCACAGTTGACCTTGACGCCCAGGGGAGGGCGAGGGCAAGGTCAGTAAAATGATTGTAAAGTCAGTATTTGGGTTTGTGTTTTAAGATCAATATGTAAAAAATTAAAAATAACAAGGTATGAATCATTTTCATAAGTCCAGTGCATCGTCACAACTTTTTTGACATCAAAATTGTTGATAACAATGAAAATTAGGATTTTAAACTGCAGACAAATAAATATTTTGTTCATTCACCGGCTTGTAAAAGTCTATCCAGACACTTTTTTTCATATGAAATGTTGACAAAAACAATCTGACATCCCACATTGTTAAAAACCATGCTGTTTTAATGTATGAACATTGGTAAATTATTTATCTTTCATTATACATATAGATAATTCTTGTTGAAACTAACCACCAGACACTGAGGTATGTGTATAACTTTTATTCAACTTGTAAACTTTGATATCTGTAATGGTTTGTTTACTTACAGTATTTCCAGTCTGTATAACTGGCGGTACCGTAAACTAGGAAATCTGCCCCATGTTTTGGTGAACCCTGAATACCGCCTCGCCAATGCTGGATTTGTACACGATTTCCAGCTCATTGATGTCCAGGACTTCAATGGTGTAGGGGAGACACAGCCCAATCCCTACTTCTTTCAGGTAGGTCAATGTGTTTCTGCTGTTTAGTTATCTTTTTTTACGATAAATCTTCAGATATAGTCATACCTCCTGATTATCTTCAACATTTTGCAACTTTATTCAACATCAAATCCTTTTAGGGATTTAACTATATTTATTTTACAACAGTTAAGAAACAAGTTTTTCCAACTTATATCAATCACTCTTGTTGGCGTGCAGAGGGTCTTGATGTGGGAGGAAAACCAGAGTACCTGGAGAAAACCAAAAGAAAGATGACCGTGCTAATCACTGCGCCACATGACCACCAAAATCACCTTTTATAATGCCATTATCCTTATAATTTACAGAATCTTGCTGAGGCAGAGTATGTTGTGGCCCTGTTTATGTATATGAGGATGCAAGGCTATCCCGCTGAGAAGATTGCCATTCTGACTACGTACAACGGACAGAAACATCTGATACGTGATGTCATCTACCAGCGATGTGGGAAGAACCCATTCATAGGGCAACCACACAAGGTGGGTAGTCTTGGCCCTTCAATTATCTTATAAAGTATTCCAAGAAATTTCTGTAAATTTTAGTATTTTAATAAATTTTCAGATCAGTGTAAATTTTTTAAAGCCCAAAAATGTGTTATTTATGTTTGTTTTGGGCGAGTATCTTGTGGTATGACAGGTACTTCTACAAGATATTATGAACAAATACAGTTTTGAAAAAAATAATGCTTTGAATATGTGACAAGTGTCATGTCACTGTTTTTGTAAATGAATTAACTATCAAAATTTGAAGATCATTTTGAGGTATTAAGTGAAATATTTCACAACCCTTAAATGTGTTATTTATGCTTATTTTAGGTATTAACAATCATCTTGTGCAGTATTACAATACTGGTCTAGGTTATTGTTGTATGACAGGTAAAACAGTGCTGAAAAATATTAAGTTTAGGATTGAAATTATGCGTTTAATGTGCTGACAAGTTACATGTTATTATTTTTTAACATAAATTGACTTCTAAACACTTAACAGTAATATCAATAAAATAGAATTTGTTCTGATGTTTTGTTATCTCCCTTTACAGGTTACCACAGTTGACAGATACCAGGGCCAGCAGAATGATTACATAATCCTGTCACTGGTCAGGACTAAGACTGTTGGTCACTTAAGGTCAGTCTGTTAGCACTCCATTGTTAGTCAGAGCATAGACAATATCTTTGTCACTCCACATTCCTAATCCACAGATTGTGATCCACCTACCCAATCCATTCACATAGACCATATTAATAACTGATTATATTGCATTTCGTAGTATCCATTCGACAGCATGCACGCAAGAAGTCCTTTTCTTGAATAAGTTGCCACCAAAATGTTCAAATAGGAATGCATTTATTTATGTTGTGATGATTGTCCTCTTGTACATGTTTACCTTGTCAGGAAACTCTGATCAAACCTTCCAAATAATGTATTACACTGGGTCAGTCCCTATTTTGTAACGGGAACAAATATAGCATAGCTGCTCTTTTTTGCATAAAAGAAAAGCAATGTGGTGCACTGTATTATTGACTAGATAATGGTTTTATAGATTTTTCCTTTGAATCTGTTGATTATATTTTCAAAGTATTTATACAGTTCCTATAATGAATAGTTAATATGAATGTTGAAACACCCATTTTTTTGTATCCTTTGCTACAGGGATGTGAGACGTCTTGTGGTGGCCATGTCTCGAGCTAGACTGGGCCTGTATGTATTTGGAAGAGTCAGCCTGTTCAGTAACTGTTTTGAGTTGACTCCTGCTTTCAATAAGGTAAAAAATCTACATACAAGTCAGTAGTCAAGTCATGTGAAGTATGTTTCCTATGATACATTTACAAATTAAACAATCGACTTTGAGGTAAAACCATTTAACATGAAAACCCTTTTAAAGGTAAACAGATTGATAAAACAGGGATTTCCTGTATAACAGTACGGGTAGTGGTCCAAAATGAACAGGAAATTATATCTAGGCACAGAACATTAGGCTCTATAGATTTTTTCGAAAGATAACAGATAATTCATAATAAAGGCCAAAATATATTTTATTGATTTTTACCACAGGCACAAAACATTAGACTCCATAGATTTATTGGAAAGATAACAGAGTAATTCATTTGGCCAATATATATTGTCCACAAAATATTATTGGAGTTACTAATATGAAGATGTTTGAATTTTTAGCTGATGTCCCGTCCACAGAAGCTGCAGATTGCTCCCCAAGAGATGTATCCCACACAGCGCAAGGTTGGTGGTGTTTTCTTAACTCAGAACAGTGATATAAATTTGAAAGAACTGTGATAAGCAATGTCGTTGTTAGCTTTGTGCTTACTCCTGAATGAAGCAAAACAAGTTGATTCATTTGAAATTTTTACCTGAAGGCTAAATGTGTAGATTTCATTGAATGAGAAACGTTCATTCAAAGTCAAACCATTTAAAAGTAAGCAAAACCCAAACAATTTTTATGTTTTTTTTATTTCATTCTTTAAACAGACAAATATAACAAAATAAAATCTTGTATGATCTGACACAGTAGTCTTGTGAAAAATTGAAAAGAAAAAGACTTAACAGGGAAATATGTAAAACATTTGTTTATATTTTTAGATCAACGAGCCACCAGAGGGCAGTGTAATGGTTATGGAGGACATGTCCCACATGGCTCAGTTTGTGTTTGACCTCTACAACTCCAGGGTCAACATGATGATGAGTCAGCGTGGCATGTCAGAGGTACGTTAGTCATGCTGACAACAATGTCACACAATACTAGTGGAATTGATAACTCCAGACAGGCGTCAGGGGCCCTTATTTAACTTGTATTTCTCCAAAGAGTGAGAGTGGAACATCCTAGTTTTGGATTGCCTCAATCCTTAGAACAAAGTTGTGATACAAATATTTATCAGTTGTTCTAGATTTCCCCTAATATTAGAAAATGAGGAGACTGGTTTTGAGTATTGGTGAATTTGTTGCTAAATTGAATATGGAAAGTTTGGACAAACATTGGAAAGCAGGTAATTTGGATGCCTATGTTTCCAAATTGTTACAACTGCATCACCTGGATTGCCTCAATTCTAAGAACTATATCGTAATATTAAAATTCAAAACAGCTGCTGTCTTGCACTTTCTGTAGTATAGAAAACAGAAAATGTTTACCCATATACCAGAAAATATCTTGTGGAAAACAACTGTATTAGTATTGAAAGAAACTTTTTGATCTAATGGTTTAATGATATTTCACGGAAATTCATCAAACTTGTTGGGTGTTGCTTCTTTATGAACCTATAACAATGATCTTTTGTCTTCAGGCTCAATCATTACGGAAACCTCCCCAGAAAAGCTGATGTGCATGAGAAGAGATTGAAAAAGTTTTTGTGGCAAGAATGTGCGGACATTGACCAAGAACAATGTTCAAAAATGTTGTCAGAGTTATTGGCAAAGAAAACTGTCAGATGTGAGGTCTAAAACACAAGGACAACTTTATTGTGAATTTAAAAGATCACAGCACAGTAGGTGCTCTTTAGCACAGCAACATGATGTACTGTTTGCCAGTAGAAGTTTGAGAAATGTGTTAAGAGTACTGACTTGTTCCTCAGATCTGATGTGGTATTGCTTAAGGAACATTATTGTGGATAGAGCATCAACAAAATGTAATCTTGTAAGCCGAACTGGTGTAGCATTTCTTTTGATTTTAGGGGAGGGGGATGCTATATATAGATATTAGGAAATCTCTTGCATGTGCGAGATAAATATATATAAATTATAAAGAAATAGATCTTAAGTCCGTGAGGTTTAAAAATAAATCCGGTTATCACCAGAGACGTTTTGATTAGCATGTGACAGATTTAGTAAGAAAGAGAAAATAGGAGAAAAATTAAGATGTTAACTGAATTTAGATAAAAGCATAAATTGGATTTTCGAAGCTACCACATTGCCTTCATAGTCAAGGGAAGGGATGTAAGTAAGGACAGAGTTTGATCAAATCACCAAATCACAGTTTGTTCATTGGGTGTAAATAATCTCACCTGTGTCTGGTGATTCATTGTTCATATTGATCATCATTATCATCATAATCACTGATCATAGAATAAACAAATAAACGTATACTTGTTCTAACTTTGTTATTATCTTATATACAATAGTAAGTTGCCGTTTCTAACACTGTATTATCACATTCAGTACTTGTACACATTATATACTGTACCATGGGGAACCTATTAACATGTGGAATCCCCACTTAGTGGTTCATCCTGTATATGTTGAAGGATAGTTCCACCCCTTCACAATGGAATGATTATGTAGGATAAAATGTGGGTGTTCTTTGAAAATTGTCAATTATTAAGGTTACACTTATCTTTACAGAGCAGTCTACACAGATCACACTAGCTTGCTGCTAATTACCACATGTTACCACTTCATATCTCTATGTACCATGATAAAGACCTACCTAATGAGAATTAAACTTCATAGCCAATGTTACAAACAAATCAAAAGGTCCCCTTTGAATCGATTGTAAATGTGTTGTACTTTTCCTGTATATGGTAATTTACATTATGTATTTGAAAATAGGAAGATCTTCATTATGACGACATGAGCAAATTATAATATTATATTCCTATAAAAAAATGAAATGTTTTAACTTTCAAGTTTAAATCAAATTTTGATAATTGAATTATATCAGCTAAAACAAAGTTCATAAAATCTCTGCTATAAACCCAATACAAGTAGAAAATGAGTCCCTAACAATTTTTAGATGAATACTTAAGTAATTTAAAAATTTATGACATTTACAGCTAACAAGATGAAAATCACTTAACAGGCAGACAAACAAACGTTAAAGATAAATGTTTTTTCGTGATAATTTAACTTCATGAACTGGTATAACAGAATCACCACTCCCTACATCAAATGTTAAACATAATGTCATGGACTTACCTAGTAGATCAAATCTGAAAGTTTTTCATTTAAATGAGGCTTAGCTTTGCCGAGCTAAAATATAAATATCAGGACAAGTTTCAATTTTGTCCTAATTGAAAACGGCTTCGTGATCCTTGCTATCTCCTAACCATACATTTCTACGAAAATTGGGAAAATATTGGTTCTCCGACTGTTTTTAGGTTTTCATCTTAAAGTCTACGACAAAAAATATAACATAGGCCTATTCTCTGCCAAAGCAACTGATAAACTTGATTGTTTTGACAGCTACCAGAAATGTTGTTTAGAAAGTAATCATACCGGTATGTGCATTCAGTGTACAAGTATTTGTTAACAATTTATTTAACAATTTGAAATACTGCACAAGGTTATCACAGCATCTCTTATTAAATGAAAATAACAACTTTGTGAAGTAATGGTAACATATGCACATACATTTAGCAAACTATTTATAAACAAAGTTAACACTACTTGCATCAATGGTGTCCTCACCGGGAAAATCATGATATTGAGAAGTGTTGTGTAATGAGGAATGTAAATGAAAAATGTAAGCATAACCCTAGCTCAAACTAAAACCATGTCCAAAGGCCCACTGATAATCCACCTTGAACCATACAATATCCTCCCTATTTCATTTTTACTTGATGCCAATTTGACACGAAAATTGATATATCTTGTACTTTAGGAAATGCAGACTTGACATGATTTTATTAGTAAATCGAGGGTCACATCTCTCGCAATTTAGGTATAAATAATAATTTGTGGTCTCGCTTGTACGAATTAATGTGATTGGAAAGATGTAGTTTCAAAAGATATCGGTACATCACTTTTGGAGATATGATCTGGGTAAAAGTTTGTCTACAAGTAGAATCATTCAGCAATTGTAATATATACATACCCTGTTTGGTTAAAAATATTAAAAATATATTTAAAAATAAACATCGCATATATTAACAGCACAAAATAATATATAAATAGTATAAAAAGACACCATTTTTTGACAAACAATACAAAATGGATAATGTATAACAGTAATGTTAGTTTTGACCACAAGAACAAATTATAATTCAACTAGTAGGCTTTCAAACCTTATTTAAACCTTCATTGGTGTACATTTGAACTTATATATATATATATTTAAGTTCACACTAATATTTAAGAGGTAAGTTCAACTTTACACCAATATAAAATTTATATATATAAATCAGGATCTTGATTGAACCAAAAAGTTCTTGTCGTAGAACGGCAAAACACTATTATCAAAAGAGATATTCATAGCTGCCGCCATTATGTCGAGGTCATGGTCAATAATAATCTTTATACTACCGACAAAAAATGAAATTTGAGGTTTGGGCTATTTTTCTGGCAGGATAACTGGACTATTACTGAATCAGTGTAAAATGTCGTACTGTGGAGTGGACATTTTTCGCCAATACCACGTTTAGTAAATTAACACGAAAGTGAGCATATATACATTGAGAAATTGTTAGAGGTATTGCTAAAGTATTGTCATCGTGAACTTTTCAACACCGTCAATAGTATCAGGAGCCACACGAAATTTCCTCTTTTAGTGTAATTTAAAGTTTTGACGCTATGTAGAGAGTTGCTTCTACAGATCTGAAACTATGAGATTTAACATTTCGTTTGTATACATTTCATCTTATTTTGATTGAGCCGAAATGTTCTTGTCGAAAAACGTCAAAACATGTCAAAAAAGGACATTCATGTCTGCCCTTGGGTAGAGCTTTCAAAGTGACAATAACAAATGTTTGTCATATAAAATATGTTTATATTTTTTATAATAATATTAAATCGCGTAAAAATATACGGATAACAAAGTCGAGTTAATCTACGTTTTCACATCAAAAATATTGAAACATTTTCATTTTCTAACAATGGCATCTATATAACAGAAAAAAAGTTTACCAAAATCAATCTTAGGTAGAATTTTTGTTTTTCAGTCTCTTTGACTTTTGTTCCTTTTTTTATATATATATATCCATCATTGTAAAAAGAGTAGATCTATACATTATTTGCACAAAAAGTTATGTTTCGACTATTTTTCGGTTAAAATGCCCATTGTGAAAAAATACTTCACTTCTGCTTCTACCAATTAATTGCATGAATACTCTGACACTATCTTCTGTATGTGTGCGTTCCTGCATGTATAATTGAGTATTATATTTAAATTATACTGTTTACTATGTGACCGTGCATCTACTTTTTACGGTAGGTTTTATAGTTCATTTCTACTTGAATATCACAGCACAGACACTGTATTACCAAACCCAGATCACTGGGTCACTGGTGTGATCAATACGGGTAAATCAATGCGCCAAAGACGGTTACAGTCACCTAATGGTAAGTAGAAAAGCGTGATGCCGCTATGCACTGCACTACGGTGCCCCTAGAACAATTCATTAAGTAAAGTTAATACCCAAAAATGTCCTGCCGGAGGTCAGGACGGCCCAATGCCTGTTCAATGTGATTCTGTATAGCCCACATCGATATTCCATATTCAACCCGATATGCTAATGGAACATAGCCCCTCATGTCATGAGGTAACGCCCAGAAGAAAGACGGCAAGCCGCCTTGTAGCATGGTAAGCACGCGGGGTCCATTCGGGGTGAACGCAAGTCCAGGTGACCCCGACCCACCTTTTTCCATGGTTGAACGGATGCATATTTTGTTGTCTTTGTTCAAAACAGCATATGCCTCGGAAACTTTATACTCATTTTCCCCATTCAATCTAAGACATTCTTGAATTGCAGGCTCATTTTCTCGGACCCACTGCTCGGCTTGCTGCAACTGTTCATCAACACTGGACAGGATTGGCACGTGTGGATCGACCGTCTTTTGGTCATGTCTAGTGTGCCCAAAGCCAATGACCGCTGCAAGTCTGTCCGGGGAATCATTTGTGGACAGAGGCATTAATGGCGGAGGGAGGGTCATGTTTGGACAAGGACTGAGGGTGAGCACAGCGTAGTCGAGATCGGCATCGTATGCCTCGAGGCATGGAAGAAGACTAAAGGACACTCCCTGATTGAATATCACGACTGTATTTTCTCGTGATAGGTTGTCAAAGTTCCACTTAAAACCAGTCGTTGTTTTCTCAACTGCAAATAAAAAACTATTCATGTTCTGTTTGTGTTCAAAACAAACTTAGCCTTCATTAATCTTACCAAACTGATTAATCTTATTCCGAATATCAACTCTGCATCTTTTTAAATAATATTGCATTATGTATATGAAAATATGAAACGCCATGTTGTGATATTTTTGACGACGTAACAAATCATATAACACGATTTATGACATACCTGTTGAATCTTGTTATAGTAATACAAGCAATTTTCAGACCATGAAATACAACATGTGCAATACGGAATGTTGTATTTACATACTAGCCGGAACTACTTTTTATGGGAACCCCCCTGAAAAGTTCCCGATGTTTGCAAAAATATTTAAGTTTATAAAATCTTTGTATCGATCTCTACCAAAACCGGAAGGTATGTGATAAAAGCAAGACCACACACTTGTGTTTTTCTAACGAATCAGAAAGCACTCATTTATTGTGCGGAGGGATATATTCGTTAGAAAAACACAAGTGTGTGGTATTGCATGGTTGTATTCACTGAGTAACAAAGCAATTAACTTTTAAAAGGAAATATCACTTTTTGATATGTACTACATAGTATATTTACATATTTCAGTAATACATCGAATATTCAAAACTTGTTATATATTATCATATTTACATAATACGTACTTCATGTCGGATATAAAAATTGTCATAAAAAAATGATTCGTTCAAATGCGCAAAAACATCTTCACAATAATTCAGAATACGTAAATGGAAAGTCGTTTCACTTAACATACGTAATATTTTGTTGACGGAATGGAATGTGGTTAGTGCACTGTTCGTCCCCACTCTGAAGACAGTGCAGGTTCCGTGGTCCGATTTTAACATCCCCACTGATTCACAACATAACAGCAATACATGTAGGGATGTCTCTGTGAAAGAGTCGTCATAATCCTTCATGAACACGTCTTTTCCAACCTTTGCAGTAGGTTCTGCAAAATAAACGGGATTTAACGCATTTTTGTTACAAAAGAGAATGTTCACATTAATATCATACAATTTCAAATGAAAATAATTCACAAAAACACTACTGCTTTTATGAATAACCGGATGTATAAAATCGCGTATTTTTGTATACGACACATCTTGAGAGATTCAAAATTAGGCCATTCAGTAGTCGTATTTGACAACAAACAAAATTCATACACCACCGACCTCATTATTTACAAAGCAGAATTACAAATATATTGTCGTACCAATAGGGGACTTTAATAGAAGGGCTAGAATTATCCTCACTGTAGAAATCTATAGTTTTATGCTCTTGCCTTGAGGAAAATGTAGTCCAGATTTGTTTCGCTGTCGGACGCTCACTCGTGGAAACTTGGGGAGCAATTCTTTTTGATGTGTCATTACTTCATTCTTGTTAGAAGCAACGTGTGCTGGGCCTGTTGCTACAGATGAAAAAGATTAATTAATACGTCATTTATTTACATTTATCTTTCTGTTAAGTTTTCTGTAATCCTTTTCTGTTCAGGTCGTCCGTTTACAAAGTCAAACCACCATTTCACCATATCAGTTAATATGATTAAAACACATTTGATGTATGACTTACGTTCCGTTAAGTCTCTCTGATCCGTCTATGGAAGAAACAAAACATTGAAATAATATTCCATGGTGCACTAATATGATTACCATTTCTTGTATAATTTAAATAACATCATGACACTATAAGACGGAATATAATTAATATGTACATTTTGATACGTTACTAATGTATCATTATCTATTACAATGTCAAATGGAACAATATACATGACCTTATCGATTTGCAATACTGTTGTGGTTTCTTTTGTATATATACATATATATATATAGAAAAAAATAAGATTTATCGACCACCTAAAAAACTAGCTGCTTTCACCCTTCACATGGCTCTTCAGGTTTATTTCAAAAGAACAACTTCATGACGTCGCAATTCCATCACGAAGTTGTTCTTTTGAAATAAACCTGACGAGCCCTGTGAAGGGTGAAAGCATCTAGTTTTTTAGTCGGTCGTTAAATCTTATTTGTTTTATATTTACTTACTTCACATGGACATTTAACCCTTTTTATTATATATATATATTTGCCATAATGCGTCAGTTTATTTGATTTTGTAAACCCATTTCTATCCTTTAAAGGAATTATGTGATATCTTATATACGCTTCAGTATAAAAAATACAACTATTAAGATTCAGGCTTTCCTGTACATTTTCTACTTTGAACCAATGTTGAAGAGATTCCAGTCCAATAACGTGGAGTTGATTGGATGTGCCCTCACAACACTGAAGTTCTTTGTGCTTCAACAGAGATGTACATTCTACGGGAGTGCTGGCCGCCTTGGTTTTCAGTGAACACTGAACACAACTTCGCACACGAACAACTTTCTGATACCTTTGTATGATAGAACTACATGTTTTCTCCAGAAACAGTCGGGTTTCTTCCCCTAAACCACGAGGAATGTTCGTTTCTGCCTGTGAATATCTATATATCACTGCCTGCACGACGCCTTCCTCAAGATGTAGCAGCAATCGCCAGCACATGTCGATCTTAAAAGAAGCTATATTCCTAAAGAGAACACATCTCCCTTTCGCTGTGACAAGAGACCATTTTTCTATGCATGCGGCCATCAGTTGACTGGAAAATGCGTTTTTCATTCCCGGGCTGTGCGTATCAAGATACAGGACACATGTCTTTACTTGTCGATCAAACTGCAGCTCTTCAAGAACTACAAGAAGCTGTGTTGTTTTCAACATGCATGGTACGATCCAGTAATCGGGTCGCGTAATCAAACATTTTGAAATTAAGTTTAACTTCTCCATATACAGAAGCACGCTTTTGATGTGGGTAGGGGTAAGGTTCACGTCGAAGTTTTTGAGGATTTCTTCCACATATTCTGGATATAGCTTCGCTTCAGTGTTCAGCTGGTGTTGCATTTTATAAAGACCGGGTGAACATATTCGCTTGATGACTCTCTCCGTTGTAATGATATGTTTAAAGGCATTGATTGCCCATTGCAGATCGATTATTACCAAATTCGTCAGACTTTCCCCTTCAAAGAAGAGCACTAAGCCTTCTGCATGGAGATATTTCAGGAATGCAATAATCTCCGCGTCCGATTCAAGTGGGCATTCGATAGCTGCGTTTAATTTACGCAGCAAATCAAAATCCAGAATCTTTTCTCCTTTTGCTTTCAGTTTCATGACTTCATTTTCAAAGGACAACCACTTTGTCGGAATCGGCCTTTCCCATTTTTCTTGGGATTTGGCCGCATCAATGACGGCTGTCTTCAAATCTGCCATCGCTGGATCAATTATGGTATTATCTATGACACACACGCCAGCAAAGTTGGCTTTGCCCAGGCAGTCAAGTTCAGGAACAGAAAGGACATCCTGTAGCGTCTTGAGTCCAAACGCCTCTTTCTCTCTGTCTGTCTGTGAGACATAACAATATCAATTTAGCATACTATTCCGGACCAACATTGACATTGTCAAACAGAGGCAAAGAAAAGTTTACTTTGAGTTTGTCAATTAAAGAAAGATCGCACGACATATCTCTATACGTTTGGTTTCGTTTCTTTATTTGCTGATGTTGTACAACAGATAGCAATTATACATACATTGTTTGTAAAATAGTTTAGAACTGATGGCTTTTAAAATAAGGAAATGGTTCATTTCTTGCAACATTTCGAATTAACATAAACCGTATTGTACCTACCTTGAACGGGAGCTTGTCTTTATGTGTTCCAACAAGTACGACTGGTGGGCACTGGAACACCATCCCATTCCCTTCGTCTTTTCGTATGGCAGAATAGTCTAGAATCGATGCCAACCAGAATCGTGCTTCATCTGAAAAGAGTAAACGTACAGTTTTTATTAGCTCACCTGGTCCGAAGGTGAGCTTATGCCATACCGCAGCGTCCGGCGTCCGTCAGTCTTTCCGTCAACTTTTCCTTTAAAACGCTACTAGTCCTGAACGGCAAATTAGATTTGGATTAAATTTTGTCTGGAGCATCATTAGGCCAAGGGGACTAATGTTTTGTATAAACGGCGGGTGTGGCCCCCTGGGGAAAGGTGGGCGGGGTCAAATAGGGGAAATAGAGGTAAAACATCTAAAATCCTTCTTCTACGTTAGGAATTAAGGGATTTTATCCTAATTTAGTCTGAAGCATCCTTGGGCCAAGGGGACTCAATTTTGTATAAACGGAGGGTGTTGCATCCCTTTGGACAGAGGGGCGGGGCCCAAGAAGGGAAATATAGGTAAAACCTAAGGTATTTTATCCTAATATAGTCTGGAGCATCCTTGAGCCAAGGGAACTCAACTTTGTATAAACTTCGGGTGTGCCCCCCCCCCCCCCCTTCTGGGGCACAGGGCGGGGCCGAATATGGGTAATAGAGGTAAAACCTTTAAAATCATTCTTCTACTGTAGAAATTAAGGGGTTTTATCCTAATTTAGTCTGGAGCATCCTTATTCATGTGAATGCGGGGACCAATATTGGAAACACAGTAAATTCTTCAATATTCTCCTTTTCCTGTAGGAATGATTGGGTTTTGTCAAATGGCATAAACATATAACCCCTGACTAACCATGTAATACATGTACACTACCAACAACATCTGGCTATTTTAACTTCAATTTTGCTAACATTTCCAGGTGAGCGATACAGGCCCTCTGGGCCTCTGGTTTGTATTACTTTACATACTGTCAATATGTTATTGCCTGATGTAGAAGATATTCTTTATATACATATATATATATATTTCGGACATCTATTCATTCTCACATGTATATTGTTAGGTAAGTGTAAATGAATACCGGTGTGACTAAAGTTGGACACAAATGAGTAATCTTTGTTAAACGGTATTTTTTGACACATTTGACCTATTTGTTAACATTTATCGAGTAACTTACCTATCACAGAATCGTGACCTTTCTCCACTTCACTTAGGTCAACCACAAGGATGAAGACACATTCAGGTGCCAGGAAAATTTGATGAGTGGCGTAGTAGATTTGTTCACCGGCGAAATCAAAAAGGGATATGCTGGCATGGTCTTCGTCTAGAAAATCGTGCGCTATGCGACTTTGGAACACTTGTTGAAGCGTTGTCATTTGCGAATGAGTTGGACATTCGATTTCTGATAGATATTCTAAAGCATCTTCGAATTCGTCCTCGCTTTCTCCCTCCTGACTTTCTTCTCTACGATATACGAGGATTGGATTGGCATTCTCCGGGTGGTTATTAGATTTCTTAGCGTGTTGTTGTGGAGATTGATTTTGGTCTGGATTAGGAATATTGTTGGTGTGAGAATCTGCTCCATCTATATCGTCCATAACTTTTGCTAATTTGTTGATAGGACTATCAAGTTCTGCACCTGTAATAACGATAAGTTAATACTTCAAACATATTTAATACTCACGACCTTCACAATTAAATATGGTTTTCTGTTTTATCGCACATTCGGGTGTTTTCCTTTGATTCAAATATTCAATATTTAAGTTTAATAACATTTATAACTGAGCTTTGGGAGGTCCTAAGCATCATCTGCTGTCAATGATAGTGCTGTTGTTTTAATCTTACTAACTATTTTTGACAAATATAGCCACTCTCCATATCATTACTGTTTAACAATTTATAGTTTGAATCTATGTTTATTATATAGATATAGATTATATATGTTTAGTATAAAGTAGGAAGAGCGTATCCTAAATTGCCATGTGAAACCTTATAGAAGTTGTGTAAGAGGACAATTAAAAATTCCGTGTTGAACATTAGGCACTCTAAAACTTCCTTTTGCATTCCTATTTGTTTTCAAAACCCAGAGATCCATCTCAATGACATTACCTTTGTTTTGAATTGTCCACTCCAAAGTTTTAAGATCCACGAGAATCTTTTGAATGTAGAGATCTATACCCTCGGTACTATCGATTCCCTCGAGGTCGTCATCAAGTAGTCGCCGACATAAAGAACTTTTGCCGGCTCCCTTATGTCCCAGCACCATCACTCGAACATGGCGATCTGGCGTAGTTCCACACCGTAAAGCTGTTTTGTACCTCAAAACAGTGTCTGTGTCAAGACGTAGTATTGACCGTGGCAGCTCTAACAACGTAGACCCAACAGAAACTTATCGAGACAAGATTTAAACTTTTTTATTTATGCAAATGCAATAAATATGTTTATAATTCGTGTTACTCATTTATAATGCTTCTTTTTCTAATGAAATATAATGTTGTAACGCATACAAGTGTTCATCATCATCATCATCATCGTTACAAAAGGAGAAAAAACAAATACATACAGATAAATAAAATAGAAGAAATATATACGATATTGTCAACACACCAAATCTGAAAATGCAATGACCTCCACAAAAACAAAAGGATGTGTAACCATATTAAGCGTTTCCAGACCATAAGTTTTGTCTAGATGCTGCTTATTTATTTTGTTGGTTACATCGACAAATGACGGGAAATGTGAATCCTGCGAAGTACGAGCAAATATTACATTTCTATCATCCTTCAGATCATATGTATTTCAAATCATTTTGTACGAGTAACATTCAACAACATTTTTATCATGCATGTGTGTTCATAACGAAAATAGTCTTGCACTGTTTGAGATTCCGTAAGGGAGACTACAATTACAATCGGTCCGAAATTTTCCTCATTGATTATTTTTTCTTTGCATATTATCCAAAATGTATTTTAACAGTCAATTTGAATAATAATAATAATAATTCAGAACATTTTAGTAATACATGCACATACTATTTGTTCGAACTAAGATGCCTAAGAAATTATGTACTACATATTTAACTACACTTGGTCTCAAGACATAGCTCACCAAGTAAAAATAAATAAAGAAGGAAAATACGTAGGAATACACACAGTTTTCATTCCGTCGTTTTAGAAAGTTAAATGATTTATTCTGGTTCCAAAACACGTCTTTGAATGTATTGAAAGGCGGAAGATTATGCCGTTAAATGATTTTATTTTTACCATCAGTTACTGATAAGATCCAAAGGCTAATTGTTATCGAGTTACTTTAACCAATTCATAAAATGTATTTGAAATAAATACAAGGATTGTTTTTTCAATTAGCATATGCCATAAGGCTTGTATCTTTCGTCAAATCCCAGTATATAGGTCACAGGCTATTACTGTTGTTGTCACTGAAATCTCATAGTAGAATCTAGTCTAAACGGCGCAGATGTATATAATGTCCTCCTTATCGGAACTTTTCATTCAGTATTAAGTTCAATAAAGTTTTGTTTTACCGATAAAGGACCTATATAGATCCTCTACACCTGACTCAAAATCATAACACTGAAATATTTATCAATAGATGAATGTGACATTGGTTGGAGCATGAACTTATCTCAGATCTGCGTTTTCCAGAAGATTGTTCCATATTCTTACAAGTCGCAAAACAAAAAGGTTCTTTCGGATACCTAATCTATAGAGGAAAATATATAATAAGCTATGTACAAATATTTGTCAGTATGATTAGCTAAACAGCATTATGAACGACGAAATTTAAACTGCATCGAGTGCTTCGAAAAGGACTACAATAATTGTGATACAATACAATTCTATAGTTTTTAATAGCAATCATGCTAGAAGTAGGGGAAAGGAAATAAAAAAAGTTCTACTAAGTTTGAAACTTTGTTAATAGCCAAAACAAATGAATAAGCTATAATGAAAAAAAGCATGCATATGGAGAGATGTTTTAAAAATTCAAAGTTGCATGATCACGCTAACTGAAGTTAGGTCCTTCCTCCGACATTCATTTATATTCTATTTATCATCGAAATAATGACGAAGTAGCACGGAATGTCATTGAACACGCTGTTATATAACTTTTTATAGTAGTGTATCTAGTATATGTAGACCCTTAGGGTGCAACATTTTAGAAGAAATGTCCTCGAAACGAAACGAATATGCCAGATAATTATGCTAATAAAATAAACTCGTTCATTAAATATTTATACCTAAAGCATTTCGAGGACATATACAAATAATATGTTGTGACAATTAATGAATTCAGATGTCCTAAAGTGTAATATTATATGTGTATAATGAAGCTTTCAAGACAATAAGATTTGTTTTGTATATATGATGAGTACTCCATCACGAGCAGGTACATGTATTAGATCAAGTTACGTACCAAAAGACATTAACAAAAGATAGTAAAAATGCAACGCAGATCAAAGCAACAATCACGTGTTAATCGTAACATTACCAACAGCCTGGATTCTTGTCTGAACTGCTCTCGCTTTATCTCTAACTTTCTTATTGTCTACGCCAAGTAAGATATCAATACTGGTCACTATGGTTTCATTCGTCTGTAATATAATCATTATAAGATAAAACAAGAGGCATATTGGGCCAGTATCGCTCATTTTCTCTCTCTTCTGTCCTAGAAGTTGAAATATTTATTTGTGCCTATGATGGTAATATCAGATAGTTTGGACCCAATAATTATAATAACAACATTATGGAAGAGCAATGGCATGAACATTTAAATAACATTTTACTTGATCTGGTGGAATGGCGAATCAGAAAAATGTGCCAATCATAGGACAAATTGAATATTGGTAATTAACTAGAGGAAACTCTGTAGTTTTGAAAATTGATAAGACAGTAAAGCAGGTCCCAACTACTATTACGTGTTCTGAGATCCATGGTTCGAATCCTTTATGGTCCCCTGGCATTTTCGCCCTCTTGCAAGTGATTTAGGTTTTTCCATATTGTTATATATTTTTTTAATTATTCTAATTTCATCGTTTATCTGCTTTATGCAATATTGTTGATAGTCCTATTTGTTTTATGTTTTAAGCATCGTTCCGTTGAGTTAATAAAGTTCCACTGAAAAAAGGCGTTAAAAAACCATGACTATCAATTCTGGAAAAGTCGGTTGAAAGTTCCGTAAGGAAATAAGAGAAACATTATCGTTAGGGACGAAGAAATAATATAAAAAGAAAAAATCTCAACGATAGTACGTACTTTCATCTTTTCAGGGAGATTCTTCAGACTATATATATTTATTTCAGACTATATTTATTTATTTTTACTTTTTTTTTGACGAGTGATATTGAATGAATTAATAATGTAATACTATATAGAGAATTTTCCCCCTTGAATACAAGTTTCATTTCAAAAATGAGGTAAATATTATTTTTTATATTTTTTCAACAATATGAAAAATATTCAACCGATGAGTGAATGTAGCTGTTCATCAAGAAACAAAAAATATTCCGTTTGTTGTGGAGCAAAAATAGTAGCTTTCGAAATACAAATCGAGGATGACTAAACATTCTATTATGAATGATAATTTGACATTTCCTGATGGTCCACAATCATGTATCCGCCTACCTTTAGAGCCCGCTTTGCGTACAGCGAGTAACACAACCGGTCTATGAGGCGTAATGTTGACAACGTTTCCTCTTCATTTGTCAGATTACTCAGGTCTTCTTTTGCACAGCTTTCTGTCACATCAGCAACATTTTTGATAATTCCATTGTCATAAATCATCTTTCTGTTTTCCTCTAGGCTACACAAGCCGTCCAGTGTGTCAAACAGTTCTAACACTTCAGTGTAGTAGCCACTCGCCCTGTCGACAGTCACGTTGTGACCGCTGTTGGGAATAGCCTTTTTCAGAAGGTCTAATAGGTATATAAGAAAAGCTTCATCTATCTTCAGATGTTTGACATCGTCCTGTTTGACCATGTGTGATAACGCCATGTATGCGGCTAGCTTGATTTCTGCACAAAAGGAAAGCAAAAACTATGCTTATTACCAACGATTCATATTTTTTTCAGATGGTGCAACAAACACGTTTACATTGTGGATAAGTTATCCTGTATTGTTTATAACATACAAATCGAAGCCATTTTGTCAGTAGATATAGAATGTTATTTACACAGTATTTCAACTATACAATATTTAGCAAATCATATGATATGAGGAACAGCATGCGAATACGTGTTATGTTTTGTAACGAGATTGAAGTACTGATATTACAAAAAGTTCGAACATTATTATATAGAATACCATTTCTTTACTCAATGAAAAATGAATACTATTAACTTCCACTGGACAGAAACAATCTATTCAATAATAAACACATTAAGGGGAAACAGTCTATAAAGTTTGACGTTTATATATACTAACTGTTTGAAGAAGTTTGTCTTAGAATACATGCAATTGTATACACTCCTCCAAATTCGTACAACTTTTCCTTCTTCACACCTGACCGCGCGCACTGCTGTATCACGTCCAACGCAGAAAATATCAAATAGTTTCCATCCTACATAACAAGAGTTTTTCGTATAAAATAGGTAAAATATGTTTACTGTATAGTAAACTTGGGATTCATTCATAAATCGTCTCACCGGTAACTGTGTTATTTAAAATGACATTTATATAAACTGATCATTTCATTTGTGTACAATACATTTTCTTTGCCGGTAACAAAAATCCATTTATACACTTCTGCAATGCATTTTATCAATCTTATGGAACCAAAATGATAATGCAAAATCAGACATCGATGGTGTGGGCATGGCAACCAAGAGTTTGGTGCGATCCCTACCTACAAGGCATCGACGTCTAAAATATGCAAGCTTCTGTATCACTTTTAGAAATATAGAACGATCAATCTTTTGCAGAAATAAAAGGGAAGTATGAATATCGTTTTACCTTATTTGGGTTAATATGCATATATAATACGAATTTACCTATTGTTATATTGGCTTTTTTCAATCTCGTGGCTACACTACACAAATTTATCATACTATAATCAAGCTACATCACCTCCCAGTCTTGCTCCGGTGACAAAAGAACTTGTTTCAGATCCTGAACGACGTAGTGGAGATAATCAGTACAGGTAATGGCGACGGCGAAGGCTTTGCTGGCAAATGACAGCCGCCATATTAGTCGTCTTGTTATGTAGAGAATCTTGTCTACGTCATCACAATCGTCGCTGGTAGCTACAGTTTCTAGCACGACGTTTGTCAGATACAATGTCTGTGTACAGTGCAACGCAAATTTGAAGCAACGAACAACTGCACTGACAAAACTGAAGTGAAGAAAATAGAATAAAAATTAAGCTGACTTAGAAAATTATGACATTTGTGTTGAAATACAAAGCAACAACTCATCTGATAGTGACATTTAACAAGTTTTTAAGGATATTTCTTCCACATTGTTTTGTAGTGGTAATGGAATGATAAGGTTTTAGACATTTCGTTTTTGTTTTTGTCACCCACTATATGTCACAATTTGTAAACGGTACCGCTATCATCCCATGCCATGATTTTACATGTGAACATTGAGCATGACGGTTCACCACTCATGTCATATGATAGTATATTCTTGTTTCGTTGCTGTGTCTAAGGAAAATGTGTATTACCAAAACCATTCATCACTATTTATATAAATGGATCTGCGCGTTAGATTGGAATCAAACCAATAAGCGATAAAATGAAATATTACCACACTGATTTTGGTTGGAACATGATAACTCGGATAATACAATATTTAGGCAATCTCCTAAAAATTGATAGTTTATAAGTTATATAAAATTACGTTGACTGACTTTTAGACATAACAGTTAATTGGTATGGGTGGGAGAGAGTAACGTGTTAACCGAATGTTCATACCCAGAATTTGCCAGGTGGTTACCAATACATGCTAGGTCTTCTCTGGTAGTCCTGGCATCTTTAAGAATTGCCAGTATACCAGTCACCCAGTTGAGAATATCAGGTAAAGATCCAATACTGGCATTTTCTAGATCTCTTTTACAGTCGTCTATGAACAAATCCACATTCTCTTCCTCGTCTGAAACATTGTGAAACATCGTGATCCAGGTGGGTGTGTTTACATCTGCAAGATCTATTTTTCACAAGTTTATTTTTTTATGTTATGTATTCAATAAATAGTACAAATCATATTGTTATGTAATTTCTTCGTCGATGCTAACATCTGTGACAAGTCTCCCCCCCCCCCAATCCCCTAACGCGAGAGTATAGGAAGAGAAACATCAACCCCGTGGGGTGATATTCTTGATTGTCTAACCCGAGGCTTGTTTCGAGTCGGGGATCAGACATTCAAGAATCGACCCAAGTGATGTTATTTCTCTGGCATACCCTCAGCATTGGGTGAGGTTTTTCTTCTCCCATCCTCTCACTATATATACTTGAAAACAATGGTTATCTGCATTTTTATCCTTATCTGCAATTGACCTACCCCGTCATCGTATGGCTTCTTTCCGTGTGCCATATATCATACGCATATCCTGGAGGGTGACAGGGAATCCAGAAGTAAAACTGGAAACAATTCAATTAAAGGTGGGAGAAGAAAATCATCCTTACCTGCAGCGTGTGCCAGTTCCCGTATCCACCTGTTTCTGCATGCCTCATTGTCAGACTTCAAGGTCAATTTATCTATTTTGAAGGACAGGTCACCAATCGGGGTAACTTTAAACTTTTTCTCTTTTTGATTGACGTCACCACTATGGAATGTTTTTCTCCAATCTCTTATAGAACAAAGTAAATAAGACATGTCTTTTGAAATGCAAAAATATTCACATAAAGAAATGTAGGTACCTAAAAATAGCATATATATGTACACTTGAAATGTCATCCAATCAGTTTAACTTTGGACAATTATCTTTCGTCTATTTGTTTCAAAACACATGAAGTTACTGTGTTATAAATAAGAAAGGACGAACAGGCTCCATGAAGAAAAAAATATACTAAAAGGACAAGAAGCAACGACTAAATCTACCCCGCTATGTATATAACAGGACAAAAACCCACAGCGGCAACATAAAAGAACAAGAGGAACACAAAGTCGCCATGAGTAGAAACATGAATTGAGGAGACAACAAACCAAACATAGACTGGCCTCGGTTTCATCAACGTTCCTTAACTTTAAGGAGTTCCTTAAACCGGCTTTGTCCTTAAACATAAGGAGATTCCTTAACTTAAATAAAATCGCGTTTCATGAAGATTCCTTAACTTAAATCCTTCCTTTAATTTCAGGAATCCCTTAAATATTTAAGGCCACATCAACCCAAACGTATATCGCTAAGGAGCTCCTTAGTTAAGTTAATGAATGTTCATAAAACGTGTTTTTTTTTCGGAAATCCTAGATACAGAATTCCTTAGCGATTTTAAGTTAAGGAAACATTTAAGTTAAGGAACGTTGATGAAACCGGGGCCAGGAATCACACAAAAAACGTTTGGTTGCAAAACCAGGTATTCCGTAAGGTGCATATTTCATGCATCATATTATCACCTATCATGATGCTATTAATTATACAAGGTATCGTTATCATTTTGTAATTACACAAGGTATCGTTATCATTTTGTAATTACACAAGGTATCGTTATCATTTTGTAACTATACGAGGTATCATTATCATGTTGTAATTATACAAGGTATCGTTATCATGTTGTAATTATACAATGTATCGATATCATTTTTAATAATACAAGGTATCAAAATCATTATTAATGGTCCAATGTTCATCATATATATATAGAAAACAAAAAACCGAAGGCAAAAATATATCGAGGCAACATATTCTAAAATCGCTCATAAAAGACTTTTTAAGATAAAATATTGCACGTACTTATCGTAGTAATTCAGTTGTCCATTACATAAAACAAAAAATGCCCTTTTTGTTTCGAAGTAGCCAGTCCTGATATGAAGCCATCCTGAATATTGTGGAAAAATCAATTTATTCATGGCTCATGACTTTCTTTCACGATAAGTGGCGACGTCATTGTCCAGTTTTATAGGCATTGATACTTATTGTTCTGAAAGGTGAAATTGATAAAAATGAGCATAACAGTATATTCACTTGTAAATTAAGAAACCATATGTCTTTCTGTACTGAAATTTGGTATTATTTTCTGATTTTTATGAGACTAATAGGAAAAAGATCGGAGGATCACTGAAACAACGGTTAAATTGATCAACTGAATATAACAACTTTACATATCTGATAAAGTTGTATTTGCAAGACTGTAAGGTCATATTACAAACCCATTGCACTTGTATGCACAAGGTAAAAAAACAGGATATTTGTGAATATGTTTTTCAATCCATGTTACTGTACAAAGTATTACAGCAATGCAGTGTACGCTAGTGTACGAAATATCATAAGCCTACTACCACGGTGATGAAATGCAAATCAGTTTTCCCGTTAATCATTAATCTTAATTATATTAATATTTTAATTAAGACAATGTATATTTAGTGCCACTTAGTGTTCACCAAGAGATCATTAAGTTCACCCATGAAAATGTCTTTATACACCATTTAACCAGGTGACATCCACCGGATACCCAGGTCAGCACCGAACATATCACCCGAATGCTTCCGAGTACAACCGAGTACAAAAAGTTATTTTCGTGTAGACCGGTATAACGGGTAAGACATACCTAAGGTTCCTATGTTTATACTTTCATTTTAACTACTATAGCTTACTTTATTGTCTCTCCAATCGCATTATCTGTTTATAATTTAGATGTTATCTATCATTCAGTAAGAATTGATTCTGTGGATGAGTTATTTAACGGATATGTTTATATTACAATACTGTGTTCATATAGTAGTTCACTTATTTTAAATGGTTCTAGGAAATCTTTCAATGAGGCACTCAAAATGTTAGAATTATTTGCACAAATATCAGGTCTTAAGGTAAATAGTGACAAAACACAATTGATATGGACAGGAAGAAAAAACAATCAGTCAAGACGTCTACTACCATAGATGGAAATTAAAATGGGGGATTACAAAATTTAACCTTCTTGGAATAGATTACTCTGTCAACTTAGATGAAATGATTAACATTAACTATAATACTGCGGATGGGGGAGTGATTACAATCCCAAGGGTTTGTAATCTCTGTGGCGTTTTCTTACCCCATCAAAGACTTTTAAGTACATTGGACAAAAACTTTAAAAGATAAAGTTTTTATATAAACATGTCGTTTTTAATAAAAACGGCCATTTTCAATTCATTTGAAGTGTTCTAGTTGTTTATGCACTTAACATGTCTTACAAGCTTGCCATGGTGATATTTACTTGGAATCAGGCATAAATACAAATTAAACCTGGTTTAATGTAATTTATGAATGTCCTAGTAATACTTTGTTTTTTATAATGTTTCAATATCATGAATGTTAAAGTACTGTATTTGTTGTATCTATGATTGATATGAGCGGACGCTGACCATTAGTAGGAGGTGAGAAGGTCAAAAGTCGTATGAATTTGTGGCTATTTTTAGCACCCTATATAAGTATGTGCACTAGCTGACCCTAGGTCACTAGCCTGCTGAAGATGATGGAGGAACAAGGTGTGTACCTTCTTTTTACATCATGATCTAATTTTGAAAAATATCTAAGTGAATTTTATTACCCACCACCTCCCCTTCTTGCCTCCTTCTCAATATGATTATTACTTCTTAAAGGGGCGTTTTCTTACCCCATCTAAGACTTTTAAGTACATTGGACAAAAACTTTAAAAGATAAAGTTTTTATATAAACATGTCGTTTTTAATAAAAACGGCCATTTTCAATTCATTTGAAGTGTTCTAGTTGTTTATGCACTTAACATGTCTTACAAGCTTGCCATGGTGATATTTACTTGGACTCAGGCATAAAATTTAGATAAATCATTACTACAATAGTCTAAAAGAATATTTACACCAATAGGTAGAATAACGGTTTTAAAAACATTAATACTTTCAAAAATTATTCATCTCTTTATGACTATACCGAATCCAGACAGAGCTTTTATTAAAATATTGAATTCTACTTTTTTAACATTTATATGGCAAGGACCTATTGATAAATTGAAAAGGAACACTCTAATTAAACAAAACAACAAAGGAGGTTTAAAAATGATAGATATAGGGAACTTTATCGATAGTTTAAAATCTACTTGGGTAAGAAGACTTTTGACATCAAGTGATAGGGAATGGAAAAACATTTTTGAACATGGAATATGTCCCATACAATGCCTTTCAAAATTTGGTGAAGGTTTCTTTGAAAACTTAAATATAACAAATATAACATATTTTGGAAAGAAGTCCTAAATACATGGATAAAAGTGTCAAAACTAAATAGAATAAGAACCAAAACTGACCTTCTTACCTCCCCTTTATAGTACAATTTTAGCTTTAAGATAGGGAATCAATACATTTATTTTGAAGACTGGCATAAGGTATGTGTAAATACAGTAGTTGACATAATGAAAGGAGATGGAGCATTTTTAAATTTTGAAGAATTCAAAGACAAGTTTTCTGTAATATCGAATAATTTCTTAAGTTACCAGAGTCTGTGTGCATCCATTAAATCTGTGATTAAAAAATGTAAGGTATATCTGAATAACAATACTATTGTAAGACCTTATTTACCTTTTCACACCCAAATTCTATTTAGAAGTAAAAAAGGCAGTGGAGATTTCTATTATGCACTTACAGAGCAAAACCACAAAAACATAGTCAATACATCAGAAATTAAATGGAAAACAAATCCTGTTTTCCAATATTTGAACTGGAATACAATTCATTTACTACCCTTTAAGACTACCAGATACAAAACTACAATGGTTCCAGTATAAAATTCAAAATCGAATTCTACCAGTAAATAAATATTTGAAAAAGATTGGCATAACAAATAATGACAAGTGCAAAAATAAGATTTAGAACATATGTTTTGGGAATGTAATGAAGCTCATGTCATTTGGACCAAACTAGAAGAATGGATAAAACAAAAAACAAATTAAACAGTAGTTTTTGATTTGAAAATGATATTGTTTGGACATACAGTTAACATTGTCACATAACAACCTCTCAACTTCCTTATATTACTTACAAAATACTTTATTTTTTGTGCATCAAAAAGACAGGACAGAGTTAACTTAAACTTGTTAAAAGAATTTATTGCACAAAGATATACAATCGAAAAACTTGTTCACATAAATACATGTAAACAAATATATATTTTTTCAAATATGGGAAGAGTGGGAAAATGTATTTACATTAAAACAACAACATTAATAAATTACAACCTATCCATATGACATAAAGATGTAACTATTTTAAAATAAGATTTCTTACTTTCTTAGGTAGTAAAGCTTCCCCCTACATTTGTATAGCAGATTGTTTATAGGTTATAGGACTCTATATATATCCATATACGTTTATGCATGAAATACAATTGAAAACATATATAAAGAGTGAAGGAGTGTTACAATAAAAACACCTACATATAATACACAATTTTATTTTAAATGGATTTACTTGTATACTATGTATACATGTTTATACACATTTCATATCCTGATATTAAAAAAATAGCTGACTTATATACAAATTTTATACTTAGTTAGATTGAAGTTCGCTTAAACAGCAATGTAGATAGAAATTATTTTTAAGTCAGAATATATATATATGGATATATGTATTGCCTTGTAATAGTTTATGTCTTCGTGGTGTGATGTAAATGTATACAGTATGTGACGTTTAGTTATAAGTAATGTTTGGTAAAAAAATAAACGTCTCAGATACTTAACTCCAGAACTCATCCCAAGCAAGGAAAAAAATCAAAGATGTGACTCCTGTGAGAGGATATGTTTACATGATATATGTATACTCAATATGATATTTTACATGATGTATCTGTGGAGACGAAAAAAATAAAAAAAATAAAAGATATGGTAGTTCACCGTTAAATGGTACTCAATACAGTAACAAAGAAATATCGGTTTACGACACCGTCAACTTGAGTGTTACATAGGATTGCCGATAGTAGACTTAGAAAGAATTTATCTCAAGCTATACATGCTCTTGCACAATGTAAAATATATTCACAGCTATGTTTAATTTAATACTAAAGGCGGTTCGTCTGCTATTGGACGCGTCACTGATTCTATGAATAACACACATTTACGAAGTAGATACACACGTGAACGCAGCCGTTACGTGTGACACACTAACAAAATGTACAAATGACGTAATAAGAGTGATTTCAACTTCATTCAAATTCTGGTGTAAAGGTTATACCTCTCTGGTGTGTTTTATCTTAGATAATTCCATTAGCTATAAATAACATGTAGTAAATAATTTCCCAGAAATATGTTCCTTTTATTGGTATGCAATTCAACTTTCGTTTTGCAATGAGTATATGCTGACTTCGAACTGATTTTTGTTTCATTTTGATGTCATTGTGGGGTCTTAGATTTGATAAGTAGAAACATCTGAACTAATGTTTGGAGTGAATCTGGGGTCCGGGAGGGGAAGGCTACGGTGGGTTTTGGGGTTCTGAATAGAGAGTGGAGGGTATTGGTGAAACTTGACTTGCTTGTAACTAATACACTCGGTTTGCTCTATAATGTGTAGAAAATAATACAATAATGAAATCAAGTAAATGATTAACACTCACTGTGGTTGGTAGTAGCGGCCATTGTTTTCTGTAGTATTTCACGTTCTTTACCAGCACATCTGCTAGTCTCTTCCAAAACATCGATGAACTTCCTGAAGGTTTTCCAGAGATTCCATAAATACACGTTACGTTGGTAATCCCTTATCGACTTGAATACTTGTTACGTCATGATATGCACATATATACAGCGCTATGTAACATACATGACAGTGTGTCAGTTTTAAAATACAAGAGCAAGAGGTCAGTTGTCATACAAATCAGCGCTCATGAAAGGAACTTATGCTTATTTTATAGTCAATCGACGTTGGGACAGCTTGTGTCAAATGTAAGGTCGACAGGGATTGTACCTTTAGTTTTATTGATTTTAATTTTAATTGATCTTTTGAACAACTTTTGCGCATAAAATTGAACAAGTGTGTAAACGTTACAAAGTAAACTATAACAGAAGTAACAATATATAACTTGTATTTCTTCACAGTTACCTACAAGGGTTACCAACTCAGTATTAAACTGATCAATGTTCTTCCCTGAAGATGTCATTTCGTATAGGAATTCCAGAGGAAAGATTTTAAATTTAAATTTAAATAACTGGAAAATATCAAAAAAGTATATGGAATATTTTTGTAATTTAAATGTCTAAATCAAACATTCATTTCTGTTTGTTTATTATGGCATATGTCAATTTCAGAAACCGGTGATCGTTTTAAAGGCTTTCATTTTTAGATTGTATTTCAATGTTTTGGAACCATTATTATCTGCCCTGCGACCAAGTGATGAATAATTAGATATATTCTCACCACGTTGAGTATATAATCGATGATATGTATTGACATTTATTATATAAATGTGTCCAAATAGGTTTTGTAAATTTGCACATGGAAGTCAGTGTCGTATTAAATTGATAACACATCTAGACTGATATACAAGCTAGAGTTGTGCCGAAGAAGGTAAATGTTAACCTAGACACACATCCACGAGTTTGTAAGTCCTCCCTGACATAGGAACAATATGCTTAACAGACACAGACACAGACACGAAATAAAATATAAACATGAATTCATGGTAGAAATACAAGAAGCGAGAAGTATAGCAATTATTCTATCAAAATACATTTGTTCGGTATGCTAACTAGACAAGAATAAGTCTTTGAAATGACAGACAGGCCGATTCCAGTATACCCCTAAATTTCGTGTGGACTGTAATGTATAAGGTAAGCCAATATATTTCGATATTTCTAATTGACACGAGTTCACATTCATATACCGATCTTTGAATGTGAACAGTTTGCACAATAACAAACCTGGATCACATACACAGTATAAAAAGTTGCAGAGTAGAAGTTTGAATATCCATACGTCATGTTATATATACCATGCAGAACTAATACATACCAATGTTTTGATTCTAAGATAGGCTTCTCCATTGGGTATATTTGCCATTTCAAATAGGGGACAGTATCTGAAATGCAAAGAATGTCGTACAAAAGCGATAGTTTTTTTTAGTCCTATTACATATGTATCAATTTTATAATACGCTAAAACTTGTATTATGTATATGTATATATCTTGTATAACGTATCTATACTCACATATATAAAATGTCCTATAATGACAACAGCGAAACCGATCTAGGAAGCGCACCGCGGTAAACATACAACTGACAACTACCAGTTATGTATTAACAATACTTTAACCGACCTAACCCCTAATCAACCTTGCTACATTTTGTATATATACACTGTCTTCCATTTTGGATGTCACGAATAAGAAGCACGCTGGTTCACTGCGATTTTTTCATTCTTTGTTTTTGTTATTTATATATAACGAACTCCGTCGCGCGTTTCAACATTTTTTTCCATTGAAAATGTCTCAAGTATACATTAAAATAGGATATAAATCGGGATACGAAAACGTAGATGCATGTTTCCCTTTTCGCTCAGTACATCCAATCTTCCAGGGATTCTAGTAGTTGGGTTGCACATGATCTACCGGGTCTAAAGCCGTGCTGGCAGTTCGTAAAGAAGTTGTTTGTTTCCATGTGTTCGAATAGTTTATCCCTGATGATTCGTTGTAGAATTTTGCTGGCCACCGCAGTTAGACTTATTGGACGATAGTTATAAGGTTTCTTTTTTGAGCCACTTTTGTGGATAGGTGTTACATTGGCCTCCTTCCAAGCATTCGGTAATTTTCCTTCTTGGAGTGTTTTTTTAAACAGTTGTGATAGTGGCTTCTTTATTTCTGATATTGCCTCAACGTATAGTTTTGGATGTAGACCGTCTGGACCAGGGCTTTTGTTGGGATTGACCTTTTGTATTGCTTTTTGTACAAGCTCTTCAGTTATTTCAATCCTGTTCAGTGGTGTGTTTGGTGTTTTCATAGTAATATTTGGGAGTTCACCCGTCACGTCTTCGACAAAAACTGAGGAGAAGTAATTGTTTAGTGTGTCAGCAGCTTCTTGGTCAGATTGTGTGTGTTCTCCATTAGTTTTTTCGAGTCTGTTTATGGTTGATTTTGTTTTCCTTTTTGATTTCACATACTTCCAGAATTTCTTTGGATTGATTTTAATCTCGTCAGCCAGTTTGTGTTTGTGTACATAGTTTGATCGCCTGATGTTAGCTGTTGCCTCGTTTCTTGCTTGCTTGAATTAGTTGAAGTGTTCACCTGTCTTGCAGTGGAGGTATTTTTCCATTTTTTATGTTTCCTGTGGATTGATTCAATGGTCTTGTGATCGAGTGGTCTCTTGGAGTTACCTCGGAATTGCTTGTTCTCTGGTACATGTTTCTCAACAATATTTGATAGGTTGTCAACAAAACAGTTCCAAGCTTCCTCGGTGTTGAGACAGTTGTCAAAAGACCAGTCAGCTTGTGCAAGATCCTCTTTCCTATCAGTGTAATTCCCCTTATGAAAGTTTCTAGTTGTTTGTGCAATCGATGGTTCACTATCGACATAGCAGTTAAGTTTAAAAGACATGGTGATGTGGTCATTCTTCCCAATACCTGGGAGATAGGTTACATCGCTCTTGTTTAGCAATATTTTCTTCATTAACTAGTATGATGTCGAGCAGAGAGGGTATATTTCCTTCCCTGAATCTGGTCCGTTTGTCCACACATTGGAAAAGAAAAAGGTCCTGTATATTTTCTAGAAAAATTATTATTATTAGATGTGATGTTTTTTTGTTAACTACTTCTTTCAGGAGTCTTTTAAGACGGTCATTGTTTTCTTTGGTACTGTTTGGACTGCGGTATACACAACAAATTATCAGTTTGTCGTTGTTTTTAAGATTAATTTGGAGGCAGGTTGATTCTTGGAATGGTGTTGTAAACTCTATTTTTGTAGCCTCAATTTCTTCTGTGGTGTAGATTACAGTACCTCTTTTGCTATGTTCTGGCATATGCATTTCATAGCCTTTTATCGAGTAGCTTTCCTCCGTTAGAGGTAGGATATGGTTTTTGGGGAAGATTTCAGTTAGGTAGATGATGTCCGTTCCCTCCTGATCTATTATGTTTTCTAATTATTGTTTCTTGGTGTTGGTTAGAGTATCCACATTTGCATATAAAAATGTCATGTTATTTACATTTCTACTAGTCTTGGTGCTGGTGCTGGTAAAACAGGGGGGGNCACTTGGTCGTCATGGGTGTCGTCATTATAGTTGTTGGCATGCTGTTCTATTAACACTATTCTCTGGATACCGATGTTATCTATTATGCTGGTGGTAACCTCAGGGTATGCTCGTTGAATTGGACTGGGGGGCTCTACCGGTTTGGGTTGGGATTTTTTCTTGGCCTCCTATCTTTCCCTACGTTCTTCTTGTTGTTTTTCGGTAAGATTCCTGGATATGACGGTTCTTTTTAGACCAACTGGGGCGCTCTGGGGAATGTTGCTAGCCTTCTCAAGGAGTAGTTTTTTGTGCTTTTTTTTACGGTTGAGTACAACTTTGAGTGGACGTGTTTTTGTTTCCTCCCTTTTTCCTAATCGAAAGTGCGTTGTCAAATCCAGATTTGTAATCCCTAAACATCTGGCGACTATTCTGATGCCCACCTCATCCTGTTCTTTCCGTGCAGCGTCGTCTTCTGTACGTTTTTCTGGAACGTTGAACATTGCAAGGTTATTGTCTCGACTTCTTCTGTCCTGTATTTCTCTGCAGCGTTCCTCAACTTAAGCGACTACATGTGTGTCGAGATCATTTAATATATCGTCCTTCACGTCTGAATAGACACTCTTTCTTATCTTTTTTCGATTTTGACATCTGTTTTTTCCTCCAGTGTATCATTGTTGGAATGTTGTAGTGCTTCAAGGGTAGTATCTATTTTCTCTAAGCATGGTAGAGTGTTTTCACAGCTTTTGCAGGCTTGTGCTTAACTCTATTCAGTAGTTAAAAAACTTCATCTATTTTCAGTGTAACGCTTCGCTAGTTTTAAAAACAAGTTTACGTGTTAACTTATAATTGACCCATTTATCCAGGCATATTCTGATTCAAACTTTCCACAACTGTTTTGACTCGAGGTCCGACATGCCTAAAGCAGCTTGAAATTCCCCGCTATATCAATGTATTTACGAAGTGAAAGTTGGATACACACCTCCAATTCTGACCAATCAACGCAAAGGAATATATCTCTGTGACGCTTGGATCGATTTTCTTAAGCCATCCAAACATTTAAATGACTAATGTTTACTTAAGGTCTGCTGTAGGTTGAAAACAACACAATCCGGTTGAAATTAGAAGACTTTGGTGACTGATTAGTTCAAACAGATTCGTCATTTTCCCCTGCAACCAGAGAGAAATCAAGATGACGCATAACGAAGAGAGGGCTCACTGGGTAAAGGAAGGCGCCATTGGTTTAGGGGGTAAGCTTAGCTTAGGCATTCGACATGAGGCTAATTCCAAATGAGATTAATAGCGTATCCTGTCCTGCCTGCCTGTATTGATACACAAACATGGCTTGCAGTACCAGTGATGCCCATAGAGAAACTCGTGTTCACATTAGTCAAAAGGGTGGCATTAATGTATATAGGGCAATAGGGTTGGAGAGTGAAGGGGCATGCGTTCGAACCCCAGCGATGGCACTATCTTTAATTTATCACTATTCCTCGTCCTATTACACTATTAATAATTTCAATAATTTCTGAGTATAACGGGATATATATATAACATGTTTAATTAATCATTTCTTAGGAAAACGGGACATATATATAACATGTTTAATTAATCATTTCTAAGTATAACGGGACATATATATACAATGTATAATTAATAAATAGCTAAGTTTAACGGGACATATAACATGATTAATTAATAATTTCTAAGTATAGCAGGGCATATATATAAAATGTATAATTGGTATTTAAATAAAATAAATAGCTAAGTATAGCAGGACATATATATAACATGTATAATTAATAAGTAGCTAAGTATAGCAGGACATATATATAACATGTTTAATTAATAAGTAGCTAAGTATAGCAGGACATATATATAACATGTATATAATATAGGGCTTCCTGTTGAGGTCGAACAACGCCGTCACACTGAATACACGTATCAGCCGAAGACATGATGAGTTTTTTGATAAATTTGATAGTGGAACCCTCATTTTTATGATGAGTTGGTGAATTCCCTCATCGTTGAGTTGCTCCTAAAGAGCTACTTGGAGCTATTCGGAGCTACTCCGATCTACTCAGCTGCTAAGTTAAAAAACCCAAACATTAAATAAACAACAATAGCGTATGTTGCGGGATCACAGTTGAAGTACGAAAACAATGATTGACTGATCTGCTGGATTGTTTAAACAACTTTGAAAGCAAACGTTAAATAAACAACCAACAATGAATAACAAATGAGAAATATTTATTAAATAATAAAAGAAGTTCCGGAAAAATTGTTGAAGTACCGAAACAACTTAAATACAATTACCGAAACTACTTACAAAAAGTACCGAAACCTCTTCTTTTTGAAGTACCGAAACAACTTAAATACAAGTACCGAAGCTACTTACAAAAAGTACCGAAACCTCTTCTTTTTGAAGTACGGGAACAACTTAAACAAGTACCAAAACTACTCACAAAAAGTACCGAAACCACTTCTTTTCGAAGTACCGAAACAACTTAAATACAAGTACCAAAACTACTTACAAAAAGTACCAAAACCACTTCTTTTTGAAGTACCAAAACTACCAGGTACCGAAATGACTGTACCCCCCACTGTAACAGGAGAGAAAAAATGCATGGATAGACCAGGGTTCGAACCCTAGACACTTTACCTGGTAACAGACAATCGACCCAGTCCAGTCTCGCCGTACTTGTATATAAAACAAAATCTTTGATGTATGCCTTACTGTTTGTTTCAGTTGGAGTTTTGTATGGTCTCACCAACACATGTGTGGGTCATCCATTTGATACAATCAAAACAAAAATGCAAGGGCAGGTCGGCTATGAGAAAACCAACATGTTCCAGACACTAGGGAAGACACTGCGCACACAAGGTGTAATCGGCTTGTACAGGTTTGTATAGTCACATGTTTGGATTTTAACTCATTTTTCCAAAGAATTATTCATTGAATACAGAAAACATGTCAAAAATGGCAAGTACTGATATGTGAGCTTATATTTATGTATTTAGACAATTTGGTCTCTAAAAATAATTGTTAAAATCCAGCAAAAAGTGAGTATGCCAAAAAAGGGAAAAAAAACATTCAACACTTTCAGATCTCTTATATAAAATATTCCATGTTGGACATCCTCTAATGCCTAATTTGTAATGTGTCAGACAATCACATGAAATGTTTCATGGATACCAGATGAAGGAATGTTTTACTCTTTATTTAACAGGGGCTGTATACCACCTCTCTGGGGATCAGGAATCTATAGATCATCTCAGTTTGCTGTGTTTGAAGCTATGTAGGTACACAGTAGTATATCTATAACCATAGATACAAGTTTCCTGAAGAATAAAATAGAAAACAAATATAGTAAGAGGAATTCAAATCTTTACTTCAATGAATCAACAAAGTCTAGTGAGTTAAAAATACATTTTGTTCATCATTTGTGTTTACTGTCAGGATGATAATTTTATGTTCTTGTTTAATGGTGCTGAATTTTATGTCCATAGCCCATTTGTTTAGACTCTGATAAGCTTAACAAATTATTGCTTTAGTTTCAAAATTAACATAAACCTTTAGTTGTGAATTTCAACTCTTGAAAACATGGAAATTTTGTTTTGAATTGTCGCTAAGATAGCCAATTTGTAAGCATACCAAGCTGTATAGATGTGTATCTCCACATTAAGTAAGATAAATGTGGGATACAAATTTGCATCAAAATGAAATCTATATTTAAGCAATCACTAAATAAAAATCTAAACTAAACTGGTTTTACTGTGGGTAAAAAGACAGTTTTTGATGCGAGTCAAAGTTTTCCTTATGTAGCCTGGTTTTCTTCTTTTCCAGGTATACATACTTTGATTCCCCTGTAGGCCGCTATGAAATTCCAGGACTAGCTGGATTGCAGTTGTAAGTTAACATAATTTGATTAAAAAATAGGACAAATATGCAGAAATGTTTAATTTCATGATACCCTTTCAGTTAAATTTGTTGATTTATTCTAAAAAGATTGCAACTCATTTCTTTGTAGATATTTTATTGTCTCTTATGCTTTGTCTACCATATTCTAAATGAGTCTGTAACTATGTTTTTATTTCATTTTTTCTTTTATTTTAGGAGAGTTGTGGGTGCTGGTGTCATAGCGTCCACTTCCCGAGCCATCATAGAAACACCCCTTGAGTATGCAAAGGTGAAGGGCTTGTTATATATAAAAATTAAAAAAAATGTATATCTGATAATTATCAAACAAGAAAAGAGAAAGTACTGAATTTAACATACTTTCTGGAGAGGTAAAATTTTTTTGCTTTGACAGCCATTCCAGTTAATAGTTTGACATCATTGCCACACTGTTACTTCTGTGTTGACATCCTAGTGAAATCTACACTGGTCTTCTAACTATAGATGAGTTCACATATGAGGACTTACTTTCTTTCCTTATTGAGCATGAAACAACACAAACTACACTCTGCTCTATACAGCCATAACCATAGTATGCTGGGAGGAGGGGGTGGGGGAAGTCAAAGAGGTTAGTAGCTTCCCACAGATATATTTGAGATAATTATAATTCAAGGTTCTTATATACCGCTTTATCACAACCTAGTTCGTAGGTTGTCTCCAAGCGGTTCACAAATTATTCTCCATGTTTATAGGGCCTTTGCAACCAGCCAATATCTTTCTCAACTCCCTGGGGAGCATACAGTCGGTGCTGCCGTTTCAGCGCTCACAGCTAGCATTCAACAGTTCTAGCACTGCCCAACCACATACTCATTTACAGCTGAGTAGACTGGAACAAATGGAGTAAAGTATCTCGCTCAAAGATACAAGACAGTGCTGTACCGTTACTCAAAACCGCAACCCTTCGGTCACGAGCCCGGCATCCTACCACTAGACTACCGTGCCTCTTAACAGAAATGTTTCAGTGGTTTACTGATATTCTTTGGCTCAGTAATTACTATTCTACAGCTTCTGAGGCAGATTTGCTCCCAAGGAACTCAATCCATGTCTTGACCCCAGTTTATTTTGCAACCTCTAATGAGTTTGTCATTTTAAGGAATAGGTTTTACCAAATGGTGGAACAGACTTTTTTGCTACAATTTCTATCAGATGACAAATAGATAACAGGTAATAGGGTAATCATAAAAAATGTACTAGATAACTGATTTTAACGGTTGTCTTGAAAAATGGATGTGATGTTTTTTTCAGTACTGAAGTTATGCTTTTGTCTTTGTTTAAGGTGAGACGCCAGACACAACAAACATGGCAGCTCCGAAAGGTGTACACTGTGAGTAACCATTCAGACAAACATATCTGCAGACAATTACAAGCCAACAGTTAGGTTTTAAAATCAATGGACTTTTAAACTGTTTGATGAATTTTTACTGTATGATTATGAGGCCTTCTGTAGACTTGTTCTAACATTCTATCGTATTTGCCATCCATAGGGCTTTGGAGTGACATGGGCTAGAACCATCGGTCTGATGACTACCTACTTCATGTTGGTGGATTCTATCCGTCGACATTTCCCAGATCTCTTCAAGCAGCCGATTCTCGGCCCCTTCCTCACGTCTGGTTTGGCTGCCACAGCAGCATGGTGGATTGTTTGGCCACTTGAGTACATGAAATGTCAGATCCAGGCTGACTACGGAAAGTAAGTGTCACATGTCGATAAAGGATATCTGTATATAGGGATTACCTGTCTTCAGAGGACACCTATTGATAGAAAACACCTGTATATAAAAAAACACCTATTCATAGAACACACCTGTGTATAGAGAAAATGTATTTATACAAAAAAAACTTGCATATATTAAGAACACAAAAAAAGTCATGTTTATACAGGAAAACTGTAAATAGAGAATACCTGTTTATAAAGAACACCTGTCTGCCCAAGACACCTGTCTAGAGCGGCCATTGTCTTGAGAATATTATAAGCAACAAGTCCTTTGATCATTAATCGGTCTGAAACATCAATGTTGATAGTCAATCATACGAGTCAACTGTTTACTTTGTTTAAATTGCACATCACAATTCCCATTGTTTGTTTCAGTAAAATGCCGGTCTGGCAGAGGATGAGGTTCATAGTAAGAGAGAGGGGTGGATTCTTTGCCCTTTACCGTGGAATCATGCCTGGCACCATCCGTAGCTTTCTGGCCAATGGAACGAGCATGATTGTGATGTCATACGCACAGAAAAAAGTCTCTGAAATGGGACTACGTGACTCCTGAAGTAGGTCACTGTGACCTTGTTTCTGCCAACCAGTTTTTACTATGTCATGAGGATTAATTATCTCAAGTGACTTATTTTATATACCAAGGTAATCAAAAATTTGTTTGATTGAGGAATGAGATGGCAACAAACTTCTAACATTCCTCGTTACATCTGTATGGTAAACTAGTGGAATAACACTGAAAATAGTTTACTAAAGACAACTGTACTACTCCACACGGAGAGCAACATGCCACATCGCAATATTTTCCCCCAAATCAAGGATTAAGTTTATGAAAACAATAGTCTTTTTATCTAATTTTCATTGTTACAAAATATATTGAGATTCTCATGCCTTCTTATATTTGTTATGATAACTCTTCCCTATTCGGCATCATTTTTGTTAAAAAGTTGTACATTGTAATGAAGAAAACAAATATTTATATTACATACTCAGACCATGTAAATATGTTATGATAATACCAAGGGGCTTTCTGAAAAATGTAAAGATGTGAAAATATGTAAACATGATACTCATTTACATATTAGTGCATGTTTATTGTACAATCAATTCCAGAAATGTTTACTCATTAACTTGTTGACCAAATTTAATACCCAGGTAATATCTTTTTTTTATACATGTTATACTTTCTTTAGTAAGCATAAACGTTTTCCATTTTTTTCCACCTTTTTCTTTCCAGTGTTTCTTGAAGAAAATTTTAGTCAAGTCATACATTTATTTTTAACAAATTGATATCATTTGGTTTTAACTTGAATTTATTTTACGCTGATATCTATGTTTTTGGTTGAAATTTTTAACTGTGTTTGCCTTTACTTACTTCAGATTATGTGAAGGATGTGCTTCCTTTGTATTTTGAGATTACTTTTTTTTAATTTTTAGTTTGTATATCACAGAACCAAAAATATATCACAGAACCAAAAATGTCATGTTTTTCAAAGGTTATGCATAATATTTTCTGTTTTGTTTTATATTTTGGTAATTATGCTTTTGATTTACCTGTCATTTCTACAACTTTATTTATTTTCTTGCACTCAGTGAACAATATGAATCATACATCTAATATTAGCAACTAAATATATTGGTTTGTAAATAACCTTTTGTTAATCAGTTATTTTTTGGGAGAGAGGGTGAGTGTAATTTTCTAGACATCTGTAACACACATATGTCAGTACATACCAAACTCTACTGTCAGTGTTAGGAATACAGAGCTTTAAAATCTAGTACTCATTGACAAGATGTTGCAAATACCCTGGCCAAATTCAAGAAGGACATCAAAACTCACCTCTTCACGTCTGCATTTTAGACTATTTGCACAGACGTCATTGTAAATACCACCCTTTATTTATTCATTTATGTGCACATTGCGATGATTGTCTTCTTGCTTAATGTATAATGGTGATTGTAAGCCATTTTTGTTTCACAATTATACCTAATATTATTATCCATATGTTGTTAAGTGCTTTAGACTAATTTTTCAAATTCTATAGGGCGCTATATAAATGTTGTATATTATTCTTACTAAAATCACTTGGTTGGATTACAGTAAACTGTACTTTGATTGTTCAAGAGATTTTTCAGTACATATGCATCGTTATCGTCATTCTGTAAAAATGAAATATTTTGATATACTTTTCAATATAAGTCAGACAAAATGTATCTCCTATATATCAGCTACACGGTGTACAGTGCACTTTACATGTCAGAATCTCATCACTTTGTCTCTAATTTTTGTTTTTACCTGGTATTATTCAGATTACATGTTTCATTGAATGTACATTTTTTGTATATTGATATTATTATGCAGCATTTTCTACCGTGTGATGTGATACCTTAAAGCTTGTTGATTTGTAAATAACTCACTGATTGCAATATATATAAATATACATGCACATCTGGTACTCTAGGTGTGTTGTTACTTAAATATTAAAATTTAAATATTTGTGCTTTAAAGTTTATTTTATTGATCAATGTGTCAAAAATTTATAAAGGAGTCAGCTGGCTGATTTTTTAGCTGCTGTGTTTTAACTCTAGATATTATAAAGTTGTCAGCTTTTTCAGCACTGAAATGTATTTGCACCTTTTTATTTTGATGACTTTTTGTCAATATACCTCCCTTTTTAATATTACATTTAAGGTTTTGACATTATACTTCAGTTTACTATACATGTGGTGTCTTACTATCTCATAGGATTTTTTTCTATATTTACCTCCAAAAACTAGAACTCCCCATCAAGGAGAATCTACCTACCACTGTTGATGTTAGAAATTTGTAACTTGTTAAAAAAATGTCTTTAAACACCAACAAGAGAGTTTCTTCTGTTTAGAAAGCATTGGATCAATGTAAATTGCATGAACAAGGTTTAAATGTGTTTAAAAACATTGCTCAATTCATCAATATGGCAGTTCTTGTGAAAGAACACATGCAATGAAAATCTCCCTGCCAAATAGTCAGTAGTACACTCAGCTTGTTGGTAACTTACCTCCCTATTTAGTATTACACTGTCTTTTTGGGTAACAGTAACTCGTTGTTTAATATTATGCCTGTTTTTTGGCCAGATATTGCACCTAACTTTTTGGCAATATACTTCAATATCAATTTAATATCACACCTGGTGTTTTGCAATAAACTAGCTTCCTTTTTGATATTGCACCTAACTCATTATTTTCATATTCCACTCCGAAGTACATAATTCTCCACAATTAATTTTGGGAAACTACAGGTTGTGCATTTGTAAGACATGCAGTTTCTATTTTTCATGCCAGTTCTAGATTGGGCAAATTGCTGTCAATAATTGAACTTTTAATATGCAGCTATCTGGGGCATTGTGATTTAGTATATTAATATGAAGGTAATGTAGCTCAAACCCTACCTAACCCCTCCCCCATTCTTAAAAGTGCAAAAAAAAAAAAGAGTAAAAATGGAGGGCATGTAGAATGATTAGGATTGCCCCATTACTGTCATACTGGATTCAAGCTTTCGATTGGCAGTGAAAGAAGTTAAGAACTTAACTATTTTTATCACTTTGTCATGAATATCCACAAAAAATATTTCTTATGCAATTTAATCATTGGTAAAGAAAGATTGTTCTGAGGATCGTTCATAATGTTTGTGTTATGATATTTGAATCAATGCAGCTGTTTATTGTGAAACTAAGTGCTATCTGTACTAGGTATGTGTAGATGTATTTCATAATGATAATTAATCCTGTCTGTGTCTCTGCCTGTTTGTTAAAATATTGACCAGCTCAACAAGCTGTAAATGTTACTTATTTACAATTATTTTTCTATATTTTTTGTCTTTGAACGGCCATTTTCATTCCATATAGATGTATAAGTTTTAGCAATTAAGTTTTTGAGAATACGTTTCATGAAAGACTAATGCATTAAATAATCACGAAGCTGGTCTACTTTCAACAATCACACCTAGATACAGTTAAGGTACATAAGTATGATTTACACATATCATATGGTGTTTGAAGATATACCCGTCCTGTACATATTAGAAATGACCAGGTGGTTGATTCCACATATAGCTTGTATTACATGTATTATCGTTTGATGCGAGTTCGCTTTTCTTTCCTTTTGATACTTATTTACTTTATTCTGTGACTTGAATTGTAGAACGGTATTATTTTACACTTAAATACTAAGTTTTTGCTTCAAGATAATATGAAAATTTAAGATGTTGTAATATATTATTGCCGTTTCAAAACACATTCAATAGTGCTGAAATAAGTGAACTCATGGAAACAAAAAATAGCATAACGTGAAGTCAACCATGCATGCAGTATCTGGTTCAGTAAAATCTGATGTCAGTCAGGATTAGTGTCTGAAAATTTATGATTTGGCAAAATGAAAAAAATTAGATGACTGAAACAAGATTGATCTGTAAATTGTAATTCATAACCATCAAAAGTGTAAAAAAAATATCTGATTAACAAAATCTATCAAAAGAACGGGTTCCTCTCTTTAAACATCCAATTATCTAGTGTAACAATATCTTATAAAACTCCATTTATCATAGTGTTCCAACATGTGAACCTGTTAATGTTGAGAATTGATGGTGTGAAATTTTAATATGAGTCTATTTGTGAGGTTGTTTCATGTTGGATGTGTGTGTGTTGTTTGAAAATGTGTTTCGTGTTATGTTGAATATTTCATTGTTGATTATAACCCGAGTGTTGTTACGATGATTATAAATATAGACTAGAGTGTTGTTATGATGATTATAGTGTTACCATAGTAACAGATACTGGGTATGTCCCAAATAATCAACCTGTTGAGCAGGATTATTTACTGCAGTCTGAATCATTAAAAAAAGAATCTCTAGTGAGTGATGGCTGGTTTCCAAAAGGGTCGTTAGATCTAGATAAACCTAGTTTCAAAATATGAACCGACAAGATTTAGATAATAACAAAATAGCTGATTTTTCCAGAGTTCAGGGCTTTTTTCCCCCCAGAATGTTAATATATGCCTGCGAAACTATTTTCTTATTTGTAAACATGTGGTTTCATATTCTGACCAGTATAGAAATAGTGTTTCAGTTCAATTTATAATGCCATCACAAAGTACAAATTAGTTTGCTTAATGATTGGAATATTAACCAGTGAAAGTGTTTCTGTAGCAGTAACTACAGACAGGTAGTTGTGATATTGAACCGGTACCTTGGAGGCCGGCATATTACTCAGGAGTGAACAAATATTGTGGTTATGGGAGAAACGTGTTGAATATTTATGCTTGTGATGAATTAATAGAAAAATATTTATAATGTTGACTTTTTTGTGCATTTATGTACCTCTCACAAAGCTGCAGAAGTAGATTGAAATCAGTTCATTTTACCATTGGCAAATTTTGACTTAACATTATTCTCGCTCACCTTTTCATCCAACCTTTTAATCAATAACTGTTTTCATGTCCTGTTTCACCTCCTTTTATCAATTTTAATATCAAAGTCTCATTAACAGAAAATCAGTTTATGCAAAATAAATTCAATTCTCCTTTTAATACTGAAATCAGAAGCTCAATATTAGCATCCTAAAAACAGATTTTCAATCATGAATTTGTTTCAATAGCAAAATTACAACTCATATAACAAACTTGTATTGGATTGATGAGAATTTATTTTTCAACAAGATTAATAATTAACATTTAGTATTTCCCAACAATGACGGGGACATCACATTACATTTCTAGTCATAACATCAAACAATTACTCCCACACAGCGGCAGGGCTACACCAGACATTGTCAAACATAGATAGGATGTTGCCCAGTTATATGAGCCTCTATTTATTGCTGCAGGTCTGCTTTAATTCATTGTGTTCTAAAAAAAAAAACCCAATTAGAGCACAGCTGTACATTTATGAAATATTGATGACCCTAGTGATCTGATGCACTTTCTGACAATCCTTGACCAAGACTTTCAAGGCCTGCATAAACAGGATAAAATTACCTCAGATTTATTTAGAAATGTTGCATCAAAAAGTCGACTATAAAGAAACCGTTCCAGTATTGTATCCCAGCCAATGGATGGTTTGCTTTGCAACTGTACTCAATTTTGGAGACGAGGTTGTACTGCATAGCAAATAAAATCGTTTTATTGGATTAAAATAGTAGTCAAATAAAAACAACGATAATCTTTTATTGACATTTCAACTTGATACTAAAATTGTAACAAAACAGTAATGCATGATGAGAAAACAATACTGTTTACGACACCTCACTTTAAAATTCATGTCACTTATGTGTTTGAAAATAACATAAAAATAAAAGTTGTATTGGAACTAAAACATTAAACATTCATTTTCTTAAAAGGCTATTTCACATATTTTTAATGTTAAAATATAAAATCGATTTAAATGAGGATTTTGTTTCAAAAAAAAATCTTCTATTTACACTGATGTATCTATTTGTTCACATCTGAACTGCATAGGGACATTGTGTTAATTAAAAACAGACATCAAACCAATTCACATTCCGAAAAATATGTCTAATTTCAAATATTCCTTTCTCTCCCACATTTAAACTGCCGAACAGGTTTGGATTGCCTCCCCTTTTTCGTTTTCCATACAAGCCGCCAATAAGTTATCTTATCACATAGGTTAATTGCAACATATGTGCATAATATGTATCACACAATTAAAGGTGAAAACTGACAAATCACACCTAACTTTCAAACTAGGCTGAAATCTGACCAATGCCACATACTTATCAAACTAAGCTGAAAACTGACCAATCACACATACACATATACAAGGCACTCGTCCGTACAACTGGTATCACTTACTTTGTATCAATCACGATAACCTTGCCTCAATGTTATGAATGGAACAATATATACAAGATCATGATTCAAAAGGCGTCAAAGTATATCTCTTTAATGATACATCTACAGTAGAGCCCCTATTGGTCCAGCAACCTTTGTTGTCAGTTAAATGGGACTGGATCCATCCTCGATACTCCAAGGGTTATGCTTACTTGCGTTCTCTGCACCCACGGTATATGGAGGCTCAGTGTGCAACACAATGTGGATGAGACAAGAAGTCTAGTTTGATCCTTTTAAGTACATCGAAAGAACCTTGCGATAGCGTAATGGTAAAATTGAAGTCAGGTGTCGCTACTTTGTAATCTTCAAAAGACAGGTATCAGCCTAGCAATTGGTCAGGTGGTTTTTACCCGAGATCAACCCAAATAGCTAGCAGCATGCCTTCAATTTTGCATGTGCAGAGAGTGTAAGTTAGCGTAACCCCTGGAGTATCAAGGATGGGCTGGATCGTGAAGTATTACTGGGACAATCTTATACAAAGCGACCATCAGAGAACCGCTGTAATAAACACTGACTGGAGAGTAGAATAAAATGACTGGTGGTTGCTGGATCAATGAACCTCTGCCACATCAAAGGTTGATTTATCAAGGTCATTAAAGGACAAGATCACAACTCTGACTTATAATATATCTACATCAACACAGGCTATGTATACTTCTATGTAGATGTTGACGGTTTGATATTGGCATCATATCATTAATATTTTTTCTTCTTAATATATGTCTGATACAAGCGACTTATTTTCAAAATCTTCAGTATCAGAATGAATGTGTTGAATTGTTAATCACAGTAGCATTGAAATTATGATGTATTAGGAAATAATTCATCCATGACTCACGCTGCTATTAATTTACTTCAAATCTGTGTTAGCATTGGTAATACACGTAGTACACTAGCACTACACTATGGTGCACACAGTAATGCTATTTGTACTTTGATAATTGATACACACAAACACTTGTGTACAGTAATAGACACCAACATTAAGTTGGACTCTTGGCACTGCTGTCTCATGGCAAAGTCTGTATCCCTGCTGACATCAATACAGCATACACTGACGTAGTACCGACGCCTGCCTTTAGATGGTCCCTCGGTACTGCTGTCTCATGGCAAAGTCTGTATCCATGCTGAAATCAATACAGCATACACCGACGCCTGCCTTTAGATGGTCCCTTGGTACTGCTGTACTACTGTTGTCTGTAGTTTGCTAGTTTATACAGAAAAAATGTGTACTACCGACGCCTGCGTTTAGATGGTCCCTCGGCACTGCTGTCTGCCGGTCTCTTCTTGGAATTATTAAATATCTGATAAGTACGGAAAGTTAAGGACAACAAAAAACCACCACTGATTGATCTCCGGTCTCAAATATAGAGAATGTCCTTCTTCAGAACTTCACTCAAAGTAAAATTTTATTTTCCTAATATCAAAACATAGCCAGTGCAGTCAACGATATGAGGGTATGAATTGACTGTGGAAGTTATCATACATGTACTTTTTCTCCTGAATGCAGATAATTTAACACACATATTACCTTTAATATTGTATATTCATAACGTTCATATTGTTGGTAAATATTCCCGATTATTTAACTCCTGCGAATTGGACATTATATTGGTATGGGCACAGTTCAGTTATCTTACTACCAAATATTAATAAACACGCACCACAAATTATGTTCGTTTCCAACTGTGTTCATTCTACCATATATACACCAACAAAATGAAGGTCAATCCTTATAACAATAGGCCTAATGGGCCTGCATCACTCAACTGGTATTAATCTCACATGTAATCTTAAAAGTGGACTAAAATACAGCTACAGGCAGAATATCAGTGTTTGATTCATAAGAACCTATTAAAGATTAAAACATATGCACCTGTGACCTTGAATGTCGAACAAGGACATAAGGTTGAAAGTGGGTCAAGGTCATTCATTTGAACAAACTTGGTAGCCCTTCATCCCAGCATGCTACAAGCCCAATTTCATTACCCTGGGCCTTTTGGTTATAGAGAAGAAGTGGTTTGTAGATTTTAAGACGTTTGACCCCTGTGACCTTGAAAGTGGATCAAGGTCATATACTTGAACAAGCTTGGTAGCCCTTCATCTCAGCATGCTACAAGTCCAATATCAGTACCCTGTGCCTTTTGATTATTGAGTAGAAGTTGTTTGAAGATTTTAAGACATTTGACCCCTGTGACCTTGAAAGTTGGTCAAGGTCATTCATTTGAACAAACTTGGTAGTTCCCTAATGCGTTCAGTTCCTTTCTGGTTACAAAAATATCAAAGCAAGACAAGCACACTAAACATGTTTTGCAAAAAAAATTGTCGTTTTAGAAAGATATTAGTTACCGTATAGGTTTTTCACAAAGGATATTTGGAAGGGTTAGCATCCTGTTGCAAGATTCCAGTCAGCACAAACTCAGCATTAACCACTGGAATGTCGGCCTTCATTGCCACCTGACAAAGTTTTTGATCCTCTTCACACGACACGACTACTGTCTTCTCCGCAAATTTACACGGCATACTTTCCAAGTACTGTAGGGACACAAATTTCCAAATTTAACATTATGACATATATCAGCTCCAACACAGTTTTTTTTTTTTATTGTCCTTGATGCATCAAGTAAGAATATTACAATACCATACTGATATAAAAAGATTTTTTTCTGGTTCCTTAGACCCTTCATTTCAAGGTTTCTGTTTGTTTTTACGATTAACTTTTTTTCTAGGTCATTATTTATCTACAAAGAAACATCAATTTTTGATTGTTTCCATATGAACTTTTTTAATTGTTTAAGACACATCTGCAGCCTGCAGTAAAAAGCTATACTATTACAAAACAATCTGTGATACTATTACTTACCACAGTACTATTACAGAACAATCTGTGATACTATTACTTACCACAGAACTATTACAGAACAATCTGTGATACTATTACATACCACAGTACTATTACAAAACAATCTGTGATAATATTACTTACCACAGTACTATTAGAGAAAAATCTGTGATAATATTACTTACCACAGTACTATTACAGAAAAATCTGTGATAATATTACTTACCACAGTACTATTACAGAAAAATCTGTGATAATATTACTTACCACAGTACTATTAGAGAAAAATCTGTGATAATATTACTTACCACAGTACTATTAGAGAAAAATCTGTGATAATATTACTTACCACAGTACTATTACAAAACAACCTGTGATACTATTACTTACCACAGTACTATTACTGAACAATCTGTGATACTATTACTTACCACAGTACTACTACAAAACAATCTGTGATAATATTACTTACCACAGTACTATTAGAGAAAAATCTGTGATAATATTACTTACCACAGTACTATTACAAAACAATCTGTGATACCATTACTTACCACAGTACTATTACAAAACAATCTGTGATAATATTACTTACCACAGCTCCAGCACATTCCACAATGTCTGAAAAATCAAAGGAAAAAAAAGAATTCAGACTGGATAAAAGGTTGTTATACCTGTGTCTATACAACAACATATTTAAGGTCTGAACTGTTAAGAATGATGAGGCTTTCAGAAAATACAGGTTTGTTTCACAACACAACACAGGCTGAAAGACAATTTAGTTTACACAAAAGCATTTCTTTATCCATAATGAACTTTAGATGATACAATATGATTTTCAAAATATTTTGTAACTCAATCAGAACCAAGTATCAAGATTTTCTATTGAAACAATTTGTGATATGAAAATATCACAAACATAAACAGCAAAATTGGATCAAGGAAAAATTCATCAATTATCCAATACTTTCTACAAAAAGTAAAGCTTTGAACATTAGAGATCACTTTTATATGTACCAGGTAAATATAATGCACCTGTATTGGCACAAAATTTCTGGTTGATTTATTATTGTTGATTATGTGAAGTTTAAAAAAACTTAAAAACATAAATTATTATTTGAAAAAACTTTATTATATTACTGTAGCCTTCTAATTTTACAAGACCGACCTTTCATCTGAGTGGGATCTGGTCGGACAGACTTAGTGACATGGATGTTGTAGTCAAGCAACACACTGGCTTGACTAGCACGTTCAATAGATCGCTGGAGGGAGAACTTGTACTGCTTCTCTGTAGCCGTGTCTTTTACTAAGTAGGGCGTCACATCTAAAAGTCAGAAAAAGGAAGTCTTAACGTCCAGGTCCAGAAAACTGGTCAAGTAAATTTATGAATATACTTGTCTGACAGGCCAACACAAATGACCTACTAAATAAATTCCATTTTTGGGATACTTTCTAATTTGTTCAACATTACACCCAAATTACAGAAATCATCTATTCAAAGCAAATACATTTTTCATTCTTTTCAAAAGCATCGTTTCCTGTTGGTTCAGTGCCTTCTTGCCCTACCAAGGAACTGTTAGCAAACCACACACACATTCTCAATCAATCAACAATGATATTCTGTAAGCTGGATCTGTAGAATTCAAAATGACCATCTGCAAACAATGAAGGCATTAAAACTTTTCAAGATGTATTTTTCTCAAATACTACATTTTCAAATTATTTGCCAATGACTCGTTCAGGCTTTGAACAACATTGGCCTGGGGCCAGTTAGAAGGTTTTATTACTTGAACAGCTGTTATAATAATTCTTACGGAAAGGAATGAATAACTCTATTTCGTACCCAAATCCTTACACATTGCTCGTCTTACCCTGTATAAATGTACCAGTCTGTTTACTGCTGCTGAGCCAGGTTGGCAGGACAATGGGAATACCTCGAGACAGACAACACAGCAGCTTCACAGTTCGTCGTACCTGTGTAGAGAAGGCAGTGTTATATTTCATTACAAAGCATGTGCAATGTACTACAAACTCTTTCTTTAAAATTTTGGGAAAATTTAGAAAAGTTTCTACATATAAAATCATATACAATTTATAAGATCATGCACAATAATAAGAAAGAAATTGTTGACACAACATACAGTGATATATGTCAGGTTTTGCTGAGTAACGTGTTTACCTTGTCAGTGACTAGGTGTGTACAGGTTTGGACAGAGGTCACCATCTCCCCGCCAAGATCCTTCACTGTCTGTAACAGATACAACTCTTTGTCGTGAACTTGCATGGTTATATGTGAGACAGGTATACAAGTACGAGGCTGGCAGGGGAACAAATACAACATATAAAACTGGTGACTGTGAAGCATCAGCCAATTATTATATCATCATAAGAATTCTATTATAAAGAATCAGTCAAGGGTTCTTCTTTTGATTGAATGTACATTTGATGATTTGATTCAATAGCTTAGTATATCTGTTATTTCTTCTTGGTTGTAATGAGTAACATAGTACACATTCATAGAATGCATCAGGCTTCATGTTTATACAGCAGTCACAGCAAAAATACAGGTATTCCCTGTTAAAAAACTTTGCAAATCTAATGTTACTGAAGAAGACCTTTTGACAAATATCAGAAACAACTAACAAAGACACAAATCACAGCTCCACATTTAGATATTTTTTAATATCCGCACGTCAAAACTTGAGAACATACTGTACCTTCTGGCCTTGTTCATTGACCATCCCTGTAAACATTACACGTGGCTTGGGATCCATGGATTTTCGTCTCAGAGTTGGCGAGTCCACAGCCAGAACATCCTTTTTGGACTGGACGGGTGTGCCTAGGTCTGTTTCATCTCTTATTTTCTTAGCAGGGGTCTCAACCACATCCTGAAAGGTTATAAACACATGATATTTTCCTTTCCTTTAGTAAAAGTGTTTTTAAAACCATACAATGACTAGTACTATTAACATGAAACAATTTCATCAAATATCTCAAACAGATATGGAACTTCATGTAATTCTAACACCCAACTTTCCATAATAACCTGCTGTCTTTTTGTTTTTTGTTTTTTTAATTACACGTACCCTACAAAGAAATGTAGAGGGTCAGGCTAGGAGAATTATTTAATGGGAACTTTGTTCATGTGACAATCCAGCAGACCAGGACTATCACAACTGGCTTTGTAGTTTGTTTTGAACACATCCTGCATGCTGTCTCACACTGACAAGACTGCATCCATATACCGGTATATACCTGGTACAATGTATAAGTACACAAAAAGTGTCTTTACCACTGTGAGGTCTCGTACAGAAAGCCAATTATTGAAATCAATGGAACTTTAAGCTGTCTTATAATGTAACGTCATCAATCCTTACCTACAAGTAGGGTGTTCTACTAGTTCTATTGACACCTGATGTTGGCGTCAGTTTATTAATTTCAAACAAGAGTACCGCGGGGCGGAACAATACACGCCAGTCGAATGCCATATAGTGTTATATACTTTCTTACATTGAAATAAGATCTGCATCATTCTAAGAGTAGTTAGCTGACATGCTATAAAAAATGTAGGAGAAAATCTCCAGACAAAAAATCAAATACTGAAATAAACAAAGGGCAATTACTTTTGCAAAAATTGTCGAATCAAATTCTTTTAAGGGAGACACAACTTCATATCATGATTATAAGTATACCAAGTTTCAAAGAGATTCGTTGAAAAATGTAGGAGAAGATTGCCGGACAAAAATCAAATACTGAAATAAACAAAGGGCAATAACTTTTGCAAAAATTGTTGAATCAAAATTCTTTTAAGGATCAGGCTCCACCCTTTCGCAATTAGCCAGCAGAATTCAATGTAAGTTTCACATAATGGTTATGTCACTATGTAGAGATGATTTTATGAAAATCTAAGCATTCCGATAAACTGGGGATTTTTTTGTAAAAAATACCGAAATATTGAATTTTTGACAAATTCAACACTTTTACATTTTTTGAGCGTGTGGCATTGTTCAAAACTATAACAACAATAAAATAATGAAAAGAAACATTGCTAATCAACCCTACAAATATTTTATTTTTCATAAAATATCTACAACATGTTACAAAAAGCGTTTTTTATTGAAATTGTATGGATAACAGTTACTAAATACAAGCTAAAAGCAAACAGGACACATAGTTTCATACAAAAAGACTGAAAAATTGAACCAAATGCACACAAAGTCTGTATAATTAATTTATTTTACATTTTACAATAATTTTGATCTTGATGAGAGTTGTCTACCTTGAAAAAAACCGGAACTTTTTGCAGAAGGATAGAATTTATACAATGACACTTATTTTCTTTACTATACCAAAAAACGACGAAAGTAATTTAAATTACTAGATTTAATTGTCAATTTACTGTTCTTTTATGGAACAAAATTACTCTTAATCATGTACACTTTAGACATCATTCCATAGCCTGCTTACGCATGTCAGGTACATATGTAACCATAGGCTATCGCATGGTATGCCGTTATTACGTGCACGCACATGCACTTGCATTTTATAGGGATCTTGATATTTTACAAACCATTTTTTAACAGTGTTATTGTAATTGCATTTGTGAACCGATTTATCTGACAGAGCGTAACTCGCTCGACAACAAAAGTCGTAGCGACCAAGAGCTCGTGAACTACTGTTAGCACGTGATACGTACAGGTGAGGTCGGTAAACAAAACACATCAGTCTGCATTCCATGCGCCTCATATACGACCTTCTTGGAAGTCGTCTGATCGTATGTCAGTGTTTGCCCTTGAGTTAATTAATGTCTTTGTATCATAAGCTTTATTTCTGAAGTACGTGTGATTACACATTTCCAAGTTAAGTCTCGATATCGGGTGTTGACATATCATCGTCATGCACGTGTACTATTGTTTACCCGGTGACGTCTCTGCCCGGTGTTACTATAATTTACACCACGGTAATGGAATGCCCAATACGCAATACGGAAATGACGACACGAAAATACGAAAAGAAAAATATGTGTATTACGAAGGGTGGAAACTCCTTAAGGGAGACACAACTTCATATCATGATTATAATGTATACCAAGTTTCAAAGAGATCGGTCGATAAATGTAGGAGGAGATTGCCGGACAAACAAAAGTTTACGCCAGACAGATGGACGGACAAACCCAAACCATAATACTCCCGTCAAATTTGACAGGCGTATAAAAACGAGAAACAAATATTCAATGTATCAATTTTCAATTAATAGAGAATTAATATCTGTCCTTTAAATGTCTCTGGCAAATATAATCAATGAATTACAGCTTTGTACTATCAAGACTCCTCATACTGAAGTCTTAGCTTTTCAAATGATCAAAACCTGATAAAATTAAATACCTGTTCCTGACTGTGTCCACGTTTACCCCGAGTTGCTGTCTTTCCTTTCCGACTCGTACCAGGATCTGCCCCTTCCTGATCTGAGACGCTCACTGATGTATTAGCTTTCCTACCTCTGTCCTTTCTCACATCACCAGAGTCACTCTCCTCATTACCTTTTGTCACATCTACATCCTCTTTTGAATTTGAAGCTTTACCTCTACCTTTAGTCCTAATTTTACTTTGTTCAAGTTCACTTTCCTCCTGAGTATTTTCCTCTTTCGAAGTTTTACCTTTAGCAACACTATCTTCCTGAGTTTTACTTCTGCCTTTAGAAACGTTTTCTTCCTTAGTCTTATTTGCACCTTTAGCTTTAGTCTGTCTTGAGGCAGAAACCTCACTTTGTGACTCCTCCTCGGTTTTCTCACTATCCATCGACACATTGACAGTTTGATTACCCTTACCTCTACTAGTCCGTTTCTCAATTTTACTATCAACACTCATCACCTCTTCAATCTTCTTAACTCGCCCACGAGGTTTCCTTTTAGAGATACCACTCATATTGGCCAAATCTGCTGCTGACACGTCCTCATTCTCCGCAGAAACCTCCTGGAAGGGTTCCGTTGCCTTTTTCCCTCGAGTTCCACGTCTGGGTTTAGGAGGTTCAGTGACCTCAGCTGTTTCTTTTACAGTTTCATCTTCCTTTTCCTCTACCACCTGTTTAGATTTTCTTCCCTGTATACTTCCCCTTCCAGTCCTCCGCCTGTTCTCCTGCTCAGAGACAACCTCTGTTGGTGACATTTCCTCATGAGAAGCTTCCCTCTTTTTTGACCTACTACCTGCTGTCCTACCTGTTTTTTCCTCAATAGGTTCTACACTGTCAGAAATATTGGAGACCTGTTTGGATCTTCTTCCTCTAGAAGTTGATGCTACAGGACCTCCTAATTTATCTTCACTAGTATCCTTCACTTCCTTATCATTCTTGCACTCGTGTTTTGAATTGGAAATGAATTCCTCTCCCTCTTCTTCAGCTGATTTTGGTGTATCTTCCTCCTCCAATGGTTTTAACTTTGACTTTTTACCCCGTCCCCCTGCAGGAACATTTTTCTCCTCTACAACTTCTTCCTCCTTAGTCTCCTCTTCAGCAAGTTGCGTGGATCGCCTTCCTCTGGAGGTTTTCTTTCCTTTTTCCACAACTTCACTAATTGGCTGATTCTCCTGTGCCTTTTCTGTCGATTTGCTTTCCTCAGCTGCCTGTTTTGATTTCCGTCCTCTAGATGAAGTCCTTCCCTTTACCTCTTCCTCTTTGACTGAGGGAGAGTCTTCAGCTTGCACAAGAACATCTGGAGTTGATTCATTGCTAGCAGGCTCCTCTGCCACAGCTTGCTTTCTTTTACCAACAATCCGTACAAGCTTAGTAGTTTTCTCTTTATTCTTTTCAATGGTACTGCAATCCCCACTCCCTCCTGCCTGGATTGACCTCCGACCCCTTCCTCTTCCTCTGACTTCCTCCACAGAGGCTTCAACCTTGGACTCTGTACTGTCAACTGTTGATTGTCCAGCCTCATTTTCCTTCTCCTCGGCATCTTTTTCTGACTCAAATTTCGTTGAATGTTTTCCTCTTTCTGTACCTTTATTTTCAGTTACATTCATTTCCTCCTTTTCTACTGTTGCTGAATTTCTTCCTTTACCTTTGACATTTGGTTCTTCATTCACCTTGACCCCAACTGACCTTCTCCCACCCCTTTTTCCTGCAGTGGTTGGCTCTACCACTACTTCTGGCTCTTTATATTCATCTTCCTTGATATCCTCCTTTTCCATTTTTTCTTTCTTTCCTTTCTTTTTACTTGAAACATTGTCCAAATCTGAGGCAGGAAGTGACCTTCGACCTTTAGATAATCTGCTAGCAATTTCTTTCTTTTCTTTAACAGCAGTGGCAGGTAATGACCTTCGACCTCTTGTAACAGTTGTCTTGACCTTGACGCCTGCTTGTGTGAGTTTTGACCTGGTAGCTGTGTGACCAGTAGATGGACCCGCTTTCTCCTCCTCTTCACCAACTGTTGATTCTGATGACTGGCTCTGGAAAATACAGAGTATCATCTAACATGATTTAAATTCTTCATATATTTAATCATTCTCCAAGTTGCAATACTTTCATTGTGTATCCAACAATATGTATTTATTTATATACAATGGGGAGCAGAAAAGCTCAGAGCAACATGAATGTACTGATGCTTCAATGGTATTTCAAACTGTCTTTTTTTCAAGAAATGTTTAACTTCATATTTCAATTCTATAATAGATGTTAATTGATGAATTCTGTCAAACTTTTATATATATTTAAAAAAAAAGCTTTCTAGAATTCGTTGGTTAAAAAATCATATCTTAAAAATGACATGTTGCAGACTTGTTACTATGTAAACAATATTCAGTTGTTTCAATGTTTTCTTTTTAATCTCATACGATAAAAAAATAACACTGTTAATAAATAAAACAGGAGAAAAAAATGAAATAGCCAATGTTCAAAAACATAACTTACCTCAATAGCAAACTTGACCCTCTTTGGAGAGGGGCTTTTGCTACGTTTCCGAGGGCTAGCAAGAGCTGATTTGTGGGGCGAGTTTGGTGGGAGTGGTATAATTGGGCTCTTACCCAAAACATTCTCACTGTCTTGTACTACCTTCATAAAGAAAAAAGAGAAATACAGCCAGCTTCAGGATTAACACAACTTTTAGCAAGTTGTTATAAATCTTTCTGAAATATATATGTTAAAAAAAATCCAGTGAAGGGATTTTCTGGAAGACTCTATATATTATGTATTCAGCATAAAGAGTGCAAGGTAATAGATAGCTTTAATTGGAAGCTGTGATATTATAACTTGAAGTTCTTTCTCACACTGTTAAAAGTGTATTCAGAAGGTGGTACTCTACTATAAACTGACCTCCTCACTAAGTGGTGGGGTGTCCTCCTCATCTGAATCCTCCCCGTACATCTGTGTGGCAGGCTCCACATCCATACAGGCTGCAGGGTCAGTCTCTGTAAAGTAACCAATAACATACAACATCAAACATTTTATATTTAACATTCTAGCATTACAACATAAACATGTTATAATCAAACAAATACCATATTTGTCGAAATAAGGGTGCCAGGTGTGGGTAAATGACTTTATTTAAATATTTTTCATTTATCGCCATACTTCATATTGCGACTATTTTGCTGCTAAGACAACTTATGAAGGTCTCTTTATCCTTTGGTACCCTTATTACAGCAAGTGCCTCTAATACTTCAAATACGGTATTTGTACATTACCATATTCTCAAAATCTATCATTTCTTTTATTTACATACCTGAGGACCTGACACTACAAAACAATTCATTACTATTTTAGTACTGCAAATAACATAGTTTTCACTTCATATCCTCTTTTCTAACACATACTTGACATCAGAGTATAGTGCTTTAGGTAAGTAAATATTTCAACTAGAATTCTTGGATTAATCTTCACTTTATGTCTTTACCTTCTCTACTTGGTTTTAGTGCTGGTAAGTTGACAAGGTCCTTCTGTACACGGTCGGTTCCTCGCCTGGGGGATGACTTTTTCACCCGACCACTCCTGCCCCTGGGCTGGGCCAGCTCTTCCTCATCCACCTCCAAGCCATACACCTGTGTGGCTTCCTCTCCACCAGAAACATCTGTTTCCTCAGCGGTCTTCTTTCCCTTTGTAGTTTCTCCTTCCTTTGATCGACCTAAACGACTACTGGGCTTGTGCTCTTCAGGAACTTCAGTAGATTCATCCTCTAAAACCTGTGTTGCTTCATCCTCAGTTATCTCCTTTTTCTTGCCCCTCTTCCCTGGACGTCCTCTACGACCCTTGACCGTTCCTGTTGATTCCTTCGGAGTGTCAGCTGACACATCCTCTATAACTTGTGTAGCTTGGTCTTCACCTAAATCAGGGTCTTCTACCACTTGTGTAGCCTCCTCTTCGAATACCTCTCTTGCTTTACTTTTTCTTCCTTTACCTACACCTGTTTTTGGCTTGTTGGAAACTTTTTCCTGAACCTCAGATTCAATAGACACATCATCATCAATGACCTGAGTGGCTTCGTCTTCAGTAGTGTCACTTTCAGTCTTATTGGTGTCTCCCTCTGGCACCTTCCCCGCTTTTCCTCTCCTGCCTCTCCTGCTTATATTTTCTTTTGGTGTTTCTTGTGGATTATTAATATCCTCTGCAACTAGTGTTGCCCCATAGTCGCCTGCTGTGGCATCATCCAATACTTGAGTGGCATCCTCCTCTATACCATCATTTGTCTTACTTTTCCTTCCTTGTCTTCCTCTACCACTTTTCTTTTTGTGATTATGTTTTTCATGTTCAGACTCATCTTCAATAACTTGTGTGGCATCATTTTCAAAATCTGCGACATTGTCTACCACCTGTGTGGCTGCTTCCTCATTTACTGCCATAGTAGCTTCAGTTACATCCTCTCTGGCTTCAACAGCCATTGTGGCATCCTCTGTGACAGCCATGGTGACATCTTCTGTGACAGTCATAGTGGCATCCTCTGTAACAGCCATAGTGGCATCTTCTGTGACAGCCATAGTGTCATCCTCAGTGACAGCCATAGTGGCATCCTCTGTAACAGCCACAGTTGGATCTTCTGTAACGGCCATAGTTGGATCATCTGTAACAGCCACAGTTGGATCTTCTGTGACGGCCATAGTTGGATCGTCTGTAACAGCCATAGTGGCATCTTCTGTGACAGCCATAGTGGCATCCTCTGTGACAAACATAGTTGGGTCTTCTGTAACAGCCATAGTTGGATCGTCTGTAACAGCCATAGTGGCATCCTCTGTGACAGCCATGGTGGCATCTTCTGTGACAGCAACTGTGGCATCATTTTTGACAGAAAATGTTTCGGTATCAGTTATAGCCATAGTTTCTCCTTCTTGAACAGCAACAGTTGCATCTCCGGTAGTTACTGCTATTGGATTAACCTCAGTGATTGCCACTGTGGCTTCTTCAAGACATTGTGTTGTAATGTTTTCTGAGTCCCCTTCCTCTTCAATGACTTGAGTACCCTCCTCCTCGTCTTCAGCAATCTTCTTAGTGGCCTCTACTACCTCAGTGGCATCCTCCTCCACCATCTGTGTGGCAACATTATCGTCATTATCAGCCAGATCAACAGATGCCTGTTCCTCCTCCTCATCTACCATGTCACAAGCCAATGTGGATGCAGCAAAGATGTGACTGACATCTACATTGTCATCCTCTCCCTCAGTGTCATCATCCATTACGGCCTCTCCATTCTCCTGTCATTGAAGGAAATCATTTAAAGTCAACTTGGGTCAAAGGAAAGCAAATGTTCAATGTGAAGCTAAGCGTACCATTAAAGTATGAAAACGTTTCTAACATATGTAGAATATGTAATATATTACTGAAAACAGAACATAGCCTAAAACTGGACTGGCAATTCATGTTGATAAACAAATCAAATTGCCTACATAGTCAATGATAAAATAGTGTAGAGTATATCAGTAATGCTTTCCTCTTACAGTACAGTTGAGCAAGGATACAAATTATTGTAAACAATGTTCTATTATTCAATTTGGCAATGCAATATAATCAGGATTTTCCAATTATTCTCATTAAAATGAAAATTCATCACAGTACAATATCATTATTATGATGTATGATTTCTTGAATATTTTGTTTACTGACCCTGATTGCACTTTACTCAAACATTTTATACTTTGTTTCCCGAACCTCAATGGCACTTTACTAATATGTTCTTAACTATGGCAGGTTATCTATGATACTCTGTCTACTGACAATCCCTTTGTTCCTACCTACTTAGCTAAGATGTCTCTAGTAATAGTGATAATAACACACAACATTTATATAGCACCCTATATCATTTGTAAAATTACTCTAAAGCACTTGACAACATATAGATAATATATTGTATTAGTTATAATTGTTAAACCAAAAAGGCTTACAATAACCATTATACAATCAGCAAGAAGGTAATTATCTCAATGTGCACATAAATGAATAAATAAAGGGTGGTATGTACATGACGGCTGTGCAAAGAGCCTAAAATGCAGACATAGCAAACTGAATCCCAAAGCCCTTTATTCCTACCCAATTAAATGAGATCTTTTTCTATGTATAAATGTATTTTACACTAAGATATTCCTATCTATTTCTATGACTTTTTGTAAGAACTGGAGCAAGTCTGCCTTACCACATCACTGTCCTCGTCACTGTCGGCCACAAAGGTCATGATGGGCTGGTCATCATCCTTCTTGTCATCACTATAATAAATCCAATGGAATGTAAAAAGGAATTCCTGAGAACCAAAAACTATTGTGACAATAAATTATAAGTACTGTCTTCTCCTGATAACTCTTATGTCAAAGTTTTATGATTTTTCAACAGATAAATACAGCCAAATCATCTATCATTAAGCTTCTTCGAAAACAAACAACCAAATATTGAATCAAAACCACAGCAAATAAACAACATTTTCTGCTGATCTTTAATACCAAGGCTTCCAATAGCAATTCATTGATGTAACGCGTACATGTTTTAATGTGTCTGATTTGTTCAAATATATCACATCAATGGGAGACAAAATATCTTCTGGAAGCCTGTCCTTCTATTTGAGGTATCACATTAAGTGAATGCAGAATTATCACCTTTTGGAGAAATGTCTCTCCCCCACATCCAAAATACTTTTACATAAAAGTGATCTGATGAATGTTATTTTCTTTTTGCATGTTGCTTCTTTTAAGATATAATCTGCAATTTATTGCTCTCATAGATATGACCTCATATATAGGTATTGGTGAACTTCACTTTATATGTTTTTGGTGTGAGGGGTTATCACCACACTGCTTAATCCCTACTTAAATAATGAGTTAATGAAGCTCTTTAGACCTGTACTTTCATGACAGTGGACTTGACACTGGTGTATAGGCAATCCCTACCTTGTTGAGAAATTTCCTAGGGGTGCAGAATAATATTATGTTCTTGGTAGGGTGTATTGAATTTTCATTTCTTGTCTGTTACATTGACAATATCTGAAATGAAAACATAATCACACTTACCTTTCTTCTCCAAATGCCTGTGTTTCTGCAGCAAAGATGGCAGGGGAAACATTTCTTGTGTTCTCGTCATCAGTAGCATCTGTAAATAAAATGTTGATTGTATTCTCATGAAGTTCACAATAACAAAATTGTAAAAAATATGCATTGCATTAAATGAATCTTGTCACCCATTTAAATTTCCAACATGAATAATTAAGTAATGTTTACAATGAATATATATCAATTGCACCTCTGCACAACCTTGTGAACTAAAGTGTAGATGGAGGGATGTTCCTTACACCACAATCAAAATTTTGACAGGCATATGAAAAAGAACAAGTATCAAGAGTAATATTGTCAGTTTTCCATTTCAGAGACAAAAGAAAGCTGAAACATTATGGAGCAAACCGTATTTAGTTAAACATAGTCATGTGTTTTTGACACAAACATGTGGGTTTGTTGGTTTAACTTATTCTACTGTTTTACACCATTAATTCTAAATTAATAATAACTTACTGAATACTGTATGTCAATGAATTTTCATTAAATTTACCTTCCCCCCCCCCCTCTTAGTTTTTAACATTAATAAACGAACTCATGAAGGAAATTTATTTGTGAAATGAATAAATAACATAAATAAGACATGATATTCTGTTTAGATTAAATGCACAAAATATCTAAGAGATTATTTAAAGAAAGCACAACATTCTTTGACAAGTGACAATTACCATCATCTGCTTCGCTTTCCATTACGTAGGCCTGTGTGGCTCCAAACATGGCTGGATTAACATTGTTGTTTTCCTCTCCCTCCTCCTCCTCCTCTTCATCATCATCCTGCTGGGTATCTGATACAACAAATAGAAAACAATTGTTTGTGAAGTTGACATATTTTTTTCTGTTTGTGTTCAAGTAACTCTAGTGCAAACGATAGAGTAATACTTCAGATTTTACACTGACTCACAAAATTACTTATGGATTTGGAATTAATCACATACACATTACTATTGCAGCATGACTTCACAAGAGAAATACCAGCTTGTGTTTCTTGTAGGCTGGCCTGTTGTGATGTGTCTTAGCATTGCTACAGCATGTGGGAATATCATAACTTTAATTCTTTCAATTACTGGTACAATTTACACAATACCTAGTAAATAAATCATTAACAATACATTTGTTTTTTGTATGCATGCACAGTACCTGTCACAACTTGTGTTTGTAGACTCTGTAAAGCCCTGGCCTTCCTTCTATCTTCCTCTTCATCATCGGTGTCTGATTCCGGCAGTACTAGGGTGGACATAGCTACAACAATCGATACTGGTCTCAATATATTTATGCTGTAATATGCCCATAGGGCCAAAACATCATCTCTAATTCGAAGTAGGAGGAAGAATATATTACAGGATAATGGAACAGCATTTGTTTCCATTTCAACTTAACTGCAATAGATCTTGGTGGGCATGTAAGGAGACTTGGTACTTTTGTTGGCTAGATATGGCCGTACCCAAACATACTATTTGCAACAATACTTCTGGATTCTACAACGCTAAAACTTTCTTTTCATAATCCTCTGTCCTTATCCTTTATAATAAAAAGTCCTCAATTGCCCAAATCTTTGTCCTATTAAAGGCACAGGTCCTTGTCAAATGTCTTAGAAGTAATCAGAGTAATTTAACATCAAAGTGTCAAGCCACACAAGGTTCCACTTATCATTGACAGAAAAGTACATGCCATTGACTTTTATTACAAATATGAATAGTTCTATGATCTATATTATGGCAACTGAAGACAGATTTTTTTGAAAAAAATAGAATGGGACCAGACTTTCTTCAATTCAAACATGATTTTAATAAATTGGTTTCAACTAGAAAATGTCTGTTAGACATGAATGTCCTTGCTCCCATACAGGTAGTCGTCATTGTTTGCCAGATCTATATTTACAATGTATATCAAGTGACTTTATGTGATGAGCCCTTTAAAATAGAAACTCATCAAGGTTTTCTCATACTTAACCTTTGTATAAAGTTTGTCAAAGTCTGTTCAGAAATAGTAACAGTGACATTGGCGTTCACCTTTGAACCCCTACAATACAGACTCATTTGAGATATTGTCATAATTGAGCTTTGTATAAAGTTTTGACTAAAGTGTGTTAAGAAATGAAGCCGAGACACTGAATCGAGACAGGATAGGCGGAGATAGGACGGGATGGATTGAATATGGGTAACACTATAGTATATTCCCCTATAAAATGAAAGAGCATACAAATGAGGTGTTTTGATCTTACAACATCGATAGTCTGAATGACAACTAACCTGTGGCGCCTACAGCCCCTGTCCGTTTCGGAGGTAAAGGTGTGTCCTGTACAGTGACATTAGGCGTGTGTTGGGGACCTTCTGAAAGAGTCATTAATTAGTATTTTAATTGACACAATCCAATCACAACTGAATTTGGTAACTGAAAGAATTGATGGATAATAAACACATTGAATGGTGCAATTGTGTATTTACTTTGATGATGTGCAATACAGAAAACTTGCTGAATATTATTGTGATATCTAGTCAATCTTACCTTCTTCGTCTGAATCTGGTGCCAAGTTTAATGTTCTTCCTCCATGGTAGGCCTGCAAACAGTGAAAGAAGGAAATTTACAGCCAAGAGGTGAGGGCTTTTCCAGAAATAAATAGTTCTGTGTGGTGGCACCTTTTGTTTAAACCCTAAACATCAACATTAATTAATTAACAGGGATTGACCATACAAAATTCAGTTATTTTGGGTGTCACCTGCCCTCCTTTGATAAAAAAGGAAAATCTATTTAGCGAGATGGAGACTGACCTGTGTTGGTTGTAGAAGGTCGACACTGGCATCACTGTCTTCCTCTTCCTCCTCTGTTACCAGTAAGGTAACTCCTGCAGCCCCTTCCTTACCGTTCATACCTTCATCTTCCATGGGGGCAGTCTGGAATGACTCTGATCCAGTCTCAGATCCTTTGTCGTTGATCTATGACAGCAGTATTAAAATGTTATCTACATATATGTGCATCCCATCAAAAACTTTTATACAAAAAGGAGGATTTTTTTTTATTTGTTTTTAGGAAAAAAAACATCTTTGATTTTAATACTTTATCAAGCAATCTTAAAGGGATCTTCCCACCTTTATCAGAGATCTTATAATCAGTGCTATCTTAATTTGACCCTTTTCGTTCTTTTCTATGACCTGTTGGATTGAGAATCATGTTAACAGAAAGTCATCATATGGTAAAGTAATTTTTATGAAAGTTTCACACTGCTTGTCTATCAAAAGGAGGTTGTTTGTGACTTATTGAATAGAGCAAGAAGTGATTTGTCTGCCTCTTTTTCATAGAGGCTTGACTGTGCCTTGTGACTTATGGAAAATATCACACACATTACGCATAAAGCTTTGAGAAAATAATGCAATTATTGAGTTGATTTTGGGAAAACACAGCAGAGATTATCTAGGGGAAGTTTTTTTTTTATCAGACCCCAAATTCTCCTTTAAAAAATCACTTGACAAGAGAAAAATTCTGTCTACCTTCTGGAAGCCATCTTTTTCTCTTGATCAGACTCAAAACTAGAGGAGAGGAAAAATCTAGCAGTGCTTATAAAATTTGAGAAGAATCTGTACTATCTGAGAAATTACTTCACCAAACTTTAGTGGTCAAATTATGTCTATAATATAATGATGTCTATCTGGTGGAACTTTTTTGCCTATCAATCTGTTCAAAATTACATTTTAAATGTATAAAACAAAACAAAGTAAGTCTGGTCAAAAAGCATTCTTATAGAAATTCTTAAATATACTAGCAGTTTTTTAAGACTATGATAAGTGAAGTGAAAAGTATGATGCCCTTCTTGAAGAAACTGTATGAATTTAAGAGTGTGAAGCAAAGTGATTACATCACTGGTGGCAAACAATAGACACCTCAATAACAATCAATGGAATTGATTGACAAGTGTTTGGTATTTTCATTGGAGTTCAACAAAACTGTTTTGATTACATGTGTATGTCACTAAAAAATGTATACCATAGAATGTGTACCTACCTCTTCTCCAATATAGTACACAGCCTCCACATCACCGAATGTCACACTGGTGTTATTTGTTAACTCATATCTCACATCAGGTTTCAGCACGGCCTGTCCAAATGTAATAGTTAATTAAAGTGATAATCACAATACATTTGTAGTTTGATTCAATCATATACAACTAATATTTCCTTGTTTTCATATAAAATCCTCAAATACGATTATTAATGGATTCAGGTTTTTTTCCTTTTCTATACTGCCAATAAAATATAGAAAAAAAAGGCATATCCACTAAAAAGGCAGCATAAAGAACAGTGTTACACATTAACATATTAAGACACATTTCTCGCACCTCAGACAGATACATGTATATCCCAGCTCATACCCCATGCTAGATTTTTCGATCTCGTCTGATCTGTCTGGTACCTTTAAGTGACATTTCGCTGAATTTTTACACTGTGGTTATTCATGCACACGTTAACGGCTTGAAATTGACAATCTGCATTTTAAATATTCTGTTTTGTCCTTTTATGTATTGTTAAATATGTTAATTGTTTTATATGCAAGGACGGACTACATTTTTACGCGGAAGCATTCAAATGTAGCTTGAATAGCGTAGAGGCCATTTTTATTTGCGGCCCCAGATGGGATACTTGTAGTCTTCAGCAAAACTTTTTTTCCGCACTAAAAGGTGTGAAAAAATATTCAATTACCTGTAAAACCGCATTATTTCAGTATCGGTCTAAGATTCTGTAACATCTTGCTTATGCCTCGTTTGGTATTATGTTACAGAATCTTGCCCCTCGACGGAGATAACCAGATCTCGCTCAGTTACAGGTAATAGATTTTATTAATCCCTGGATGGGATTTGTACGATAACCATCACTCAGCAGCACTTACCTTGCCTCGTCTTGTTTTGTTCCTACTGCCCTTGTCATAGATGAAATGCGAGTCCCCTTTAACTTCTATACAGGCATGCTCTCGAGAAAGGGCCTGTAATAGTTTTAATTTCAGGAATATGAATTTGTTTTATCATAAATGTAATTCAATAGTTGATCACTAACCTAAGACAGAAAGTTGAAGTCCCAAATATTTTGTAAAATTTAATTTTAACACTTCATTTTCGTATAAAATATGTGATGTCCTATATATGTTGTAACATGTAAATATGTCTGGAAAGCATCACCCTATCAGAATTGGATAGGTACCAGCAACATTATTAAGTTACAGATTTGATCAAACTTTTGAACTTGCAGTATTTTTATGACAGTGCAAAATGGCATTTCTGCAGGAAGAGGAAGCAACAAATTCCACAGAAAAATGATTATTTTTCCAGACAAATAACGCTAGAGAAATATCAATCTCATATGAAACCATAAATGGATTTTTTTACCATATGAACTTATTTATTAAGTTTTAAGCTTTCAGGAATTTGATTATGATGTTGTTGATTTTTTACTTTTAAGATAAAATATTTAACAAAATGTGTTAAATGCTACCAACCTTGAGGGGGATCCAGATACTGCAAGTGATCTCATGTCGCCCAACCACATTGTCACCTTCACAAACAGAAACCATAGCTCACCAACAAGTGTCTATTACAAATCTTTAATTAATGACCATGTAAGCTTGTATCAGTGTCATTCTTCAAAACGTAACATATCTTTGTAAGGTATATCAAATACTATTATGAAGAAGGGTTTTTTTTTGTTCAATATTTTCAATATTTTTTAAACTGTGCTAATGCAAAACATGCAAACGAATAAGATCAATTTTCTCAGGAGTGAGTACAAAATTTGGATACACTGATTTATAAGAAACATATTATAAATACATGGCTCCCTTTCTTGAAGATTTTTGTTCATTCTGGCTCATTCACATACATGTACCATAATATTCTTACATTTGGGATAACACACAAACTGCATTAGACAGACAATTTAAACTCAGGGTTTTCAAAATTTTATTCCACTTTTGTTTTCCCACTTTTCATGATAATACCTTTTTATTTTTGTCATTACAGATACATCATGTACAATCTCATAAACCTGAAGTATATATATATATATATAATGTATACATAAATTCATGTTTTTACCTTCATTTATTTCAAACACTTTTTCTTCAAATTCCTTTTGGCTCTTCACCTTCAAGTGTGCTACCTGAAAATAAGAAAAAGTCTAGTCATAGCTTCTTTTTTTTTAAAGAATAAACTATAGTGTAAAACATTTATTCAATTTGTGCACTTTTCTTCATTTTTTTCAAATCATGCATATATGTATTCTTAATTACCAGATATTCAATAGTTTTTATTCTGTACTTTTAGGTACAAAAACAGTCAATTGATTAAAATTTTGAGATCAGCACAAAGTACATAGGGTAGAATTGACTTTCAGTTGTGTTGGTGAAATGACTTGTTTCAAACATAATACATACATATGAACAGACAATGTGAAATTTAGAACATCTGAAATGAAGTTTGACAATGTAAACAGAAAAACATTCCTGCCAGACAATGAACAAAATTTTCAGTTGCAATTGAGGTACTTCACATTACACAATCATTAATTTATGAAACAAAAAAATGTTTACTGGTCTTTTGACTGCTTCCTCATCATCAGTTTCATCTTCATCATCAAAATCTCCACCGAAGTCTAATGCTTGTGTTTGTTCCAAATCCATATTTGTCTTTGAATTCTTGGTGTTTAGTATATAATATGGCTTATAATTAATCTAGTTTAACAAGCCATTATCACTGTGCTGCTGCCCTGTATGAAAATATCAAAACAAATGTAAATAACAAATTGAAAGGGCTTTGTTGCTTCCTTTATCTGTCAGCCTGTATTATTTTATCACATAATGTACTGTGTTATCCACTGAATAAACCCATGTCATATTATTTTGCTTATTAATCCATGTAATATGACCTATCAGCCCTGTGATTGGTTGTAAGTTTCAACTGTGACGTCACACCTAGGACAAGTACATGGCATCACAGACTTTCGCACTGGAGTCAAAATGGCAGCTTTTTACATTTCAAGGTTGTGTAAAAATTATCGTTTTACACAAATAAATGCCACAAATCTTGATTAAGTGATAAAACGGATCTTACACTCATTTTCATTTCATATGAAATTGATGAAACTTGTCACAAATTCTTCATTTTAGCTTGCCAGAAGCTCGATTAAATTGAATTTTTTTAAGACTTGTTTCATAAATCTCATATGAAATGGAAACTCATGTAAGATCCTATACATGTATATATATGAACTTGAATTTGAATGCAAAAAACAAAATAGAAGCATCATATATATTAATGTATTGAGTTGGTTAAAAAGTCATTAATTCTGAATGTTTTAATACACCTGGTTGGAAACCAAAGTCAATGTACAAAGCTTTCAAATAGACCCTTAACCATAGTTTGTATTGCCCAAGAATGAAATGTGACTATCAAAGAGAGCTCAATTTGGTCAAAAGTACATTTTAGGTCAAATCTTATGATTCGGGTAACACTGTGCAGTTTAGTGCTATATATAGGACTACCCATCTAATGGCTACTACATAGGAGGGCAGTGAGGCTACAGAAAGGATGTGTTCCCGGACATGTGTGTGAAAGTGACGATTTGTTTCTAAAATATAAGTTTGAAGTGCGCTCCGGGCGCGGGTCGCATATTATAGAGGGCCGGAGTTCTGACGTTAATCAACGACAGACCGATATGAAAAAGTCGATAAAACGTCGGAATAATTCGGACTACTGCTGAACCTAAATAACTTTGGCTACCATTTTGTGTTTATACAGCTGTTTCCCCGGTGACGCTAAGGGCCAAAGACTTCATTCTTTAAAATTAACTTCCTTTAATTGTGTATGTCAATCTCAGTCAAGTCACTGGAACTGGAAGTCAAAGGCTGAATGATAGTGATAATTAACATCATTCCATGATCAATATATATAGGGGACAGAACTGTCAAACTATAATATCGTGCTCCTGCTGTGTGCTGTTGACCCCCACTCCACCCAATCAAATTTTATGACAGTTTTTGTCTATCTTAGTGTCAAGGATTTAAAACATTTGCTCTTTTTTGCGTGTTTAACTTACTATATTAACAGCTTTATGATAATTTAAGGATGTTCCAGGTTTTGGTGGTGGAGGAAAGTCGGAGCTCCCGGAGTAAAACCATCCATCTACGGCTAATACATGGCAACTGCCCAACATAACTAGGTCTCGAACCTGTGACGGAGGGTTAGTGGTAGCAGAATGACAGACGCCTTCACCGATTGGCCACCACAACCCCATTTGCCATTCTTTTAACTTGAACATGTATCTGTATCATTCATATCATCATTTTTTTCATCCGTACATGCGCAAAGTATTAGTCATTGCTACATACCAGAAGTTTGTTTCCTAATGTGAAAGAAGATATAAACTTGGGGCCGATATGTCAAAATAACAGAATGGAACTTAAAGTCAAAGGCGCCTGAATGACAGCGACAATTATGATCAACATATATGTAGGGGATAGAACTGACAACAGTCCTTCATGTCAGCAAATGAAGGATTAAGGCTTGGTCGTTGAGACAGAAATGGAAACTGGAAGTGGGAAGTTGATCGAGGAAGCCGCATTTAAATAGCTTTTATGATTTCAAAGTAATGACACGTCAAACATATATGTATTGAAATTATTAATATATTTGCTTTCCGTAGTAAATGTGTACTTTTATCATCACATGAAGAATAATTAAACAGTAATTTCAAAAGCAAGAGCCTCACAGTTGCATATATTTTCATTGGATTCCGGTGTCACGGGTGTGTCTTTAGTTGTTTAGGCAAAGGTGTCTGATGCCATAGGAACATATTCCATTATGTACGGTACAATCACCTGATTGACATGCTTGCGATGTTATTTTTAAAACGTGTTCAATCTACAAAATCAACTGCTAACCTCAATGATGATGACCGTATCAAGAAAACACTCTTTTACAACACTGTTTACCTTCTTCAGATTTCTGCTGTTCGCGCACTTTCATCACGCATGCGTACATGACTAGTGAAGTGACTAATTATAATGTTGCGAAAGCGGAATTGATTCAATATTCCGAATATAAAAGTGTTTTAATTAAAGTATGACTAAAAGTACTGAGATCGATGGTTAAATATAAGTTAAATTCCTTAGTTAGATATTATTAATTTGATATTCTTATCATAATGAATGTTTTTAATTATAGTATATTTAAGTTAAAATAGCGACATTCCGGAAAACATATCAGTGTTGGTTAGTATCGCCTTTTAAACATTTTAGTGACCAAGAAATATAGCAGACAACATGGCTGCGTCTGGGGCAAAATTTCTTTCAAGATTAAAACCAAGACTTCCAGAGAAATGGAAGGGCGGAAAGATGGAGAAAATAGGTAAGAACAATGCAGAAGTAATTGTATGCCCGTTAGTGTGATTACGGGCCATTTCAAGCCAAAAGTAAATCGATACTGACACGATTATGGCCATATTCGACTCTTTATCAAATGAGATTCTTGACAAAATTTAACAATATGACCATGAGGCAATAATAATGCAAATTCAACTATTATGGAGTTGTTTTAATGATTTGTGAAATAATTGATCCAGAGTTTGTTTTGTGATCTAAACGATAACATTTTCAATGGCATTATGTAGTTATAATAAATTATATACCTTGCAGGCTTTCTAAAAAAAAATTATGTGGCCCTTTTTATGAAGGTCAAATATTACAAAAGTGCAAACAATGCAAGTAAGCAAAGCCAAGGGGAACTTGTAGCATGACATTGCCTTCCCTAGGCCGGGTTGTGCGCTAGTTCCTTTGAAAACAGCACAATGTGGTCAATATTATTTGAAAAAAAAGCTACAGCTACATATAAGTTGATCCCATTTAGCAGCAATGCAATGTTTTTATATCTTTTATAGTTTACATGTACCAGGTTTTTATTATATATATGCATATGTGCTTATAAATATTACTTGAAAAGAAATACTTCATGCTTATCATTTATGCTTGAAAAAAGAATAGTTCATGTCCCAAATCGCCGATAATACATTTAGGTCAGAGCTGGTTTAAACATAATTATATAATAGAACTTCACCTTATCTGAAATGTAATCATCTAGAGTTGTGATAAAAAAATGATAGAAAGAGTTGATCGCTGGTGACCAGATTAGAAAGCTCTGGTGGTAAATCATTTAGTATGTCTGCTGGCTTGTCACATTTTTCATTTCTTGTTTTGTGCTTGACCTCTATGAATTAAGTGTACGGAAACAATTACATGTGCTCAAAAAAAGAAAAAGAAAGATTAATATCATTTAGGCATTAAAATTGTAATAAACAGGACCATTTTTTATTAACTGTCTGCCCTTAGGCTTATATTAATCAAAAAGGTAATTAGGGCTGCAACGATAGAATCATGTTATATGCATCGCAGCATAATGCTTATGATATGATACATATCAGGATATAATATCTGCTTAAAGGGTCAATTTCAGAAAATTACAATTATTGAGTTTTGTTATTTTCAGTACTTTTGGGTATATTTGCACAGTGGAGCACATCTTGATTGAAGGATTCAAAACAAATTATGTACACTTTTATAGAGTTTGATAAAAGTTGTATTGATAATTACAGTACTGATAGTATACCGTAAAAACCCATGTAATTTGCGCACATTTTTTCCAGAAATTAAATACCAAAAGTGGGGGGTGAGTAAAATACACAGGTATAAGAAATTTCAAGTTTTTTTCAGGAAAAGATCGACGATTCTGGTAGACCGCCATCTTGGATTATCTCCCTTGGTACACTGAATTCTAAGACAAATGACGATCAACAAATTTATTTATGTCAAACATTAATAAAAGATACAGTTGATACATAATGTGTTGTTACCTGAGTTTAAGTGAAAAGTATTATTAAATAGGTAACTGTTATCAAAGAAAGTCAAATTCCTATGTCAGAGAATCGCCGATTAACTTAATTACGTTTCGACAAAGTTTGGTTGAAAAAAGGGTTATTTTGAGTTCAGGTCAGAAGTTTAAGGTAAGGAAGGAAGAGTATAGTACCCACTGGGACCAGGAGTAATAACCATGCATGTAGCTTCGAGCAGTTTGTAGTATGTCAATCTGATTTTAAAAGGAATCAAAATATCTGATTTTATCAATTAGCATGATCGATGGCATTTTTAGAACCAGTACATATTTTCTTGTTTGTAAGATTGATATTCATTTTACTTGTAATTTGCCCCCAGGCATTCCTGCTTGTGACAATTTCTGATGAAAGGGTTTTTGTCAGCCTATTCTAAATTGATGCTTCAATGGTCTTGATGTATAAATACACCAGGGCCTTATTAACTGGTCAGTACCAGCGATCAACTCTTTTGATCATATTTCTCACAACTCAAGATGATAACATTTCAGATTAGGTGATATTTTACTATATAATCATGTTTTAACCAGCTTTATTTTTACCCGATTGCTTCGACATCTGATTTGTACCTGGGATTGTACATGACTTTAGCATAAAGATCCATGCTTAAAAATCAAAGTGATTGCTTACTCAGAGTTGAAACTTAACTGCCATATAGCAGCTTGTAAAAAAATGCCTTTGGACCAAGTTTAGACCAAGACACCAAAACATACATCTCCAGCACACACGCAGACATATACACACATAGGGAGATATTAGCCAGGTGGCATAGGACTAGTTGTAAGCGCCTGATAAGGCAGCTCCTGCGAGTTCCTCAAAATTGTATTGATTAATGTATATGCTAATTTTACGATTGTATAACTTGTATATCTATGTACTGTAAAGCGCTTGAGAATGGCTTATTAGCTCACCTGGTCCGAAGGACCAAGGTGAGCTTATGCCATACCGTGGCGTCCGTCGTCCGTCCGTCCGTCCGTACGTCAACAATTTCTTTTAACGACTTCTTCTTCTTAACCACTGGTTGGAGTTAAACTAAATTTGACTGGAAGCATCCCTAGGTGGTGGGGATTCAAAATTGTACAAATAATAGGGCTGACCCCCCAGGGGGCTGAGGGGCGGGGCCAAAAGGGGTCAATTTGCCCATATTGCTTTAAGCGACTTCTCTGAAACTAAGAAGTGGATATCAACCATATTTGACTGGAAGCATCCCTAGGTGGTGGTGATTATAAATTGTACAAATGGTGTGGCTGACCCCCCAGGGAGCCGAGGGGCAGGGCCAAAAAGGGTATTTGGCTATACTGCTTTAAGCGACTTCTTCTCTGGAACGAAGAAGTGGACATCAACCATATTTGACTGGAAGCATCCCTAGGTGATGGTGATTAAAAATT